AACTACTTCCTTGTTCATATTCTCTTCCAAATTTGATTCAAGTTTTGGTAATTTTGAAATAGACTTTTGTATTTTTCTACAATGGTGATATCCGGTAGGTGATTGTAGGATATAGAGCGAAATGAAGTGGTGATATCTGGTGATAGATGACATATGTGGAATACTAATTGTGAAACGGTTCCAGCAGTTACACTGGGATATACATTAACTCAGAAACTTATATTTTATATTATACACTAAAAACAAATTAACGAGTTCGTAAAAATTAGAAAAGAGTCAGGACTAAACGTCTTATAAAAGTACATAAGCTATCTAACTTAGACCTTGAAACCTCTAGATCTTCTTCTACCTCTAGCTCTTTCGAACTTTCTACCGGTGGATTGGATTCTTGGGGCCTTGTTCTTGTGAGGACCGAAACCGAAGTGTCTAACAGCTTCTCTGGAGTTTCTTGGACCTCTGACAATTAAAGTGTTTTGACCCTTTGGAGCTCTTAAAGCTAATTGATCTAAGGTGATGGCTTCACCACCAGCCTTTAAGATGGTAGCCTTGGCACCAGCAGTGAATCTCAAAGCGGCGACGGTGGCCTTTGGGAATTCCAACAATCTGTTGTCGTCAGTAACGGTACCAACAACAACGATGGTCTTTTCAGCGGTGTTCTTTTGCTTCAAGGCACGGGCGATTCTTGAGACAGAAACTGGTGGTCTGTTGATCTTGGATAAGAACAAAGATCTCAAGATGACCTTGTTGAATGGAGCATCAGTACGACCTATAATATGTTAGTATAAGGATCTTCTTTCTGCTCAGAAGACGCACAGTAAACACCACATTTAACAGAATAAATGTTTGTGCCATGCACTCGCAGAATGGCTTCCCATGCAAATAGTCTTCGCTGCATCACCAGCCCAAGACTTTTCTGCCATGGGGCGTATGGCACGACGTTTACTCTTCCCTCAGACTCGTTTGCTAGCCCATACTTGTACACCTTGTTGGTCTACTCAAACCCGAATCTTTGGTTACCAGTGTCTCTACTGATGTAAGATTGTGTTGGGTTCCTTTCTGGGCCTGCTTCAATGTCTATTCGGGTCTTCATCCGTCGCCAAACTTCCATATTTTTATTATCTTCATTCCATCTCAATGTTCCTTGGACTGCTACGTGTTTCCACAAGCACTGCTTCCATAAAATGAGTGGTTTATTATAACATCTTCTTTTGGTGAGTCCTTTTTAATCGATATACATACGAGCTAAGAAAGAATATAACTTAACCAATAATTTCAAGTAGACATTGTCTGACTTTGGTGCTTCTCTGTGACCAGATCTGATGTGTTGCTTAGAAGTGTGATCTCTACCCATGTTTAATTACTTTGACCTGTGATGAAGAAACTATGAAAAAATTAAAACTCTTGTACTATTAAAATAATTATGTCCAAGATTCTGCCCGAGATGCGTACTGAAAAATTTTTTGGAAATTGGCAGTTTTGTGTAATTTAACAAAAACAGGAATTTTTCACTTATCCGTTATAATCATATGATCGTCCTGGGGCTGTAACCCTTCTGATATCAGTCCTGGTAGGTGTTTATCAGTTAAGTGTGCAGTCGTATACGGAGGCAATATCAATATTGACATTTATACGTAACAGTTGGTTTATTTAGGGATTTGAAGTAAAGCTTGGTAGTAGATTCTATTCGTATTTGGACAGAACGGTTATTGACGGTACATTTAAAGCATAATATAGAGAGGTTTGGAATATTATAAGGGATTTGGATCAGATATGGCGCAATTAACACCGATAAGAGGGTTTAGTAATACCCCGGTATCCAAGACGATATGTATAGTTAGCACGTTGGTGGCATTGGGGCTTTCTATATTTCAGATGAAACATTATGTCCGGTTGTCCATTGACCCATATATATTGGAATATTCACAGTATTGGAGGGTGATAACGTATGAGATGTCGGTGATCAATGAATCTGATTACATGTTGTGCGTGTTGCTTTGGTTTCATTACAAGAACTTGGAGAGGTTCTACGGGTCGCGGAAATATGCATCGTTGATCGTGGTGTTTGCGTTGTACAATTCGCTAGTATGTTTTATTGTCATGAGTTTGGGGCAATTGGGAGTGAATCTTGCAGTGTACTTGATTTCGTCAATTGCCAATGGAGGAAAGGGAGATATTGCGTATAATACAACTGTATTTAACCAAGTGGCACTGGGCCCGTTGGGAATATTGTCGTCATTGTATATTTGTTATGGGGCAAACATACCCACATCATATAAGTTTAAGATATTGTTGTCCAAGCCTACGCTACTGGACGACGGGGAGGTGCATCCGTCTAATTCGAGCAAAGAATTGGTGCTAACCAATCATTTCCAGATTCATATAATTTATACGTTATTGCTCCTTAACAATGGATTGGGGTCGATAATACCGTGTTTGGTAGGCATAGCCCTTGGGAAATTGCACTCAAATGAATTGCTTCCAGGTGCCAGGAACTGGTTAATCCCTGTGAGTGTCTTTGAAGCGTTCATGCATCCTCGTAAGCTCGTAAGTAGCTTATGGCCATCCACCAGAGGAAGACGAAGTGGTGGCTACCAAACAATCGACAACGCTAATGCTAACGTAAATGATCTGATGGCTGATGAAGATACAGAAGAGGTTCTAGACGAAGGTAGAAGCAATAACCAAGCCCATGAAATTAGAGCAGAAACACCTGTCAGGCCCTTAGGCAGCCAGTTCTTGGACACGTTCAGAACATGATCTACATAGCAAAATTAATATAGTATATAGTATATACAAATCAATGCATTAATATTTATCGATATATTACAAAAAGTGCACTAGTTAGTTCCGTTCAATTCTTAGCGCCTTCTTCAGCAGCTCTGAGTTTCTTTCTTCTTTCAACATCCCAATTATACAATCTTGCCGTATTCACCTCCATGGTGGTGATATTCTCTTTCAAAAATTCCAAATCTTCCTTGACAAGTTCCAATTGTGCCTTGTTGTTCTTCAATCTGTCGTTTAATAATTCAATTGCTTCGTCAAGTGGGTATTCCAACATAACCTCCGCACCTAACCATAAGTAGACTGATTCTAACTTCGACGCATCTATGGTGGCCCTGGTGTATAAAGTATCGTTCAACTCATAATTAGTTTCGATGATTTTGTCTTCTTCGTCGTCACTCTTCTTAGTTTCCTTGATATGATTTATAATGTCCAAGTTCTTCTCAATATCGGGTATTTTAACATTCAAATCTCCTAATTGTTGTTTCTTGGACACTTCCATAAATTTGTATTGCTGTAAACGATCCTGAAACGCAGCAATAACCTTATCAAAGTCAACATCCGGATTCTTGACATAATCTTCTACTTTATCTATGAATGGAGCTTCTGGAATACCACGAGGGTTGGTATTGGTAATTCTGGATGGTTAGTACATGATTTTAACAAAAGGTCCTAAACCCATATTCATATTTTGTTTAAGAACATACTTAAGGATATCTGTCATCTATAATGTGTATTGACGTATTGTCAGTATAGAAGTAATCGATAGTGGTAGTCTTCAGATCAATGATGTCTATATTTCACGATGTCGTATAATGTCGTAGTAAATGTCGTAGTAAATGTCTGAATTAATGTCGCGATATATGTCGCGTAAGGGTTAAGAATTTTTCGCGTCTTGTGTTTACATTATGCTATATTTACGAAAGCACGCTGGAAAGATTATATTATTATTTGAAAAATTTCATATAGAGAAGTCTTGCTCGTGTGACTATTTAAACTAACTGATATCCTAGAGTTGTCTTCTTGTATTAGGTTCTGTAGAATCCTTAAATTCCAAATCAAAAAATGTATTTCTCATTTTTTGCAGCCTTCGCTGCGTCCTTTCTTTTATTGAATTTTTCACTCGCTTATCCAAAAGCAGACTTAACTATTAACCCGGAGGCTTTTCACCCTCGTATTATGGCTAAGGTAATCGCGACAAAGAATAAAGATGGCTCATGCTATGCTCATAAGGTAGCAAAGGGCGAAACGTGCCAATTTATGATGAACAAGTTTTCCATTACGAAAGATAATCTTATGAAATGGAACCAAAATAATTTCGGTTGGATGGGATGCGACAACGGTCACCCATGGATTGGAGACAAAGTATGTGTTAGTGATGGTACGCCTCCAAAGCCAGCATATAACAAACTTGCAGAATGTGGGCCTCAGGCTTCTAGTGACGGAACTGACATTAAATGTCCTTTAAATGCATGCTGTAGTCCATACGGATTTTGTGGCTTAACTTCCGATTTTTGCGCTGTAACCAAGAGTCCAACAGGCGCACCTGGTACAGCTGGGTGTCTCTCAAACTGTGGGTACGGTAAACTTCATACAGATACAAGAACGGACTTCAAGAAGATAGTTTACTGGATAGACTCGAATGACAAATTAAAAACTGATCCAAAAGCTTTGAAGAGTTACTACTCGGTTCATTATTCTTTTGTGAATATTAAATCGGACCTCACGATCGATGATTCAAAAATTAAGACAAGTTCATTCTTGGGTATTACGAACAAGAAGATCGCCAGTTTTGGAGGTTGGGAATTTAGCACATCTCTATCAACCTACAATATTTTCAGAAATGGTGTTGCTGATGCAAATAGAGAAAAATTTGCGACCAATTTAGTTAATTTTTTGAAGAAATATAACTTAGATGGTATTGACTTAGACTGGGAATTTCCTGGTCTCACTGGTATTTCTGGTATTCCAGATGACGATAAAAAAGATGGTCAAAGGTATTTAGAATTGTTGAAGCTTATTAAATCTAAATTACCAGCCGGTAAAACATTATCTATTACTATCCCTGCTTCGTTTTGGTATTTGAAGAATTTCCCAATTAAAGATATGCAAAAATACATCGATTATCAAGTGTTTATGACCTATGATATTCGTTCCAGTAACGATAATCTTGTTCAATGCCACACGAATAAAACTGAAGTTATCAATGCTCTTAAAATGTTAGATAAGGCAGGTGTTCAAATAGGTAAGACATATGGTGGTTTGGCTAATTACGGTAGATCGTATAAGTTATCTTCAACATCTTGTTCTACCGTGGGATGCCCAGTTTCTGGGCCAGGTAAAAAAGGACCTACAGTTAACACTGATGGTGTGTTGGCTCAGTCCGAAATTGATAAGATTACAACCTGGGGTGTTAAAAACAAGAGGTGGACTGATGATGCATCTCAATGTGATTTTATGATTTATGACACTAACAATATTGTAGGCTGGCCTAAGGTTTCTCAGAGGAATAGTATGGAGGATTTCTTTCACCATTCTGGTTTAGCTGGTTCTGTATTATGGGCTGCCAATTATAACTGAACAAATATAGTTCGTCGATTCATCCTTCAATATTTAATCTTGTATTTAGTTTAATAAAAGTTATCATGATTTTGTAATAGGTGTTTGTAAGCGCATATCATTTAATCAAAAATATAAAAGCATATATAATGAATATCTTAAGGTTTGTTTTGCTTCTTTCTTAAATCATATACATTTAAGACAGCTTCTGCGGCTTTGACACCAGAGAGAGCCATGGCCCCAAAAGTTGGGCCCATTCTGTTGGAGCCATCAACTTCTGCCAATTCCATACCTGTCACAACCAAACCTGGGGTGACTTCTCTTGTCCCCTTAACAATTGCATCTTCTGCGCTATTCATATCTAAACCTCTCATATGACCTAACTTTATACATCCCAATTTGTCCAAACGCTTTGCACTACCTGCACCAAATGGACCGTCGTGGCCAGATGCAGAAAGAATAACATTAGCATTGATGGTGTTAGGATCCATACATGACTGAGTGTCATGATTAAGGGAGACAAGAGTCCAGTTAGTGACAACACCACAGATTCTTAAATCACCAGTAGTTTCATCACGACGAGTGATCAAATCTTCGACGGCCGTAGCATTAAATAATTTAACATTTGGGAACAGAAGAACCTTTGATAATAAAGTTGACATGAAATAAGCAGCATGCTTTACAACAACATAATCACCTTCATCTTCGTATTCAAGACCTAATTCTTCTAAGAAGAGGTGTGCAGGTTTACGCAACACCATAGCAGAGAATAATTGACCACCTAACCAGCATCCACCACCTGGACTTACACCGGCTTCAATGATTGCAATCTTGAGTTCTGGACGGTTCTTGGCCAAAATATAAGCTGCGGATAATCCAGCAGAACCAGCACCAATAATAACAACATCTGATTCAGCGTATTTATCCAAGTCGGCAAAATAACGGCTTGTCATGGCACGAGAAACTGTAGATTCTCTAATAGGTGTAAATTTGAACTTGTCCCAATCAGCAAATTTAACATCTGCATTCTGTGCATCTGATGACATCCTAACAACTCTGTCCTCTGTAACAACAGGGGAGAATGCTTGTCTAACAGATGTTTCAATCATAGTAGGAGGTGCCATTTTGTATAATATTTATAAGTGTACTAGTATACTTTGTAAATTGTAATTGTTGAAATGCAGATCAAGGTGTGCCTTAAATAGTTTTTCAAACAAGGAGCAACGGACTTCAGCTGTCCTCTTAAATGATCCTCTTAAGAGTTTATTCACATTGGAAGGGAGGAGATCATAATAGAATTACGTTTTAACCTACAAAAGGTTTCACGTCCAACATATTCTATTTCATATTGGCGCAATACAAGGTCGCATAATCGCATGAATGTTATATGAGCTGCTGCAAAATTATCGCATGCGAGAAATCTCTAAATGCATAAATCAAACATTCAATTATAGCGCCCCAATTTATAACGTTACGGGATTCCAGGAGACATGTATGCGTATAATGGTTACAAGTAATGTACATAGCTATTTAGATTTTTGGCTGAACCCCTTAAAGTAACGGTCTCTGAAATTTTTAATTTGGTTCGCTCTTAACCCATTAGAAGTCTCGCCCTTAAAATCGTCATCTCTTCTAACATAAACCAATAGCCTTCTGGACCATTTATTGAATTCTTGCTCTAGATTATATATGAGTTCCAAATTTTCGTGCTGGGGAATTAAGTTGGGTTCAAAATCATCGTTTGCAGTAGGCATCCAGAATGCGAGCCTACCATTTATAGGCAATCTATTGGCAGCAAAATTTAATAAATCATCTAATAAGTTCGACAATTCGTATGGTTTCTTGGGTTGAATGAAATCTTTTCTTAAATGGGCTTTCTCTCCGTCTATAACTACGTTTTCCCTACCAGCAGCTTTTTCTGGATCCTTGGCACCACAAACCTTTAAACCTTCTCTGACACCGTATGGAGGATCACAGACTATGGTATCGATCTTCAAATCCGAACGAAATGCATTGTTGGTAAAATCCATGGTCAAAATGTCCAAGAAATTCAACGTAGTACCGTACTGTTTGAAATTTGCCTTGATGTTACACTTGTCATTTTTACCTCTCAATATGCGAATATCAATATCAGATCCAATAGGTAATCCACCAAAGTTAGCTGCTGCAACCAAAAAGGAACCAGTACCGGTAAATGGATCGTATGTTATTTTGCCTGGTCCAACCTGACCTATATTACAACTGACTAAAGACAATTCAGCATCAAAGGAAGTGGTACCAATGTACTTTCTGCGTCTCAAGTCGTATTTATCTAATATATTCTCAGTTCTTGCACTCAATTGGATCTGTCTTCCAAACCACATATTAATAGGAGCTATGGCCTTCTCGGTCCCATGAACATGGTATTCTTCAAGAACGTTGAAGATTTCATCTGGGTATTTCATTCTAATCGGACCTTCGAACGCTAAATACGAGAAAGATTCTATCATCTCAAATTTCTCCTTAGTGCTTCTCTTCCCCATATACCCGATGAAGTCAAATTTAAATGATACTTTTTTGTATTCGGCAAACCTTTCGCTCGATTTTTGTTTAACATCCTCGTGTAATTCCTCTAGGTTCTTTCCCCGGCCCCATAACTCATATATTCCTCTTCCTAATATGGAACGTTCCATGATTTTGCGGGCCTGGTCATCGTTTTCCAACTTAACGATTAAAAATGGATTCTTCTCATCGTGATGAGATAAGTCTATGGAAATGCCATGGTAAGCAGCTAACGATTCCAACTCTGCCCTTCTGAAGTTGGGATACGCCTGGGCGAAATATATCAAGTATTCCTTCATGTTGATATACAGTATACTAGAGGTTTAATCGTCTGACTCAAGATCATCTCGAATATTGGAAAAAATTAATGCGGCTCGCTTCACGGTTTGGTCAATTACTGCAAATAAGCTATACTTAGCCCAAACCAATTCATATCCTTCCAGACCATTGTGTAAGGAGATTGTCTGTAGAAGGTATCTGATCAAGTCTATTTTTCACATAATTTAAATATCCTTTTTCTGTTGATACATACTGTCTTATAAGCTCTGCTAATCTACTATTTCTCACGATTATTGCAAAATACTAAAATAATAAATATCTGCTAGCATTAACATTATCTTTTACAAAACAGACCAAAAATAACCATCCTATATTCTACATGGAGATATCCAATACAACAGTACGGAATTAAACCATTGAACCAATTGCATATAGCAGTGTAGCAATGGTCGCAAATGAACAGCCTTGCAAATATTCTTAACATTTTAAGCCTAAATACTCTCAATATGCCCACCCAATTACATCTTCCGTTGCTTTCTTTCATTCAACACCCTTTATTCACCATCCATCATTCTACATCCTTCACTCTCCTCCCATACCAGCCATATACCCTGTTATCATATCGTGGCTGGCCTAGTGGGACCAAATTACATAAGCTGGCCAAATATTTTGGTCAACACACGTCCTATCATTGTGACTGAAAATTAACCGATGGCGTTGAACTGGAAACTCCTTTTGATTCCTTTTCTTTAGACAAAGTTATTGATAAATCCATATTAAACAACTAATATAATATAGTATTCAATTGAAGTGATTGGTTGACTAAAAAATTCCAAGTATCTAAAAAAATCAATTTGTATCTACTACATAGATCTTTTGTTTAGTTTTATACAATTTCCATATTTCAATAAACTTAAATTGTCTTGATACTATTTATCCGTATATTAGTTAGTCCCAATAGTTAGCAATGTCTTCCTACGATGATGATGAAGCCCTTTTCGAGGATATCTAGTAAGTATTTTTTAATTTTTGGGTGGTGATTTTGAGAAGGCTCGTTGGAAACGAGGATTCGTTCTTGAGATTCTCAAGACATTGTCAAGAGGCCAAAATTTGAAATGAGTATACTAACCGTTGTAGCGGTGACGATGATAAATCCACCACAGTGAAGGAACAAAGCAATGAGAACCACGAAGAAAAAAAGGAAGAAACTCCTGCTAAAGATGAAGCTCCAGCTCAAGGAGAAACAGCTAATGCCGATGCAAATGAAGCCAAAGCGGAAGTGTCTGCTTCGGGTACACCAGTCCAACAACAGGCCGTGGCACCAGCAGTAGCACCTACTCAAACCGAACAGAATGCTATTCCACCACCACCACCTGTGTCGGGTCAAATGCCTGGTCAAATGCCTGGTCAAATGCCTGGCCAGATGCCGGGCCAGATGCCGGGCCAGATGCAAGGTCAACCACCTCAGATGCCAGACTTCCAACAAATGCAGCAAATGCAGCAAATGCAGCAGCAATTCCAAGGAGGCATGCCATTACCCCCACAACCACCACAAGCACCTCAACCACCACAACCACAGCAGTTACCACCATCAAACATGGGTAAAGATCATGGTAAGATGTTTATCGGTGGTCTTAATTGGGATACAACTGAACAAGGATTGGTTGAGTATTTCACTAAATATGGTGAAGTTATCGATCATACTATTATGAGAGATAATAATACGGGTAAATCCCGTGGGTTTGGTTTCTTAACTTTCAAAGATCCGAAGTCGGTTGATGAAGTTATTAAAACTGACCACATATTAGACGGTAAATTGATTGATCCTAAAAGGGCCATTGCCAGAGAAGAACAAGACAAAGTCGGTAAGATTTTTGTTGGTGGTATCGATCCAATGGTTAACGAAAAGGACTTCAATGACTTCTTTTCTCAATTTGGTAGTATTATTGATGCCCAATTGATGATTGACAAGGATACTGGTAGATCGAGAGGTTTTGGTTTTATTACTTATGATTCACCAGATGCTGTCGATAGAGTTACTGTGAATAAGTACTTAACTTTGAAGGGTAAATCCATGGAAGTCAAGAGAGCAGAACCAAGAGGCCAACATCAACAGAATCAATTACAGCAACAACAGCAACAACAACAGCCATATAATTATGGTAACTACGGTAATCAATATGGTCAAACGCAATATCAGCAACCAGGTATGGCTGCTTATGGTCAAGGGATGAATGGTATGTCACCCGAAATGATGCAAGAATATTGGCAAAGAATGCAACAATGGTACATGTATCAGCAACAACAACAAGCTCAAGGCAATACCGGTGATTACAATCAGCAATCAGAGCAACCTGAACAACCATTGAATCCTCAGCAACAAGCCTCCAGCGAGCCTCAAGACAATCAAGAGGCAGAAAATGGATCTGACAGTTCTGGCACTCCAAGTGGACCATCAAGAAGAATGAATTTACCAAAAGGACCAAGAAGAGCTCCACCTTCCGGCCCATCTGGTAATTCGAGAGGTAGAGGTGGTTACCAAAATAGAAATAGAGGATACCATCCATATAGTAGGGGTGGAAGAAGATAATCTCTCTATGTTGATTGGTATTTTTTCGTTCTGAATTAACTTTTTGCTACAGAGAATCATTTATTGAATCAGATTCTACCAAGTAAAGTTATTGGTGAATTATGTATATTTTATATTCTTTAAATCGAAATTATTTCACGACAAAATTGTAGATATCTATTTACGTTTTCTACTTGGACGAGCATTCTTAGCTCTCTTCTTTTCTTTACTTGCTCTTGCTTTTCTAATATCTTCGGTTGATCTAAGCTCTTGTTTCTGACCAGGCTTGTTGTAACCTTTAACTTGCATTCCTGAATCAACAGCCTTCTTGACCTTTTCTTTCTGTTTATGATAATCATCTCTAAACTTATCTGGCATCTTTGGAGCTGCAACTTTCTTATGTTTGAACCTTCTATCTTTACCATTTGTAGCATTAGATTCCATTGCACCTGTCTTAGTTGGCTTCAAGTTTCTTTGCTTCTTCCAATCATCAAATCTACCAGATCTATAAGTCGCTGGAATCCTTTGACCACTTTCACCAATAATGAACTTCTTATCAGTTGAGTGTGCATTAACGTAATTACCTTTCTTTCTATCCCATTGCATGACCTGTTTGTTACCCTTTAATTTTTCATCATTATCCAAGTCGAAGGTAGCCTTAGCTGCATCATTTGCAAATGATGATGATAAGGCTAATTGCTGATCTTGAATAACAGATGCTGGTGCATAATGTGAAAGGAAAAATTGAGGATCTCTGAAACTCTTTCTCTTTTCATTCTTCTTTTTCTCAATCAACTCATCTGCATCTTCAAACGCGTCTTGTAATTCCTGTTCATCTGCTTCAATAGTTGTTCCAGAATAGCCAACTTCATCATCGTTTTTCAAGATCTCATTTTCGATACCATGAGTTAAACCTGCAATCCTTTCTTTTTCTAACAATTCTCTTCTTTCTTTAGCTCTTCTTTGAATAGGAGCAATTTGCTTTCTTCTTTTATGCATAAACTCAACTAAACTATCTTCATCTTTATCGTTACCTTTTTTGTTAAATTCAAAGACGGTCTCTTTAGACTTTCTATTTAAGAGTTGAGTTAAGAATCTTTCTTTTTCTTTCTCTAAGTTAGGCCCAAATAATAAATGCTGATCATCCCAGTTACCCGTTTGTAAAATTTCCTTTGATCTCTTCAAAGACTCCTGAGATGCTGGTTGTCTCGTACGGTAATACAATTTTTCACCTTTAGTTGCGACACCTTTAACAACACTTAATTCATAATGGTTCCTTAATATATTTTCATATAACTCTTGAAAGGTTTCAATGTCAACTCTTGGGATTGATCCAAGAACTAATCTATCTGTATATGATACTTTTGGTTCTACGTGGTTCGATTGTTGTCTCTGTTTCAACATTTCACATTTCTTTTCATGCATGGATGTTAATAAAACTTTCCTACCCAAAAATAATTCTAGGTCCAATAAGTATGGTAATTCTTTTTCGTTCACAATAGAATATGCCCAACCTGAATTACCAGCTCTTGCTGTTCTACCCACACGATGAATAAAAATCTTTGATGAACCAGGTAATGTGTAATTAACGACATTAGCCAATATCGGAATATCGATACCACGAGCAGCAACATCCGTAACTACTAATATACTAGTCATCCCAATACGGAATTGATATAACTGTTGTTTTCTAGCATGTTGGTCAAGGGTACCATAGATATAAGATACTAAATATCCAGCATCTTTCAATAAAGTGGTCACATATTCAACATGATGTTTAGTTGGCACGAAAACAATTGTAGAATGCTTTGATGGCAACACATTAGCTGGAGGTAATCTTTCTTTTTTAAACCTAAACCTCTTTTTCTTGCTATTTTTGTCGTCATCTTCAGCTTCAGAATCAGACCCATTATCTCTCTTATCCATGTCACTATATCTTTTCACTTCTTCAGGAGACGCTAAGGGTAATTTAATAACCTCTTGTAAAACATATAACAAACTTGCCTCTCTTTCATTGTTTTTGATAGAGAAGAAAGCCATTTGCAATTGATCGGAAATCTTAGTTTCAGCATCTAATCTGACCAAAACTGGATTCGTTAAACCCGCCTTTGCGAAATCGATCAAAGATCTTGGTAACGTTGCAGAGAATAAAAGGGACTGTCTAGATGAAGGCAAAGCAGCAATTAGTTCATTCAATTGCTCTGCAAAACCCATTTCGAATAATCTATCGGCTTCATCAAAAACAATATATTCTACGGTCTTCAATTCTAACTCCATTTCAACCTTTAAATGCAAGAAACGACCAGGAGTAGCCACTATAATGTCTGGGTTGGTCATCATAGAAGAAAACTGCTCTTCTAATGAATCACCACCAATTAAGACTATAGATCTTAAATCGGTACCTTTACTGAATTCTTTAACTTGTTTAAACGTCTGCAATGCTAATTCTCTTGAAGGTGATAAAATAATAGCACGTACACCAACTTTTGGACTATGACTTTTCAATTTTTCAACTAATGGTAAAGTAAAGGCTGCTGTTTTACCAGAACCTGTTCTAGCCATACCAACCACATCTCTGTTTTCCATAATCAACGGAATTGTCTTTCTCTGGATAGGAGTCGGTTGTTTAAACCCTTTCTTGGATATGTTAGTTAACAAAAATTTAGAAAACCCAAATGACGGAAATGAACCATTCTTAGCCTTTTTAGCTTGAGGGTTATTTGCAACAAAATAAGATGCCATATCCTTTGATTCGTTATCACCTTCATCATCTGATAATTCCAAAGATGGGAATGTTTGCTTGGCCTTTCCCTTGTCTAACTTCTGTTTTTTATTTGGCTTATGCTTAGTATCATCGTCATCAGAGATTATTTCATCCTGCACTTCTTCATTATCGGAGCTTAAATCTGATTCAGGTTCTGAGTCAGAGCCTGCTAAAGCAAGCTTTCCTGCAATATCGTAATCTTCTTCGTCTGACATTATGCAGATATTTATACTTATAGGCTGATAATTCTGATAAATATTGGTATTAATACTTAATTTTCATCTCATCACATAGAAAAAATATTCGCAGTGCTCATAATACGTCAATTATAATAACATAATTAATTCAAGATATACTCCATTTAATAATTGGAAGAAGGACAATCAAGTAGTACTCACAGCTATATTAGCTCTATTCTATTTATAATGAATGTATAAAAATAAAGAAAAACTAAGTAAGAAAGCAAAAATTTCGCTTAAATTCATGAACTTATGATAAGGCCAAATTAGAACAGCTTAGTAGTTTTCGAACATCGGAGGTGGGCCTATGCGAAGAAACCAACACAATCAGCAGGCAATGGAAAGTCTTTATTAGCTAGCTAATCTATAGCATGTTAACTCGAACTTAAAGCTTGCAAAGCTATGCAATAGGGACTTAAGTACTCATGACAGATGTCCATATGACAAGATTGTAATAATATCATAAAGGAGGATATAATTGCCATGCAGAAAAGCATGCCTTGTCTATGCTAGTATCTTGTCAAACTCATCCATGTTTTCCAATTCGTCTTGTTGTGCAACTCTTTTCAACACTTCTCTCTTAGAAGACTCTTGTATGTATCCATCTAGGAGCAATTCATCAAGAATATGGTAAGCTTTGTCAAATCCAAAAATAATGTCCAATTCACAAACATTACCATATACTTTATCCATTTGTTCAACAAACCTATGTATAATTTCCAAGGACAATAATTCATTATCGCCAGACTCAATACCCACTATAAAAAATAACGAAGCATAACGACGATAGACAATCTTTATATCCTTATATTCTAACACATTGCACATTTTGGCTCGTCTTGATAAGATTAATGTTGTCAATTCTCTGGTAATTTTGGACTTTTCTTTTTGAGAAATAGTTTGATACCACTTCGATAATCTTACTTTTCCTTGTCTAGACAATAATAGCAAGAATTGCGCTGCCATGATTGAACTATATTAGTATGTTTGTATGTTAAAGTAATGTATGTATTATAGGAGTATGTAAAGAGTGTTGTTGTAATACGAGAAATGTTGTTGATCTCAAAATCGCATCATGTGAGAACCTATGTATCAACGCTTACTAAACACGGTTTTAAGGAAAAATTATACAAGATACATAGAGAGATACCATTAAATGAAGGATGGGTTCTATCGAGAGAATAGTTGAAACTGAATACTTATTGTATGTGACAAATTTGGAAAAATTCCTAGGGTAAATCTTTATGTATGAATTAAGTAAATAATGCTAAACTATTCTAATGTAGATATTGTTGATTTAAGGAAGTCCAAATGATCATTGATTTCTTGGCATAGCTCAACCCTATCAACATCTTTGAAGATACCAACTTGAATATTCAATTCACAAAGCAAAGTCTTCATGTTTGTCCATTGAACTGTCTCGAAATCGTGTCCTAATTTTATTCTGACACCTGTTCCGTACAATCTTAACCTGTTCCCATTTTCATCAAAAATTTTACCAGAGACTTTCAATTCCCACGGGTCTAGCTTAGGGTAATTCGCATGAACAAATAGAATCCGTGCTCCATTTTTTAATAATGGATCGTTTTCAATGATCTCCTGTCGTTCTTTTTCGGATTTATTTTCGAGAAGTTTTCTTTTCTTACTTACATGGTAATCTTCAATTGGATCAAATTGTCCCATACCAGTTCCTTCGAAGCCTGTAGGCTTCATATATCCAAGAGCATTTAAAAAGTGTGCAACTTGATGGAATGGCTTTTTCAATGCTACAGTGGCAGCAATGAATGTTTCTTTGTCTCCTTCACCTGGAGACCCTTGCGAGAAGAGAGGATAAAAGTGGGTTGGCCCAAATAAGTTATAATATAATGCTAATAAGAGCGGCCTAATATGGGTCTTTTTCGAAATCATTAACTGGCCTGATTCTGAGCTAGGATCAGGAATGGCGCCTTCTCTTAAATGCAATGGTAGATCCTTCACGTCTAATTCTTTAATACCATCATCTAGCTTTTCATATGCTCCAGTTTCAGCATTATATCTATCGTATAGCTTTTTATTGCTGAGGTTTATACCAGCAATTTTATAATAACTGGGCGATGTTGTTCTCTTCCAGAAATCCGGCCAAACAATCAATCCGTTGGACTTGAAAGATTCGTCTTCAAAAAGATTATCTGGGTGACGTACAGGAACATTGTCACTATCTAATAACAAGACATTTTCAAAGCTCAGCAATAAAATTGCTAAAGCTTTATACTGATAACCCTTGAAGGTAAACTTTGAAATAAAACTGTCTTCTTTCTGATCATCCAAGGCATATGGAAGATATATACACCGAGCATTAAGAGCCGGGAATACTCGTGCACATAATTCAGGTTCGTATTCATCCAAAGTGGGTATCAAAACCTCGATTGGCAAGTCTGAACCCATAGCTCGGATAGATTTAATTGACAATAATGTCAACCAATTGAATTTACCACCACCAACATAAACAATTCCACTACCTGAATATAATCCTCCAGGGGCTTTTTCAGGCAAGTTTTCAACCACATATTTATGAGACTCAGTCATTGAATCCAACTCCTCTTGATCGAGTTGTAAGAATTTCGATAAATACTCTTCATTGAATACTATTTCATCATTTGTTCCGGTGGTATATCTACTACGAGGAATTCGTTCTTCAGAGAGATACCTATCCAACTTTTCAACCTTTGGTTTTCCTTCGTAGAATACCTTGAAAATTGATTGGTAAAAAACATGACCAGCCAGTAGACGGTTTTTGTTCGGATCAATTTTTTTATAGGATTCACGGATTAATCTTAACTTCGTTTCGTCTAACATCTTATCAAGCTTTTGGTTCGATGTAGTAGTTATCATATTATTGAATTCACTCAGTGATGCAGCATCTGTCTTAGCGAACGGTACTGTTTTCTTTTTATTTATATTAAATTTGGCCAATTTTTCCGACAAGTATGTCAATATGCTTTCTGATTGATGTGGATCACTCACTACCGACTCATTTGTACTAATTGCACTAGAAAGTGATAGTCCATTCACGAAAAGAAATATGATAATTGTAGATATGAATACCGATATTATCAATGATATCTTGTGGCGACGACGGAATATTCGGAATTTTAATAACAGGTTATTTATTGCATTCATTTTGCCTAACCAGATTAATTGTAGGCGGTTATTTGTTGAAGATTATAAATAATTAGACGTGGTTAGTTGTGTTTATGAAATAGACGTGTGAGAGTTTTGTCCATAATTTTTTGCGGATTTAATTTGTGGGACAATTGTTCACGGTTAACTAAGGGTCTTAGACGGTGACAGAAGTGTCCACCATGGTCATATATAGCAGTTGTAGTGTAACGATACTTGTAGTTTTAATCAAAGAAAAAATTGTCTAACTAGTCTAAATGCAACATTATTTGTCTATTTACAAGCATTTTGTGTTTTCTTAATGGGAGTTTAATAAATTTAGTATATGAGGCGTGCAGCTTATGAAACTAAACAGAAAGTCTTCATCTGGATCACAGCTGCATCTATTTTCGAGTCTCGTTTGTAATGGTTGAGGACATTGTAAATATGGTGCATGATAGTAGCCAATATCACCAAACCACCATAAATCGCGTTTAGACAAAAACCACAGAATCGCCAATGAATGAACTGGAGCATCACCCCATCTCTCATAGAAGAAGCCACCTGTAGAGTCCAAATATTTGAAAAATGCCTCGTATTCAGGGTTATTGAAAATGGACAAATCGGCAATTTCGAAGTTGGACCAAAAATGACATAAATTGTACGTTTTGGCCGCGTTATCGTTCTGGACGAAGTCAATCAACTCACCGTAGGGCGTCTCGGTTTGATTATAACGGCTGATAAATGATTTGAAATGGCCCCAAAGTGATGGAATGGTCTTTTTGTACTCGAACATCGACATTACGAACCCATACTTCTTGTTGTTCGATTTCATGAACCGGAACACATCGTACGAAACGTCACAATAAAACTTCACCCCCGGTTCTATCCGCCAGTAATACTGGTACTGTGCAACAAGCGGATGTTTGTAAAAAAATCCCAGGTAGAAACGACACATATGTCTGTATGATTCACTATCCGCATACACCACGTCCTCTTCGACGAGACGAGCCCGCTGTTCACTCGCATATGTCTGATTTACCCAGCTTGGATATCCCCAATACTTCAGAGGAATCTGCCCAAAACTCAACTTCCCCTGCACAACGTACTGCGACACAATATACATAAATCGCTCGTCGAATGCCTTGTCGTTCAAAAATACCCAATCGTAATTGTATCGGTGGTTAAACCTGTCTTGTATACTCTGAATCGACTCTAGCAACTCAAACACTTCTTCGTTTCGACAAAGCACCAAAAATGTAGCATTTTCTCGTTTATACGCATCATCTGGCCTATTTTTGTTCACTACTATCGTTTGCACATCTCCCTGGTCCTCTATCTCGCGTCTAAGAAACTCCATCAATTCTCCGGAGTTACTCTCCTTATCCCAGTCCCATGAAAACTCTCCAAGTCCCAGAGTAATATTGCTATATTTTTTGGCATATCATTGAATGCTTCTATGCTTACATCATGTAGTTCATCTTGGAGTTGATCTGGATTGTCAATATTTGCATAAGCTAACCTTAGCACAAAAAATACCCATATAAACCAACAAGCAACCTTGTTTGTACCACATAACTTGAAAACCCCATCTCTAGCATTCATATTATTCTTCCATTCCACATATTATCCGGCCTTTGTATAGCCACGGCGGTAACTCCATGATTAATGGTTGATGAGATAAGACATTATTCCGGGTAACGGATTTGTCTCACGATGCCATTTTTCAAGCTTCATAAAGCTGTTAGTATGTAAATCATAACATATATTACCACGTTTTATAGACTTTTGCATATTATTTCTTTAATAAAGGGTGCTGTCGGTCTATAGTTTATATAAGTAGTTAAGATATATATGCTTAACATATACTGAAGAAAAATAATTTATTTTTGTACTTAAATCGTATTATCAGGCATTGGACTTGATATCAACACATTTAATTGAAGGCCCTATACTAGGAATATCGTTAAACACAAATATTAGGTAAATTGCATTTTTTTTTACCTAGAATTGAAAGTGAACTTGTGTATTTGGGTTATATGTCTTTCATAATAAAGAGAAATTGAAGTATAATCCATCATGGCACATGGACCAAGTGAATTCGTGGGTGCAGAGAAGCAGGTTTCAGAGAGAAAAGGACATCATAGGACTGAAAATGAGATTAGAGAAGAGAATGCCATGGATAGAGATGTGGTTAGAGACATACAAGAACGCTTTCGTGGGGGATGTGGTGAAGAAGAAGTCAGAAGTGAAAGTGACGAACCGGATTTCGCAAGAATCGAGAATCTGAAGATCCAGGGACAACATACAACGGCAACATCCTCAGATATGCCGCTGATAGTTTCGGGACGTAAAGCAGCAAGGTCATTGAGACTATTTCGCGGGGATGGAAATCGTGATATCGAGAGTTTGATAGAGATGCCCACGCCAGAGGCCGACAATAAACCGCAAGAGGTAGCGCACGAGGCCATCGCTAACGGCGGAGGAGGGAATAATAATACTGAAGCTGGGGCATCAAAAATAAGGATATCACCTGAATCAAACACTCCAGTAATTGGTAAACTTCCTGAGAATGATGCAAGTAAAATAGTTGGATTGGAACCAGTGTCGTCGGCGACATATTTTCCCCATACTCCAGCTGATCAGAAATATATCCAGTATACCATAGTTGATGCAGATGGAACATCTACCAAGACACGACACTTGACAGCTGATTTGGAGTTTGACCATTCTAGTGATGGTGATATTACCAAAATTCAAAAGTATGTCGGCCATAAAGACGATATTGACCATGTACAGAATTTGGATTCCACGAAAATAAAAAACAAACATCACGATAATAACAAATCAGTAAAGTTTGGTACTAATCAGTTCTATAGCCCAAATGTTAAAGAGCAAGATCAAGTTACACAAGCATCAGAAAATGACAAGATCGAGGAAGATGAGGTTGAAGGCTTGGCTGACTTGACGATAGATGAAGAAGTGTTTCCATTGGCGGTAGAATTAAGACCGTTCAAAAATAAAGTAGGGGGACATACTGCAATTTTTCGATTTTCACGTAAAGCAGTATGCAAAGCATTAATGAATCGAGAAAATTTATGGTACGAGGTAGTAGAGTTAAGACTCCCCGAACTATTGAGGTTCATGCCAAAATATATTGGTGTTTTGAATGTCAGGTATTCAAGTATAATCACTGAAGATCCGACGAGTCAAGCACCCTCAAGGAAGAATAGCATGGTTGAAGAAAATATGAATAATAAGAAGAAAGATTTTAATTTTGGAAATATGTTGATTAATGAAGACGACGAGTTACCTCCAGAAGTTGTACTTGATGATAATAAACATATCATACCAGATTTATTGTGGAAGCAATATTCTACATCAGCCCCATCACCTAACGGATCATTAATTCAGAAGCAGAACAGTGGTACTTCATTAGAGACATCTCCATTTAAGAATTCTGTATCGTCATCTAACACATCAGTCACAAACTTTTTCCCAGCATCTCCAAGGAATAATGAAGTTTGGTCTACATCAGTTAACAAAGACTTGCAAGTACAAGTAATCCAAGAAGTGTTTTCATCTTCCCATAAGAAAAAGAAATCAGAGACAGGTGATGAAATATTTTGTATGGATGATGAAAATGCCATCGTTGACTTAGATAGCAGTCAGTACTCCCAAGGAGATGACGATTTCACAGAAGAAAGGCGACAACATCCGGCGCGTCGTAGCTCGTCCATATCGTCACCCAGACATAATGGACAAATGCTAAGGAAACACACGAGGTTTGAAAGATTTATTTTATTAGAGGACTTGACGGCGGATATGCAAAAGCCATGTGTTCTTGATTTGAAAATGGGCACGAGACAATATGGTGTTGAGGCTAATCCAGCCAAGCAGAAATCACAGCGCAATAAATGTTTGAACACAACTTCAAGATCTCTTGGGGTCAGAATTTGTGGATTACAAGTATGGAACTTACGACACGAAAGCTATTACATCAAGGATAAATATTTTGGAAGAAAGGTCACTAAGGGTAAGGATTTCAGCAAGGTTTTGTCGAAGTTTTTGTATGATGGAAGGCTGATATATTCGATTCTCAGCAAAATACCTAAGCTAATTGTTCAATTGCAAGAATTATATGAAATCTTCAAGACTCTTGTCGACTACCGCATGTATGGATCATCGATTTTGTTAATGTATGACGGCATCGACAATATGGACGATATCAAAGTAAGAATTATAGACTTTGCACAATCAGTCATTGCCGGGGAAAGCCTTCCACAGTCCACCACAATCCCGCCTAAGAATACTGGGTTACCGGACAGAGGATATTTGCGAGGCTTAAACTCTCTCATAGGATATTTCAAGACGATATTCAGGATTTTGTCCGGGGTAGAATATGTCCTGTTTGAAGAGTCGAAAAACTTAGTTGAAACGAAGAAGGAAGACTTCCAGAAAACGGCAAATAAGTGGTTGGATGAATACGTCGATAACTCTAGCGATTCCTCAGACGACTTTGGGGACCAGTTTGAATGCGAGTATCCCGACTACAACTATTCTGACGAAGGAGGAATATCTGAATAATGTATATATGTATAATAGACAAATTACGACTAAATGAAACTGTAACTACATTTGCCATCACACAGAACTGTAGGCAGCTTCAGTGTTCGGGTATATTCCATGCTAAATTATACTTATACCAGCTCAGACCGCAGCAGCATAGATATATGGCAGAAAACCTGCATTTTTAGATATGCTATTATGCGAATCATGCAAGTCTGCAACCAATAAATATGGTAAAATATAAATATCTGTACACGTATTATGACGACATGACAGTCTTCTGATCAAGTAAGAGCAAAATTTTATCAGCTAGTTGACATACAACTGTGAACTTGCTGGTGATGGGCGAAGTATATGGTCCAGCAGAACCAAACCAAATACACATACAATCCATGTACTGTATATTAACAAGACATGTGTCTAATTTACATATATTGTACATCAGTTACCATACTACATTACCTACCGAATGTCATAAGGGTATAATCCAAATTTGCTGTTACAAGCATCATGGCAAAGGTGTCGTCATGAAATAATTTCTGATAGCATGACCTAAGGCCATATTACAGCAAGTTATGGTAATTAATGACAAGGTCTAATATCCTAACATCAAAAGCCTCTCCTAAAAGAGTAGTCTAATATCAAGTACACTACTACATAATCAATTGATATAATTTGCAATCTATATTCCCATAACAACTAGTCTGCTAAATCTGGTCTGCTAAATCTGGTCTGCTAAATCTGGTCTGCAAACAATAATCATGCACACTAGTAATGGCAACTAATACCAGCCTACTTACCCCAACCTATATTCTTCCTAGCCTACTGATAGCAACCTATTGTCTACTAAATGTCAAATCATTTCCTATATCAACACAATCAACTTTAAGCCTCCTATTCCAGTAATCCTACTAACTATGCTCACATTGCGCTCATAGTCTAATTGTCCTCTTATTGCCGATCTAGGCCGATACACAATAACCGCAAGCACTTGCTGCCTAAAGCCTCTGCGATCTTTACCCGTTCCAGTAATTTTTCTCCCTACACCGTTGTCCCGTTTTAAGCTATCCATGCCTATATATACCGAGAGCAGTCCTCTGTTTACCCAGCGCCCCCCGTATCCATGCATGTTCAATCAACGATGGTGCACCGCGAGGTGCACTGGCAAATTTGCGCTATTAATTTCGATTGGCTAGAAATTTGCCTGCACTTATTTTCTTAGTTTCTTACCAATAGAACGTTCGCAATGTTCACATCCAATCCTCCCATCCTTCCCTCTGCACTAATGAAGCATCCATAACCGTGCAATTCACACACGAAAATTGAGTCACGATGTAGCATGAGTCGTGGATTGGATGATAGTACCCAGATTTGGGAGCTCCTGTTGCGGGCCCAAAGTTGGACCTCACTCTAACAGAAAATGTCTGCGAAATCAGCGTAAAGAAATGGCAGGAAAAAAAAAACGCAAAATAGTATAAAGTGCCATTTTCCCACTGGTAAAATCTAGAGTATTTAGATAAATATATAAAAAAAATTTTTCTATAGGATTTATTAAGTTTTTAACTATCCACAGTTACAATTTTTCGTTGTATTAAGCGTTCCTTTTAGATAAAAAGATCCTTTAAGAGAAAAGGTTTTTTTAGATTTAAGGGCCAAATAGGTTTTTTTTAGGTGAAGCAGAAGCTGACGGTACAAGGTTAGAGATTCGATAGAAGAAGTACGAATACTCAAAACGGAGATATATACCATACAAATAACACAGGTATATACTAGCTATCGGGATTTTATTGATAGCGGCAAAAGATTACATATTGAGGATTTTATTTTTTTTTGATTTGACACTTTCTGGGGATAAGAGATATAATATGAGTTATTGATAGTCAATATTCTGTATTGGTATCATCATTTAGTCAGTTAGCAAGAAAAGCAAAAAAAAAACATTTTATATATTCATTCAGCAAGAAGCCATGTCATTCTTGAGTCTTTCAAAGAAGAAGTCAGCAGTGCCTACGTCAAATACGTCGCCGACCTCGAGCTTACGCTCGAGTTTCAGCGCCTCCTCGACGGGCAGTAACACCGGCTGCAGTCATAAGAACACATTTGTCAAATTTGACGAGAAAAAGGACTACGTTCGTCGTTGTCATATGAAGAAGAAGTGTTCGAGCAGTGGCGACAAACACCCTGCACCCATTTCATTCTGTTTGGGTAAAAAGTATTGAGAGGGTTCCTTTGCCCTAGTCCCGTACATACGGGCATTTAATGTTGTAATATGGTTGTGGTTGTTAAGAGGAAATTAATTTATTTGGTTATTTATCGTATTACACTGGTAAATCGGGAAATAATTATGTATTATATATTACGTATAAGGTTGGAATCTTTAAATAGATTGTCAAATATATGTCTTGTATTATACGAGATGATACACTCCGATTGTGGTGTGTATTGTTTTTAAGCTCATATATAATACAGACAAGACTATATGGATATTCGTGGCATAAAAATAACCCTCATATCGCCTAGGAACTACCATCTTTCTTTACAAACTACGATGACTGCTACGGACCATCATACTTTTTATGCATATTTGCATAACATATTTCGACTGCAAAATTTGCTTCGTAAGCTTCATATTCAAGACTAGGCTTTGATCACCCCGACTAGGCTGCTCTTTTGACTGCAAAAGGTATTCTCAGGATTTCTTCATGTTTCTACCTTTGATTCTATCTTACATCTCTCTGCTGGCCATGATACTCTTACAATACTATCATGCTCATCAATGTGAAACTTTTTGTTTACACTATCGCCATCAGTATTCCACCACTTCAGTGGAATACGATCTCTAATACTCTAAACCACCACTGCTAAAGATATATATATGTACTTGCACATATGTATACCTTTCTATAGTATTCCAAACTGCTCAGACTACATCGCTTAGTTACATTATCTACATTAAAGCTACGCTAATTATTCTGATGTCCGAGCAACTGTAGAGTTGTAATCTCATCTATTCATAAATAACAACTGAACTTGTACTCAATAGATCTACCGGGCTAGAGAGGACGTCCACACGAGGGATAGTTTTATCCAGCATGACCGCTCATTGCAAGTGTCCCGGCATTTTAGCATAAGGGACAAATATATACTAGAGCAGAGTTTTTTCGTGTCTCTTATACGACCAGAATTGTTAGTACTGAAACATACGCAAGCATTCTGAAAAGTTCGCACTTATATCAAAAATGATTGTTTTGGTTCTTACGATCGTAAGAGATAATTCATTAAAGTATACTTCGTGCCACAAATAACTAATAAACTATGTCAGAGTCATCCACATACTTCGAAAAACAAAGAGATATGTTGATTCAAGAAATTGGAGTTTCTATTGAGTCAGTAGTCTACAATTTAGATATTTTGAATAGATCACTTAACGGGTCGATTTCAGTTGGAAAAGAATTTGACAATGTCGGAAGACTTTGGTCCCACTTCTACGATGGCTTGAACCAGCTAAAGGAAAGAAATAATGAAGACGAGACAAAGGAAAATGATCAAAACGACGCCAACCAAGAAGATAGCTCGTCAGAGGAACATGAATCATCCAACGAAGAAAAGGACCAAGTTGAAGAGCATCAAGAATTGTGAAGATGTGGATAGTACTGTCTAATTAGCTCTGTTAGTCCGTTATAGTGAGCTTTTATGTTTTAAAGTACACTTTATTGTGACTCCTATCTTTTTTGACACCAATAAATCAGCATAACACATATGAGATTTTACATGCAACGTATCTGTTCAAGATTCTACTAGATGGTACTAGATGCTACCGGATGCTACTGGATGCTACGAGATGCTACGAGATGCTACAAGATGCTACAAAACCAATGCCAACATTGGGTATTAGGTTTATTCGCTATTTGAAAGTATGCATTAAGAATGAAATATTCGTTGATATAACAATAAGGAGTATGCCTTAGTATTTACGGTAATCATGCCGATCTAAAAGGAAGGGATGCCTAGTAGATAAAAAAATTGGAGATGATCAAACCCCATATTCGCGGCAAAAGCCTTGCACCGGTTCCTATACTATAATAAGACTTTCCCTGTTCCGATAATTATATATTTGGTAAACAGTACGCCTTCACTTTGATTTGCTATGAGACATCACCAGATATAATAAATGACCTGTAAAATCTCTCAGATAATTTGTCCGAGATTGCAACATATATAAAGTGGTAGGACATACCGAAATTAAAAGTAAGCATAGATAAATAACTAATCAAAAATTTATACTTCAAGTAACGCAATTAGGTCAATTCAACTAGAAACCAATGAAAGCAATTGTTTATTACGGTAATAAGGATATCAGATATACGGAATCTCATCCGTTTCCAAAGATTACCCACGAATCTGAGGTAAAGATTAAGGTCAATTTTTGCGGGATTTGTGGCTCGGACCTACATGAATATTTGGATGGGCCCATTTTTTTTAAAGGAGAAAAGAGTGAAATTTCGAATATCAGCAAGGTGCAATGCATGGGTCACGAAATAAGTGGAGAGGTGATAGAGATCGGTTCTGCAGTTGATAAGTTGAAAGTGGGGGAAAAGGTGGTTGTAGAAGCTAGTGGGACATGTCTTGATAGATATAGATTTCCCAACGCACCCAATGCAAAGAAGCCAAATTGTTGTGCATGTCATGATGACCATCGTAATGCGTGCGACCACATTGGATTTGTTGGATTGGGGTTTATGGATGGTGGATTTTCAGATTATTGCATTGTGGGCCAAGAACATGTTATTCCATATCCAGAAGACTTAATTCCTGCTGATGTTGCAGCTATTACGGAACCATTGAGTGTAGCTTGGCATGCGGTAAGAACTTCCAATTTTCAACCCGGGCAGCTGGCATTAGTTTTGGGTAGTGGCCCAATTGGTTTGGCCGCTATCATTGCGCTCAAGGGCCATAAAGCAGGGAAGATCGTTGTTAGCGAGCCAGCGTTAAGCAGACGAGAGCTAGCTCAAGAGTTCGGAGCTGAAGTAATAGACCCAAAGGACTACTCTTACGAAGAATGTATTAAGGCGTTGAAAGCGATGACTGTTGATGGTTTTGGATTCCATCACAGTTATGATTGTTCTGGACTTTCTGCGACTTTTAATGCCTCTGTTCATTCACTAAGGACATTTGGTACCGCTACAAATGTTGCCATTTGGCCACATAAACCAATTGACTTCTATCCTATGGATGTAACTTTCAAGGAAAAAATTATCACAGGCTCAATGTGTACTACTCGACTCGATTTTGAACAAGTAATAGATGCTTATAAAGAAGGTTTAATTAATCCCAAAGAAGTCGAAAAGCTTATTACTAGTAGGGTTCATTTAGAAGATGGCATCGAAAAGGGCTTCATGGAATTAATTAATAACAAAGACAAGCATATCAAGATTCTAATGACCCCTGACGAAAAATTCAAAAGATCAAGTCCTAATTAATAATAATATAAACCTCTATTTTCATCTTCACCCAAATTCTTGTAATAAGCACTCATATATAGATATTCTTGAAGAAATTAAGGATAGATATAATGATTATAGAGCCATTTACCTTTAAAATATTCAATTTTTCTTTATATTAAAGCATGTGTTCAACTCATAGCAACTTATTAACGATTACTAAAGTCCAGGGATTTCATCGACTAAAGTAGAGTGATATAGTGAAAGGCATTCTCGCTAAAATATGACATTAACCGGATCTGATCTACTACTTCCGCGATTGCAAAATCCCTAATTAAGGGGGCATTCTTTCAAATAGATAAGTAATTAACTCACTCTTATTGTAGCGAATAAGATTGAGGACTTGAAATAATAAGTCTAGGTGCAATTGAGTTAGTTAAATACAGTTACAATATTCAATTCAATGAAAGCAATTGTTTATCGAGGTAATAAAAATATTGAGTATACGGAATCACATCCCGAGCCCAATATTAACCATGAAGCTGAAGTTAAAATCAAGATCCATTACTGTGGAATTTGTGGAACTGACTTGAAGGAATATTTAGATGGGCCTATCTTTTTTGAAGGTGAAACGAGTGAAATATCAAACCATCGTAAAGTTCAGTGCATGGGACATGAGATAAGTGGTGAAATAACGGAGATAGGTTCGAAGGTGAGCAAATTGAAAGTAGGAGACAAAGTAGTCGTTGAACCGAATGGAACTTGTCTTGATAGGTATAGATTTCCGGATGCACCCAACTCCAATAAACCTAAGTGCTGTGCTTGTCATGATGGTTATAGTAATGTTTGTGATTACATTGGCTTGCTTGGCTTGGGCTTTACTGATGGCGGGTTTTCAGATTATTGTGTTGTTGGACAAGATCATGTTGTTCCATATCCCGATGACCTTATTCCTCCTGACGTTGCTGCATTAACGCAACCAATTGCAGTTGCATGGCACGCGGTAAGAACTTCCAATCTTAAACCTGGCCAACTGGCTTTAGTTTTGGGCAGTGGACCAATTGGACTTGCTATAATCATTGCCCTCAAGGGACACCAAGCAGGCAAGATTGTTGTTAGTGAGCCGGCATTGGACAGAAGAATATTAGCTGAAAAGCTAGGTGTTGAAACAATTAAACCAAAAGACTTTAGTGCAGAAGAGAACGTCAAAGCTTTGAAAGGAATGACCGACGATGGATTTGGTTTTCATCACAGCTATGATTGTTCCGGATTACCTGTTACATTCAATGCATCGGTTCAATCATTAAGGACATTTGGTACAGCTACAAACGTTGCCATTTGGCCGCACAAGCCGATAGACTTCTATCCTATGGATGTTACATACAAGGAAAAGATTGTTACGGGGTCTATGTGTACAACCATTCTAGATTTTGAGCAAGTCATAGAAGCCTATAAACAAGGACTAATTGACCCTGAAGAGGTCGAAACTTTTATTACAAGTAAAATCCATTTAGAAGATGGTATTGAAAAAGGATTTAAGGAGCTACTTTATAACAAGGATGATCACATTAAAATTCTATTGTCACCCAAGGATAAATACAGAGTTGCTTCAAAATGACCTTTTTCATATATTTGATATACACTTTACTATGACCTTGGTTTCAATTCTGTCTTTAATAATTCTATTACTGTAGTTTACTATGTGTTTATTATGAATAATTATGATTAGATATTTAATTAATTAGGTATGCAATCCGATTAGCTATTTTTTTAAGTAATCGTGTAGTGAATCGACTTTCATCTTCTTTGAAAGACCCACTCGTGGCGGCAATCTAGCTCTATTAGTCTTCGAACATATATCAGCCAAGCTGTTTTTTCGCTTTCTTTCTCTGCTCGAAGGATATGGTGGTGGTAATACCGGCCCCGAAGAATTAGGTGTCGCATCAGCCATTTCCGGGGTGTGTTTAGCTTTGGCACTAGTAGACTCATCAACACCTCCAGGGTTTACATTGGTAGATATATCATGTGGGACATTACCAATTATTTTATCAGAACCTTTGTTTTGTTGTGAATGATGGCTACTTATATTATTGGAATTGTGCAGATCCTGATAAGACGAAGTGGAAATTTGAAAAATTAATTGAGGTTGGATATCTCTTGTTGATTCCTCTGAATATTCCATATCACAGTCATCAGGTTGCTCAATTGATTCATGCTCTACGCTGAATACTTCAGAGTCATCTTTCACAAAGTCTTCAGCTTGAATATTGACATTCGTGAGTTGAGAATCTAAGTTATTTTCCTCAATCAAAGTGTCATCATAAACGATCTTTTCTTGATCAGCCAATACGCTAGTATCAAATGTACGATTTTGCTCAAAAATGTTGACAGTAGAACTCCTTGATCCTTTTCTTGATTGAGAAGACAGTGAGGTAGAGAGTAATTCAGGCTCATCCTCACTATCAGCAACAGACTCATCATCAATTTCATCTGTTCCCGCCGACTTGGTCAACCTTGTACATCCTTTATCGGATACTGATCTCATATGCGGTAAAGTCACAGATCTCTTTGTAAATAAATCTTCATTTTCTAGTGTAACCGTTGATATCTGACTCTGAAGTTCTTCCATTTCGTATCCATTCGATGTATGAGGAACCAGCCCCGCCATCTCGTTTGGATAATTATGGTCACTTTGCAACAAATTTATACCATCTTCTATGGGAACTGTCTTCTGAGATCGTGATGACAATAACACCCCCATATCTAACAAATCGATAGTTTTTGCACTTTCTGGTCTTGATGTATTCAAATCCTTCTCTTGTAATGGACCTCTAGCTGGCTTCGAATCAGCTTTACTCCTAGAAAGTAGATCAAGAAAGTCATTTTCCACTTTCTTGTTATCCATTCCATAAACGTGTATAGTTTTTGGTCTCTTTTTGACCCCAGTGCTTTCAGCGTTAAATAAATTCATCATCAGACCATTCATTGTGTTGTTCTTACTCGATCTTGGTCTATGAAGAGACGGAAGACCGATTGAATTGGGGTTCAAATCCCACATTTCATCGTCAAATTTACCCATCAACACCGTTTAGTGTATGTATATATTAGTCTAAAATATCAACTGTTTATATTTGACTCTTACTAAAAAATTGCAACGCGCTCTTTACTAGAGATCAATAGTTTTACACTCTTTTCTTTATTGATTCAATTATTCATTCGTTGTCTTCTAATGAAGATAAGGCTCTCTTTGCTAGTACATCAATAGTCTTGGGTTGTTAAAATGAACTGGTTCTCATCATTTCGTATATTAAGTATCATAGGTTTAGGTATCTTGAATTTTTCAATGAACAAAGTATAAGATTAATGAAGGTTGAGTAGAGCTTCGTATTGCATGTACCAAAGCACTCCCGAATCAGCTCTTTACAGGGCAAATGCCAGAAGAATGATCGATACGGCTTATGTCTTTTGTCAACACCTACGGTCAACATCCCTACACCTCAACATCCGTGTTCTATTCAAAGGCATATTATACCACGAGTTTATTTGGAGAGAAATAGAGACATGATCAATTCTGCTCGGAGAGAATGGATCTTCAATTCAATTGAAGTGTGTCATAGGTCTCTAGGAGGTATCTAAGAATGCAGGGCATATCCTTTGATGGATAGTTGCGTACACAAGGGAACTTATTGTTCTTGACATTCATTATGTCTCAAGGCAACCCTGTCACATTCCGGCCATGATATTTACCTGGAGAGCTCTATTGTGCTGATCTCAGCATATCTGGCTTTCAATGATGAATTAATAAGTTGCATAATAACGCCATTGAAAGGACGTCAAATTATTTGCAAGATAATTATATGTTTATAGGACATTTTTGGTTTAAGTGATTTCGTTTTTCAGTAAAAAGGAAGACCCAACGATCTGATTGTTGGTAATTCCAGAAATCATTCGTGTTGAATTCATAAGTTACATTCTTTTTGGTTTATCACTACGAGGGGAGTACTTTTTGCATTACAAAGGCTTTTTACGATTCTCGAGATCTTTACTTTGACTTCATAATTATGAACTTTATCCTAGTGGTAGAATCAACCTTCGGACACTTGAGTGGATGTTTAGGCTATCCCTCGAGGATTGATCCAATGTGTTTTTTGACGCATGTTAAATTATCTCTCTAGAGTTCGCTTTTGGTTGATCCTCTACGTTGACAGATATTATTTATAAAAAAAATTCAAAGCTTATCACTTGTGCCCATTTATATGAATTATGTTGAATGGTTTATTTTTTTTGCTGCAGCCCAAGAATGCGTTGATGATGGTTGAAGAGAGATAGGATGATTTTGGATCGCTTTTTCCGTATGTATCGATTTGCAATCAAAAGTACTAAGATGATTACTAACGAAATAAAAATATATTATTCAAAGTGAAATTAAGGATACTAGATAATTACATAATGGTACATTTCATACAGCCACCCTTAGCCTCTTCCTTGACTTCAGGAGCAGCTTGCTTAGCTCTTTGTGCGATTTCTTTGGCCTTTTCAATAGGTTCTTCTCCAGAGTTTTCCTTTTCAGCAGATTTTTCAGCTGGTTGAGAAGTCTTAGCAGCAGTGGCATCGATGGCAGCCTTAGCACCGACAATCTTGGAGGCGAGCTTGGCAAAAGCAGTACCTTGCGCATGACAAATTCTCAATTCCAATGCCGATGGTTGTCTCGAACCATCAGATCCAGCGAAAGTACCAGAACCCCAAGCAGATCCACCGTGAACTTCTTCGAAGCTGGCCATGTCCGCAAATGTGTTAGAGTACCCTAAAGGAATGTATGGCATACCATGGTGAACCAAGTAAGACATGGCATTCTTGATAGTCGCTTCTTGGCCACCCCCTGGACTAGAAGTAGATACAAACATACCTGCTGGCTTACCAGATAAGGCTCCAGAGGCCCATAATCCACCGGTAGTACCCCAGAAGTCTGACCATTGTGCTGGAATAGTACCGAATCTTGTAGGAATACCAAACAAAAATGCATCGTACTCAACTAAAGTGTCTGTAGTAGCAACTGGATAGTCCAATTTGCCTGGGGCATATAACATGCCTAACACTTCTTCACTCAACGTCTCCTTAACTTGGAAAATATCGGCCTTAGCACCTGCAGATTCGACCCCTTCCTTGATCTCCTTAGCCATACCAGCAATATGTCCGTATGTCGAATAGTAAATGATAGCAACCTTCATGCTTTATTTCTATATTTCTATTGTTTATCTATTATGAACACTCAAATTCGAAGTATCAAAAAGTTGTGAATTTTATTTCGGTGAGCGATTGTATTCTTTATAAAGCAAAATGATTCAAAAGAATTTTGTCAGTCTATCGAATAGGTGTATATCTATCGTATGTCAAAATAACAATAGCAAATTACCTCTATTAATAAGTATTATTAAAATTTTCAAATATTAGAAGCACCTTATAAATACTGACTAAAAATTTGTTGTTAGTAATAGTGCGGCGATCCTTACTAAAATTTACATAATAGACTTATATAAATTAAGGATATTCCTGTTTAGTTTCAATTGCTTATCGAATAGTTAACCATTAGTTTAGTGTTTTCGAATCAAGTTAGTACTAAATCAATTGAATAAATAAAATATAACAAAATGGCTCCAAAAGTTGCAATTATCATTTACTCTATGTACCACCACATCGCCACTATGGCTGAAGAAGTCAAAAGGGGTGTTGAATCCGCTGGTGGTTCTGCTGACATCTACCAAGTTCCAGAAACTTTAAGTGAAGAAGTTTTGGCTAAGTTACACGCTCCAGCCAAGCCAAACTACCCAATTGCTACCAACGACACTTTAGTTGAATACGATGCTTTCTTGTTCGGTATTCCAACCAGATACGGTAACTACCCAGCTCAATTCAAGGCATTCTGGGATGCCACTGGTGGTTTATGGGCCAAGGGTGCTTTAGCCGGTAAGATTGCTGGTATTTTCGTCTCCACCGGTACCCCAGGTGGTGGACAAGAATCCACCGCTATGAACGCTTTGTCTGTGTTGACTCACCACGGTATCATTTACGTTCCATTAGGTTACGCTAACAGTTTTGCCCAACTCTCTAACTTAGAAGAAGTTCATGGTTCTTCTCCATGGGGTGCTGGTACTTTTGCCGGTGCTGACGGTTCTAGACAACCAACTAAGTTAGAGTTAGAAATTGCTCATATCCAAGGTAAGACCTTTTACCAAACTGCTTCTAAATTCTAAATAGATGATGGTAATGATTTATAGTATCGATTGAATTTATTGATTTCAAGTACGGACGATTGTAGTTTGATTGAAATACGCACTGGCGGATAATTTGTAGTGTTTATTCTTCTTCGTAAGAAATTGTGGTTTAACAATGGAAGATAGTAAGATTTCACTGTTAATATGCATTCATGGAACCCATACTAACCATTAGACAAAGGTGTTGTTAAAAGCAGACTAAAATTGCCCGTATTTACGTTGAATAACTCGTATCAATTGGCAGCCATTTGCAACGACTCGGTGGATACCAACTCTACGTTGAACTATGAGTTATTCGAAAACCACGAGGAAACAGGTAGTACTTCAGTGCTGTCCGAATCGCTTATTGAAAAAGGTGACGAGTTTAAGAATATAAATGTTGCAACAGACATATTGCTGCAAGAACCGAGTAATACAATAGATTTGGTCAAACAAGAGGAAGAGGACAACCAATTGACAAAGAATACGAACGGACGATACAGCTGTGCAAAATGTGATATAGAAATAGAGAAGCTTTCGTATTTGGCAATCCATAACCGGAGTCATAGTGGTAAAATCCACTTTACTTGTCCCCAATGCCAATGCATATTCCATACATTGAATGATTTATCCAATCATTGCCAGAAGCACTCAATGATGCAGATATCATGTCCCAAATGTGAAGAATGTTTCGAAGATTCGAGGCTATTCAAGATGCATCTCGAAGTACACATAATTGAGATGGAAAGTAACGATGACGAAATGCAAGTTGATGACGAAGAATTGCCTGATATCGATAGAGCCTTGCTATACGACGAGATTTATTTCCTTCACGAGATAGCTCTGGTTCGATCACTTTGGATATCTCGAGCGCATAATAGAGAATCATTCCCGTGTAAATACTGTCTGATGGTGTGTACAAGTAAAGTTCGTCTGTCCATGCATTTGCTAGTTCACAAAGAGTATGCTGCTCTAACCGCAGATAAATTAGAGGTTTCACCTATCTAATTACAATGTAAAATATGATCATGCTGTTAATTCGATTAATATCTAATCATTTTTTTTCTATACATCTGTATATTTTTATTGGCGTAGCTTAATCTATGGCGAAAGACGAACCATATTCCATTTAGTATCTTCGACAGACTCTCTTCTAAAACTGATTCTGTCGTGTAATCTACTCATTCCACCTTGCCAAAATTCAATCTCTAATGGAACTATTCTAACCCCACCCCAGTATTCAGGACAGGGAATATCTTCATCTTTTACATCCTTGAATTTAGCTTCAAAATCTTTATCGTTATCATCTAATTCAGCTCTATTCTTCAAAATCTGCGATTGGGGAGATGCCCATGCACCAATCTTGGATCCTCTGGGTCTGGTATTGAAATATCTTACTGATGTTTCCCTAGTCACCTTCTCCATGATCCCTTCAACTCTAACCTGTCTTTGGATACTAGGCCAGAAAAACGTCAACGCAGCGTACTTATTACTTTCAAAATCTTGCGATTTCTTTGATTTATCCCAGTTAGAGTAGATAATAAACCCATGGGTGTCTAATTCCTTGAATAATACTGTTCTTGCCGACACTCTACCTGATGGTAATCTTGCCGTGGAGAAGGTAGTAGATTCCGGAAGGAATGAACCATCGGTATTTGATTTTCTAGCATCGTCAAACCATTGATGAAACTGTTCAATTGGATTGGATTGAAGTTCATCCTCTTTTAAATGTCCCTTTTCATATTGATACGTTTCTGGAGCAAAAATAATTGGGGTCTCTGTTCTCTTTACACCTGACATTTTTTTACTACAATTTCTGATTAAATGACTCTTACTTGGTCCTCTGATACTTCTCGTGAGTGTCGATAAAATCAACATGTATTATATAGATCAAGATAAGTTATAGAATATATGAATAGTATCAATATATAAGGTGATCTCGTCATGCCTGGTATCTAAGAAAATCGTTACACAAAATCACCATGACTAATAAATGGGTGCTAAATTTCTTCATCACTACTTTCATCCAAGGCAAAACCGAAGGAAAAGCCTTGAGGGGCTGTTTCTTGAACTTCTTGGCTATCAGTTTTGTTTTCAACCAAAGTTTTCCATATTTTGCTTTTATTGCCTTGCTTAACATCGGACTTTTCCAATTTTGCAAGCTTACTCAATGCCGCATCTAGCTCTTGTTTTTTACCGTTTAGGATCAACAATTGCTTGAAAAGCTCAAATATTGGCATTGGTGGAAGCTTGGATGATAGTATTTCACCACAATCTTCTACTTGCAAGTCGTTTTCAAGGTCGAGAGTCTCATATTGCTGTTTGTAGTGTTTCAAAGTACGCACATCGTCGTCTTCTGCCGGTAACGTTTCCAATAATTGGTCTAGGGTCATTTTAAACTGGTTAGGACGGAATCCACTGATTTGGTTCTTTTTATTCTTGAAGAAGTTCAACGTATTACTCAATTTAGGCAATGGAACAAAATTTTGTGTCAATGCTATGGAATCGTCCAAATTGATAACTGCATGCCACCAGCCGGAGGGCACATGCATGCATTCACCTGGAAAAGTGATACCAACCAAGCAGTTTTCGAGTTTGACGGCATCATTGAAGAAGCCAGACATAACCCATTCTGCAATTCCGACAGGAGAAGTTACTTCACTTTCTTCGTCGTCTGTTCCTACCCCTGGAGGAACTATATTAGGAGGTAACATGATCCATAACTTTCTACCATATATAGCAGTATTCCACGCACTTGTATAGTTAGGGTCCTTGTGGAAAGTTGACCCTGAACGCTTTGGCCCAATAATCAACCAGGCATGATCTGGACGACAATTGATTTCCTGGTTTGCAAATACTGTGAATAAGTCATACTGGAAGATTTTTGGCACAACATATTCTTCTCTCAATGTTTTCATCGCAACACTACTGCAATCAAATAAATATAATGGGGATTCATCCTTGTTTCTGGCAAGATATTTGGAGTACAACGATAATGGCCATTGAACTGCTTCCTGTCTGAAAACTACATCTGGGAATCTTTCCACCAAACTGTCTAAGGTCCAATGGGGCCATCTGTCTTTATCAGAGTTGGTAAGAATAAACGGTTTGTCATGAAAGTTTTCATTAAAGTCAGTCATGCTCAACAAGCTTTCGGATATTCTTAAGACCCTACCATTCGGTAATATTTCCAATTCAGTTTGTAAATCGACATCTGCTTCGTTAATCCTATTATGATACGTTTCTTCTTCCTTTATAATCTTGTGAAAGAGCTTCTCATAATCCACTTGGGAACACTGATACGGTCTATATAGCACGTCGGAACAGAGAATATTTCCTGGAAGTTGCAAATTGGCCTGATCCGTATCTTTAATATTAAGCAATGTACTTCTCCATGAACCCTTCCAATCCTCAAACACATTATCCTTACTACTTTTAGAATCGTCTGTAATTTGCTTTACATATATTCTCTTCCAGATCTCTTCGTCATACATGTACGCATACATTATTCTCGATGTATGAGACAAGTTCTTCAATGATTCGATATCTTCGATGAAAGAAATCATATACATAATCAACTCATCAGGAAATCGGTTGAATACCCCCATTTGAACATGTCTGGGCAAAAATTTTGTTGTATCGTAATCATCGCCTGTGGATAAGTATGAGTTCCCTTCGGGCTTCACATTCAAGGGATGTCTACTACTAATAGTAAACAACGATATGTTTCTTCCAGTAGCACTTGCCTTAGTGGAATGCCTATCGTGACGAGATACAGTCATGTTTTGTTGAATATGTATGCTAGACTTAGCTCGTGAGTGGAACTATGTATGGTTGTGAAAATTTCCAGATGAGCTCGGACTAAACAATACAGGCACCTAAAAATTACGTTTGAACTACAATATACAGCTCAGTTTCACTATAACTTACACGAATATATCTATTACTCATATATATTAAATAGTAGTATATGTACAAGGTTTCATCCGACAGATGTCCCATGGAGGGTGTGCGGACAGTGCTATTGCTTCTTAGGATTTTTCAACTGCTCAGCATTGAACATAAGTGGCTCCTCCCTTACTGGAATCCAGTCTTTCTTCTTTAATCTTCTTTGGTATTCACTTTCGTGCTTACCAGGATACACGATCTTCTCATCTATAGGATCCAAGTTTGCTTGTGGTGCTTCCACTGGCTCTTGCGTAGCCTTTTTCTTCATCTTGAGGAACGACTTGATCTCTGCAAAACAGTGCATACACATGAAATGTGATCTCTTTACGTGTCCACATGCCGGGCATCTACCCAAGTTGTCCAAATGCTTGATCTGCTTGTCCCCTGGTGCATACAACTTTTGTCTGGTTCTACGATACGATGGCTTCTTCTTTGGAACAGCCCTCAAAATCATCCCGTTGTCTATCATGAATGGTGCTTCTCCGTTATTATTTTCGATCTTTTCCTTCAATTCTTGTAATCTTCTATCATTTTGCATGGTTTCGTGTGTCTGGAATGGATTTGGAATTCTAATAGAAATAGATGGTACACGGGGCAAAAGTCCCATCCATCCTCCACTCAAGGATGGTGCAGCGCCTAATCTGAATGCTAATGACATTTTCCTTGCGTTTCCGTAATTAATATGCCCACTATACCTCGCAACACTACTTTGAATCGATCTTTATGTCCTCTGTGGACTGAAGAGTGAAAAATTCAGCACTGCACAACGCTTCAAAAGTTCGCACGTTTAGACCTCTTGTGCTGGTTTCAAAAATGTCGTGTCCAGCACACATTTTCGTCTACGCGTTCACAAATGGAGCACTTGAGATCAAATAAACAAGGTGGTCAATATAGGAAACGAATATTGTTAGCGTTAGAGACAGAAATTGAGTGAAAGCAAATCAAACAGTATGTCACAAACACTTAACGAACCACACTTTGTTCAACCGCAAAAATATGTCGGTTTCGATACCATTACTACTCAAATTGAGAATAGATTGTTGAAGAGAGGATTTCAGTTCAACATCATGGCGGTTGGTAGATCAGGATTGGGTAAAAGTACATTGGTCAATACATTATTTTCGTCGAAGTTGACAGAAACAAATGGACGTAGACATGCGGCAGAACCAGTTGAAAAGACCACCGAAATCAAGGTTAGCTCGCACGTTTTAGTGGAAAACAACGTCAGATTGAACATCAACGTTATTGATACACCAGGGTTCGGGGACCAAATAAACAACGAAAAATGTTGGGAGCCATTGGTCAAGTACATTAAGGAACAGCATTCCCAGTATTTGAGAAAGGAATTAACTGCGCAAAGAGATAGATACATCAATGACACCAGAGTGCACTGTATATTATATTTCATCCAACCAAACGGGAAAAAATTGAAGCAGTTGGATGTGCAAGTGTTGAAGAAGTTGACAGAGATTGCCAATGTTGTTCCAGTGATCGCTAAGTCGGACAGTTTGACCTTGGAGGAAAGAAGTGAATTCAAGAGAGTGTTACAGAACGAATTCATCAAGTACAACTTCAACATATACCCATACGACAACGAGGACTTGTACGACGACGAAAGACAATTGAACGAGGACATCAAGTCGTTGATTCCGTTCGCCATTGCTGGGTCTGAAAGAGAAGTCCAGATCAACGGGGAGCTCGTCAAGGGCAGAAAGACCAGATGGGGCTTAATCAACGTTGAGGACGTATCTCAATGTGAGTTTGTATTCTTGAGAGATTTCTTGACCAGAACCCACTTACAGGACTTGATCGAAACTACGTCTTTGTTACACTACGAAACCTTTAGATCGAAACAATTAATTGCCTTGAAGGAAAACGCCAACAACCCTAATAGACAATCCAATCCTTTATCGATGCACCAACCAAGTCAGAGTCAACCACAACAACCACAACAGCAACAACAACAACCACCTGCTGCACAACACACCCAAAGTATGCTTCCAAATGACAATGCATACCCACGCCAATAGTTAGAGAAAAATGTATTTAGATTATAATAGTGAATATTTATAAATGGATTTACAAGTAGCGATTAGCAGGTTTCCCTAATGTAGTTCAATACGTATGTATTGCTAGTGGTATCGTAAAAAGATTCATGTAAGTGAAAAGTAAACAAAGAATGATGTGGCTGGCCATGTGATTTCCTAATGTAAAAAGTTATTGATAAGAGAGAAATACATAAAATCCCCTTATTTTTACATTCATTATAGTAATTTGAATACGTTAATATAAGGTAGAATGACAGTTGCTTACATCACTTTATTAGTGAATGAAGCGTATTTACCAGGAGCTTTAACTGTGGCAAAAGTTTTGAAGAAAGACTTTAAAACGAGCCATCCGTTAGCTATATTGCTAGACACAAGCCAAATTAGCGAAAAGCTGACAAAATTAATTGAAGAGGTCTACGATGACATTATACCAATTGATGGAAGTTTGGTAACATCTCCTGTTGATAAATTGGTTTCTCAATTGAATAGACTAGAATTAGCGGTGACATTCACCAAGATCTTGCTTTGGAAGCAAATAAAGTATACCAAATTGGTATATCTCGATTGTGACGTTTTACCAGTGCAAGGGATAGACGATTTGTTTGAAATAGAGATTGGATCAAACCAGATTGCGGCCTCGCCTGATAGTGGATGGCCAGATATTTTTAATTCAGGGGTGATAGTTTTGAAACCGAGTATGGTTGTCTATAGCGAATTAAATGAATTTGTTGAGACTGAAGATAACACATTTGATGGGGCAGACCAGGGGCTCTTAAACGAGTTTTTCAACGTCGCTTCTAAAGGCTTGAATTGGGTTAGACTTCCATTTCTTTACAATGTGACCTTTTCGCAGTCATATCAATACTTACCAGCATTCGATCGGTTTTTCAAAGATATTAGGATTTTACATTTTATTGGTCTGCAGAAACCATGGATGTTCGGTGGATACGACAGGTTCAAGGAATACTGGTGGAGTGCATTTAACAAGCATTATTCCCCTGAGACAGTACAATACCTCTTGCAAACCACCGGATCTGGCTCCAAGGGAGGCGAGGCAAGTGCGTTAAATATCAAGCCTTCCGCAAACGTCTGGGATGTTGAATCTGTCGATAGTAAAGTGCAACAAGAATTGCCAGAGAAGACCCCGTCGATTTTCCCTTGGGAAGAGAGACGCGATCAAGCGCCACCCACTAGAGTATTTGCCGCATTCTCAAGCCACCACTCCTCAATTAGACCGTCTGATAACCTGTCCAGAGGAAAAAAGGTCAGCAAGGTACCCCTGAGCTATAAGGATGATATCGAGACGTCATCCAGTACTACAAGATCAAAGGCGACCCAATCTACTACAAGGCCATACCATTTTTCTGAAAGATTCGATCCAGACGAATCGCTTGAAAGGGTATCCAAGATACCTGTAAATTTGTTGAAGAAGAAGCTAGAACAAGAAAAGCTGAAGAATCCATGATGTTGACCACCATGCGATACTCCAATGCTACTTCTCCGGTACTTTAATGACACAGCGCCTCGAGCTATTAAACATATACAAAAATCTACAATACATCAGAGATTGGCAATAAGTAGATGATATAATTTTATAGCGATTAGAGTATAATTTAAAGTAGAATATAATTCGATATAATATTTTAACACGGTTAATATACTACGTCCCATAGTATTTGATATAATATACTTCCGATACAATTCCGATAGAAGAGGCAAATAATTCATGCGTCAGAGTCGAACCTACAGCAATATATTGCCCTCATTCCACTGTGCCACTTTGTCCGCCTCGAACGCAATTTACGCCCGTAAATAGGTGCGTTTGCTATATAACTTCTACGAAGCTATACAATAGCCGGAATTGGAATACGAATATTTTTCAAAAAATAGAACTACCCAGAAATTATTTTCATTCAACAATGGCCATCATATAATATTTTCTTGTCACTCTATGCCAGCAATGAGACATTAAAAATACCGTTTTTAGTATCAAAATATTGGCAGTTGGAAAATGGGGTGATGCCTGCATATAAATGGGACATAAATCGAAAAGGAGATTGGGTCTATTGGTAGAAATTAGTAGTGAAGACAGGTTAAAAGGTATTAAAATGACAGTTGATTTACATTGTCTTGCTGATGTTTGTATGATTCCGGTATGTAGGGGACAATTATGAAAGTTAATCAGGTTGATTCTACTGTGGATCATTCGTATACTAACATGATAGATCGGGACCAACAGTGCGTCTGTTTCAAATGAAGTTACGATAATTACTAAAATGGCCAGGGAATCTCATCTCGATTGTACGTTGCATAGTGCCGGCACAACAATTGCAGGCCCTTGGAGTGAAGTGATGGAGTTAATTGGACAGATGCATGAAACTTTGCATAAAAATGGGGTAGTAAGGATTCAGAGTGACATAAGAGTTGGTTCTAGAGTGGATAAGAAGCAATCACCTCAGGATAAGATTGATGTGGTTGAATCTAAGTTGAAACAGTTAAATAAAGAATGATCTAGTGGTGCAAAAAATAGTAGAGACTCACCGCATGGTGGTAAGAGTTTTGATAAAGTAACGTGTATGTAAGTAGAAAGAATACACAAGTCGTTAAGGGTCGTTCCATATTAGGAAAATGTAAAAGGACTAGGCATTTTGCCTAGTGTCAAGAATTAAACGATAAAACTCCAAAATCCATAAATAAGTATATAATACATGCTAAAAGAATCAAATAACATACTAGTAGTAGCTACCGGCGTAATTGTCAATTGACTCGGGGGATGATTTAGAATTGTAGCTATGATACAGGTTAAGTGGTGGAGCTGGAGGATGTGACAGCGCGGTAGACGAATTCGATGTGTGAGAAGTATTTGTAGAGGTGGATGTTTGGGAGAAAAACGGCTGGGCATAATGGCGTTCACTGTCGATGTACAGTTGTTGTTCGTTTGCTCTTTCGGTGATCTTTTTCTCCTTGTAGCACTCGTTTACAGTCTCTTCACTCACATTAAAGGATGCTGGGTCTGCCCAAAATAACATTCTTACCGTCTCGCGGCACTCTCTGTCAGAGAACGACTTACCCGTAGCCTTACTCAACTCAGCAGCAATGAACTTCCATTTTTCAATCTCGGCCTCATCCAAAAGCTTTCTCAAGGTCGATTTGTCCTCATCTCCCCACGACGACGAGTTGTTGTTCCCCTGCTGTCCCACAATGACCTGATAACGGTTTCTGGCAGCAAGATAACTGCCCACTCCCGATATTTCGGCGATCTCCACCCATGTCTTACCCTTGCGCTTTAGCTCGACAATTAAATCGTCTTGGCTCTTGGAAAACTTCGACTTACGTCTGGCTCTCTTCTGGTTGAGCAGCAAGTTGATCTCAGGACGAATAGCCACCCGTGACATTGGTGGCACCGGCAACAGCTGCTGGAGTCGCTCTATGAACCCTTCGTACACTACTGGCTGCTCCGGTGCAGCCCGTGTACGAGCTGCCCCGTAGAAACTCGCCGCAACCTGTCCTTGGTCCTGTCCCTGGTGTATTAATAAATAGCTGTTCACTGGTCTCGTTTCGTACATCTGTTGTTGTGTGGGATATACAATTGCTTGGTTCATATATGGTGTTCCACCCACCTGTCCACCCACCTGTCCCCCTAGCTGTCCATTGCCAATTCCTGCTTGTCCTCCAGCCTGGTTTCCTCCCTGCACATACGGTTGTTGCACCACCATCGACGATCCATAGTATCGAGGCTGTTCAAACTCCTTGTATTGGGTTTTTGCTCCCTGTTGCTGAACCAAAACCTGCTGGCCCATCACCTGCTGGCCCATCACCGGTTGTCCCAAAATCTGCAGACCCAACGGCTGACCATCGTGTGTACTTAAATTATATCCCTTAGGTAGTCCAAACGACATTTGTTCACACTTAAAATTGGTGTCGTTGGCTATCTGGTTGTTCATAATATGAAGCGTGAAAATTCGAACTTCTAAAATTTTCTACCTTCTTGAACGTTCGCATTGGGGTACGTTTATTATATATATAGACTTTTGTGTTGATGTCGGTCACAAATATTTTTCTTTTTACGACTCCCGTAATTATTTGATTTACGAGCCCAGAAGAGAACTCCCGCCTGCGGCCCCTCAGAATGTCTTGCTCGATTGGAAGGTAGATGAGTTCTGTACGTGTCATGCATTAAATAATATGATATGGAGAAAGGTTGGGTATTTGATGTGTGTACAGTGTATGTGGATGTATATGGTGGGCAGGTGTGGATATTTGTGGGTATCTAATATAGTTGTTTATCTATTTAGCACAGTAATAATTTTAGCGATATAATAGTAGAGAAATAACATAGGGGTGCGGGCTGGAATGTGACGATTAGGAAGGCGGGAGAATCAGCGTGAGTCTAAGTGAAATATTTGCGGTGAATGATAATCTCACGGAGAGCGTAAGCGACGGCGACGGGTCATTGGTCGATTTGAGGATCGCCGGCGAATGACGGTGGATGGGCTGGGCCTGGGAGAAGGGCCTGGCTAGCCACGTCCGGCAGGCCATACCAGAGGTGCCCGGTTAGGGGCGTTTCCAGGCGTACGCCCAGAGTCGCGGGAGAAGGTCTAGCCTGCCGTATCGAACAATAGTTCGCACCAACTACACAATAGTCGTTTGGAGTACGCTTAGATTGACAGGATCACCTCGACGGCAGCGAGGATGAGGGTCGGTGTGCCGTAACTGTGATGGTGGGTGGTTGGGTCTCTAGTATGGAGTCGTGGCAGCGGGGGCAGTTGAACTATTTCGGAAATGTAATTCAACGAAGTGGTGTGCTAATGTGGCGGCTATATCTTCCAATGCTATTATGAGGTACTAGCACTAATGGGATAAATTCCAGGCCAAAAGAGGTTATTATGAGATGTCTAGCAAAATAAATGTATCAGAAAGCAAAATAAGAGTTACTATAAAATATGTAAGGTACGTAGTGATTCAGGGTAGAGCTACTATGACGCTAATATTATAGCAATATTATGGAGGGATTATGCTAGTGTCAATGTAGAAGAACCGGCCACGCGAATGCCGCAAGGCGTTGTCGGGGAAACCGGAGTATATGGCCTAGTGGTTAGATAACAAGACGAATCCTGGAAGAGAAGAGATCGGGAGTTCGAACCGGATGCATTCATATGGTGGTGATTTTTTCGGGGATCTTCGCACCACAATATGATGTTGTCTCGAGTGTGCTGTCATGTTGGCGTATTGGGCCACAACGGGGTTCAGTGGTCCCCGTTGACTTCTTTTTTGGACGATTGCAGCTCCTCCGTGTCACTACACGTTTAGTCTGTCTCATTCAATCCTACACCTTCACGTAGTCGTTACGGGTCCTGGTACGTATGAAGATGAATGGGCCTTTGCACATCGGTCACGTGCCGCAACCTCTCAGACGGTTCTCTAGTGGCAATCTTAACGTTTAGTTGTTCCTTAGGTAAAGAGGAATAGAATTAACAACAACATGTCAGATAACATGCAGATAGATTCGCCCCCACAAGGGTCGATTGATGAAGGCTTGTACTCGAGACAGTTATATGTCTTGGGCAAAGAAGCTATGATAAAAATGCAAAACGCCAACGTATTAATAATCGGATTGAGAGGATTAGGAATTGAAATCGCCAAAAACGTCGCTTTGGCCGGGGTCAAGTCGTTGAGCTTGTATGATCCTCACCCAGTGGAATTGAGTGATTTGTCAACTCAGTTTTTCTTATCGGAATCTGATTTGGGCAAAACGAGAGCAGAGGCATCTTCGACGAAATTATCAGAGTTGAACCAATACGTTCCGATTTCGATAATCAACGACTTATCTGAGTCGACATTAGCGCTGTTCAAGTGTATTGTTGCCACCGATATCACATTGGAAGAGCAAGTCAGATTGAACAACTTTACTCACCCTAAGGATATTGGATTCATCAGTGCTGACATCAGAGGTTTATTTGGTCAAGTGTTCGTTGACTTCGGTAAAAACTTCAGCGTTATAGACCAAACCGGTGAAGAGCCTCTCACTGGTATCGTGTCCGATATAGATAAAGATGGTACCGTAACCATGTTAGATGATAACAGACACGGCTTGCAAGATGGAGACTTTGTCAAGTTTTCTGAAATCCAAGGTATGGAAAAATTAAATGACGGTTCTCCACATAAGGTTGAAGTGTTAGGTCCATATGCGTTTAAGATTAAAATGAGCGACAGCTACGGTACCTATATCAAGGGTGGTTTGTACCAGCAAGTTAAAGTGCCTAAAATTCTTAACTTCGAACCTTTATCTCAACAATTAAAGAATCCAGAATATGTCATCTCTGACTTTGCCAAATTTGATAGGCCTCCACAATACCATTTAGGTTTCCAAGGTTTGCACGCCTTTCAAACCAGACACCAAGGAAAGTTACCAAGACCTTGTCACGAAGAAGATGCTAACGAGTTATTAAAGTTGGTTTCTGAAATTGCAACCCAAAATCCAGACATCTTGGGTGAAGACTCTGTTAATGAGAAATTAATTAAAGAACTTTCTTATCAAGCAACTGGTGATTTGCCAGGGATGGTTGCCTTGTATGGTGGGTTAATTGCCCAAGAAGTTTTGAAGTGTTGCTCTTCTAAATTTGGTCCTGTCAAGCAATGGTTCTATTTTGATTCTTTGGAATCTTTACCTCCTACTGACAAGTTCCCAAGAAATGCTGAAACTTGTAAGCCATTAGGTACAAGATATGATTCACAAATTGCCGTTTTTGGTAAGCCTTACCAAGAAACTATTTCAAATTTAAAGGTTTTCTTGGTGGGTTCTGGTGCTATTGGTTGTGAAATGTTGAAGAATTGGGCCATGATGGGTTTAGGTTCGGGCCCAGATGGTAAAATTATCATCACCGATATGGATTCAATTGAAAAGTCTAATTTGAACAGACAATTCCTCTTTAGACCAAAGGATGTTGGTAAGAATAAATCAGACGTGGCTGCTACTGCTGTTCAGGCTATGAACCCTGACTTAAAGGGTAAAATCGAGGCAAAATTAGAAAAAGTTGGACAAGATACTGAAAATATTTTCGATGATAATTTCTGGAATAACTTAGATTTTGTCACTAATGCCTTGGATAATGTTGATGCTAGAACTTATGTTGATCGTCGTTGTATTTTCTATAAAAAGCCATTATTAGAATCTGGAACTTTAGGTACTAAGGGTAACACTCAAGTGGTTATTCCTAACTTGACAGAATCTTATTCAAGTTCTCAAGACCCTCCAGAAAAGTCAATTCCATTATGTACATTAAGGTCGTTTCCAAATAAGATCGATCATACCATTGCTTGGGCTAAATCCTTATTCCAAGGTTACTTTGCTGATTCTCCTGAAAGTGTTAATTTATATTTGACGCAATCAAACTATGTTGAACAGACTTTGAAACAAAACCCAGATATCAAAGGTACCTTGGAAAACATTTCTAATTACTTGAATAAGCGTCCTTATACTTTTAATGATTGTATTAAGTGGGCAAGATTGGAATTCGAAAATAAATTCAACCACGAAATCCAGCAATTGTTATATAATTTCCCTAAAGATGCTAAAACCTCAAATGGTGCACCATTTTGGTCTGGTCCTAAAAGAGCACCTGAACCTCTCCAATTTGATATCAATAACACCGATCATCTTAATTTTGTTGTTGGAGGGGCAAATCTATTGGCCTTCATTTACGGTTTGAAAGAGCCTAAGGCTACTTTTGAAGATTATAAAAACGCTTTGGAAGAAATTGAAATTCCTCCATTCACCCCAAAATCAGGCGTTACAATCGCAGCTAACGATGCTGAAGCTGAAGAACAGAGTAACAAATTATCGGGCAGTATTGACGATGATGAAATTAGAAAAATTGCAGCTTCATTGCCTGAACCTTCAACATTAGCTGGTTATAGATTAAATCCAATTGAGTTTGAAAAAGATGATGATACCAATCATCATATTGAATTTATTGCAGCAGCATCTAATTGTAGAGCTTTAAACTATAACATTGAAACTGCTGATGCATCTAAAACTAAATTCATTGCTGGTAAGATTATTCCTGCTATCGCTACTACAACAGCTTTAGTCACCGGTTTAGTCTGTCTCGAATTGTACAAAGTTGTTGGTGGTAAAACCGATATCGAAGAGTATAAGAATGGTTTTATCAATTTGGCATTACCATTTATCGGATTTTCGGAACCGATTAAATCACCTCAAGGTAAATACAACGATAAAACGTTCGACCAAATTTGGGATAGATTTGATATTGAGGGAGATATCACTTTGCAGCAATTGTTGGATCACTTTGAGAAAAATGAAGGGTTGGAAATTTCGATGTTGTCCTACGGTGTTTCATTGTTATATGCTTCATTCTTCCCTCCTAAAAAGGTAAAGGATAGATTAGCTATGAAATTGACTAATCTAATTAAAGAAGTTAGCAAAAAAGATATTCCAAGTCATGTTAAGAATTTGATTTTTGAAGTATGCTGTGATGATAAAGAAGGTGAAGATGTGGAAGTTCCTTATATTTGTGTTAAATTATAATTACAATAAAATGTTTTGCTCTTTCTAATTTTCTTTGAAGTTTATAAATATTTAAAGATACAAATCGCTAATAAAATAAAAATATTATTGTTCAACTAGTAGTTACCTTATATGTATGTATATATTACACATTTTTCAATTTTTAAAAATTCCTTTTTGCCAACTTGACCTATCCTTCCAATACTTTACCCTGTTTTATGTTTATTACTCTATTTGCAATTTTCATCATTTCTAAATTATGAGTTATTAAGATAATAGTTATGTTTTGTGTTGACAAGTTATTTTTCACCAAGTCAATGATCAAGTTAGTGTTATGAGGATCTAAATTAGAGGTACACTCATCCATTATCAATATTTTTGGTTTCCTAATCAATGCCCTTGCTACAGATAACCTTTGCAATTGACCACCAGATATTAAAGAATGTTGACCTTCACCTAGCCGTGTATGTATTCCTTCTGGCAATGAGATTATAAATGGATAAATGTTAGCCAATTTTAAACAATGATCAATTCTAACTGATAATATCTTACTCCTTTCCATTCCATAGACTAAATTGTCATAAATCGTACCTTCAAAGAACTTTGGAACCTGGGTGACAACAGATATTGTATCTCTTAGCCAATCAATATCTAGCTTATTAATATCATAGTTGGTTACAAATATGGATCTATCCGTAACTCTGTATAGCCTCGACAATAATGCGCCAATGGTTGACTTTCCTGAGCCTGATTCTCCGGTGATAGCAACAACTTCGTCTTTATTAACATAGAATGAAAGTTTACTCAAGACTAATTGTGTCGGGTTTCGTGTATTAGGATATTGGAAATCAACATTTTGGAAGCGAATCACTCTATCATCACATAGTTTGTATGGCTTAATACTACCGTCATTTTCAACTCCTGATGGTTTTAGCTTCAAAAGGTTAATAATATAAGTACCTGCTCTCTGTCCTCTTGCAATATCGGGTAATTCGGTTAATAGACTTGCTGCATTGGTCATTGAAAATGAAAGAACTGTTATTACCTGAATCAATTGTGATTGCGAGTATTCTCTTTTCCCAGCTAATTCCATACCATAATATAATATAGTACCTGTAGCCAACGAAGTACATAAATCAGATAATGAAATGCCAAAGCCAGTACACACAGCTCTTAAAGATCCTACTTTGTTGACTTCGTTCAACTTTAGCACAAACTCTTTAAAGAAAAATTTATTTAGATTAAGTGTTTTTATTAATTTTATTCCACTCACAATTTCATGATTATAGTTTTCTAAAATAGAAACCTTTGTTTTGTAGTTATTCTCAGATAATTCTAATACAAATGAGTAAGCATGTGTAATAATTAAAATTAATGGAACGAACGAAACACCAACCAAAGCTAGCTTCCATCCTGTTATTACTGACCATATAACTCCTATTGAAAGCATTGCAATTAGATTGGTAGCAATAATTACAAATTCAGATACCAAGCTTCTTAAATCTCTAGCGTCATTCATTAATAAAGCGGTCAATTCTGATGCTTGAGTAGTTTCTGAGTCAAAATAAGATACCTCTTGCTCATTTAATTTCTTAAAAACTAACTTTCTAAGATTGACAATCCACCTCTCGCTAGCATAAGACATTGTAAACAGTGATAAATAAAGGATTATACCACTTCCTACGGAAATTCCCACAACTATACAAGACCACATTATCAACTCCCTTTTTATATTCATTCCAATAGAAGCGTTAACCATAGTGACTAAAATTTTAGAAAAGCAGTAGGAAAATATAGGACTTGTAGCACCTCCAATTACTGATAAAATTATTCCAAAAATAATCAACGTCTTATTATCAATTGTCTTTTTACAATATTGTAATATTGATAAAACTGATAGTAGCTCCGATGGTCTTCTATCTGTTGTGTAACTTAACTCGGAGCATTTCTCAAGATCTTTCAATACAGCCGGGTTCTTTAGATAATGGTAGGTCATCGAATCATGCTTGGTAGTGCCCGCTTTATATAATCTCGAAGAACATCTACAATTAACATGAGACTTATTATTTAATCCAGATCTATCCTCAAGTATTAAATCCTCATGAGTTAGCTCGAACATATATCCTTTATTCTTAACATTTCCACCTTCCATTAAAATTACATAGTCATCATCACTTATCTGATCAAATTCATGAGTAATTATTATAGTAGTTTTTCCTTTTCTCCAATCTTTGATATTCTTAAGTATTAATTGTTTATGCTTAATGTCCAATGCGCATAAAGCTTCGTCTAAAATCAAAATCGGAGTATCACTTATTCTTGCTCTTGCAATTGCAATCCGTTGCAATTGACCCCCAGATAGGCTGGTCAGAGAAACAACTGTATTAATACCATCACGAGAATCTTCTATTACACTACCTAACAAGGCAAATGTTGCAGCGTCCTCGATTAGCAAATCAGGAATATCACTAAGGGAGACAAATTTATTAACTGTTGCCATACCAATATTATTCCTTATTGATTCATTGAAAATTACTGGATCTTGTTGTACCAACGTAATATTATCCGTAAGCCATTTTGTGCTCAAATTGGAAATATTAAGTCCATCAATTCTAATTATACCACTCTGGGGTTGGTAAAACTTTAATAGCAATTGGGATATCGTAGATTTTCCTGACCCTGATGGCCCTATAATAAAATTCATTTCTTTTGATTTGAATGAAATACTCACATCTTTCAAAACCTTTTCAGGTCTAGACAGATATTTGAAGCTAATATTTTCCAATTCAATTACACCTTCACACAGAGGTGGATAAATACCCGAATCATTGAGACTTTCATTACTTTCAATTGCCTTGGCAATTTTGAATGACGCGGCTTGTGCTTTATTCAAAGTCGCTAATAATATAGAGATTTCTGAAATCTCTGAACCTAACATAAGACATGAACTGAAGCAAGTAAATACATCATTTATTTTTAATTTGCCGATGCTAATCATGTAATTTCCAAACCAAAAGCCTTGCACAAACATCAACAAGGTTAAACATTTTAACATGCCCGTATTACACGCTATAGCATTAGCTAGCTTGTAATATGCACTTGCTGATAGTTCCACAAGTTTATTGAACTTGGCCATTTCATAATACTTTCCATTGAATATTCTTATCTCAGCACCGCAAACTAAAGACCAATCCAATATCTTTGAAGCCTGTGCAGTTAATTCATTCTCCAAATCTGCAGCCTCATAAGTTAATCTACCAAAGAGCCAGCCAAATAACCCCATAAGAGGAGCGCTAGCCATAATTACTAATGTTAAGGACCAAGACAGAACCATCGCAGTAACAAAAAGGGCTATTATTGAAGCTATAGTTTGAACTAATAACCCTACTACCTCTGATGTACCGCACCGTAATTCTTCAATACACCTATTAGTCTGGGAGATTTCTCCCATGAGATTTTCGTTACTTTCAAACCATGCAATATTTTTACTTAACATCAGATTCAACGTTCTGGTTCGTGCCCGAGTAGATTGTTTCTCTCCAAATTTCATCCACGCAATGATCCCTACCCATGTAACAACCATTTTTACGAATCCTATCAACATTATTAATCCACACAACAATCTCACATCCGACATGAAAACATCAAGCTCTGAATACTCATTTTTATAGAAATCGCTTAGCTTACCAAATACCTTGCCATAAATTATGGTCTGCAATGGAATTCCCACAGAAGAAACACACATACAAAGGCATGCCATCAAAATGAATAGAAAATCATTTCTCACGACAAACATAAATATACCATAATGGCATTTTTCGATATCGTCTTGTATCCGCTTCTTGTTTTGGTCTGTTCCATAAGGTTCAAACTTTTTTTCATCAAAATCACTGATGGATTCTGACAAGTAAATTTTGTTATCTTTCGGTGTCATTTTGAGATGTTTGTAAAACAAACGGAATTGAATCTGTTAAGGCATTTGCCTTCATTCATATAACAGCGTAGGTCATTGAAAAGTTTATAAAGATAGCTTGAAAAATTTGTCCTTATTTCAGGTTTATCTTAGAATTTTCCATTTTGAGACTTAACAATAAAATATGTGGTGAGCGTTACTGAGTAGTAGACAATACTACGTTATTACTTGAATCCTGTTTACTACGGTAAGTTATATATAGAATTAATGTATATTAGTTCATTTATATGGGTTGTTTCTATTTAATACAGGCGATGCATACGAATGGGTATTATTATGGTCATGTAACATTATTTGATTGTAGGATTGCGAAGGATGTATTCTATTCATATTAGGAGTATTTCCCGCATAGGTGGTGATGAAGGAATTGGTATTGTTCATTGATGTATCATTTTGATCACGTAGTTGGTTTCTATATTCTAGGAGTAATTTATTTTGTTCTTCAAACTTTTTTTCGTATTCCTTTTGCATCTCCGTAAGTTCTTTCTTTGAAGCATTAGTAAACGCTGAAGAGTTTCTATAGCTTCCCAAAGCTATATTTGTAATGAATAAACTCCCGAATATCATGAAGTTCATAAAGAACAACGATTTCCATGTTATAGGCTTAACAAACCCGTTGACTATATCCGCAAATGTTTCTGCTGTAATTTTCGATTTACCAATTAGCTGGGGGTCTCGATTCATACATTTACTCCACATGGTACAAGCCTTTTCCAAAGCAGGCACCCTCGTCTGGCCATCCTCAATTGAGCACTTATTTCTATAATATTCTCGTGAACAAAGAGAAATTTCTTGAATTGCATCGGAGGTGTACGTTTCAAGCTTGTGGCTTATATCTGATTTTATAGTTCTGATGAATATGAAGAGTAGGTACAATATGGTTCCTATTAATAAAAGATTGAAAAGTAGTTGAAGATATAACGAAAGCACATACGGTATATTTGGATCACTCACAATTTTACTCAAAATACTTGTTTTCTCTTTTGCTTCTGTTGCTGTGTCCTTATTGTCATTATTATTCTCGTTTGTTAAGTCAATCGTACGATCTTCATCATAATTGTTTTTGCTTTTGTTCTTCCGAATTTTCCTCAAATTACTGACGGATTCTTCTTCGCTATAGTCATCAAAATAGTCATTTCGGTACGATAAGACTTCCTTTGTGGGAGAAAATATCACTCGTGCTCCTTTCACAGGATTTATGTCCCCATTCTTAGCTGCAAGCTTCAATTCAGGATGCTTCTTCAATAATGACTCTGTGATTGAGTATTCTTCAAGTTGTCTCCTGGATGAAGATTTGTTACGACCACTTTTTAATATAGAATGCAATTTATCCTGTTTCACATCATTTTTGGAATTTGGAGTTCTTGGATTCGAATTTTTCGTTATTTCATCAAGATCTACTGGAGACAATTCGTTTGCATTCTTTTTGGAATTGATAGGTGTTGAGACCAGCTTTATTTCTGCCCTACTTGTCGATCCACTATTAAACGTAGAGGGGCTCAAAAATGAAAGATTAAACGATGAGGATTCATCAGACATTACGGCTGTTGTTATTTTCTTTGTTTACTAGGATTCTCTCCAGATAAACATTTATGGTCCAACATATCAACAGTCACGTGTTGTTGGTATTAATGTCCTCTTTGTTAGAAGGCATACATTGGCCCTAGTTCTTACCGGTACTATAGAAGCCAATATAGATATTAGAAATGCTATGGATCGGAGTACGAACTTGAAATCCATAATTAATTCTTTCAAATACGATGACGGTAAACCAATTGTGAAGAAGACTGATAAAGTGAGTAAGACAACAAAAGCGAACTTGGAATCAAGTAAACTGAAAGATTATGAAGACCTTCAGCCTTCATTAGATGACAATTTGAAATTATTGTTCATTGGCTTCAATCCAGGTGTCCAATCTTCGATCCAACAACACCATTATGCCCATTTTACAAACTTATTCTGGAAATTATTCAATGAATCAGGCTTACTAATAAATGTGTTGCAATCGTTGAAGACTCCCATAGAGGATGTCGTTAAAGAAGACCCGTTATTAAAGGAGTTAGTAAAGCCCATTTCGGATAAGAAATATAAAACTTTTGTCAAGCCTGTTCATGATTTTGAAATAGTCAAGTATAAAATAGGTTTTACAGATCTTGTATTGAGATGTACCAAGACGGCACAAGAGTTAACCCTCAGTGAAAAACTAGACAATGTTCCCAGGCTATTTAGGGAATTTCAAGAAAGTAGAAGTACATTTATAGTATTCGTTGGTAAGGGAATTTGGGAGATCATAGTAAAGTATATCACTAATTTATTAAAGACAAAGATTAAATTGACGAAAGATAACTTTCATTGGGGAAAGCAGATGCCTGGTGAAGATGTGACATATAACATGATATTGGAAAAGTTAAATGATATGTTTGGCTATAGGCATAATATATATGTCTTTCCCAATACGTCTGGATTGGTTACCAGTTTGAAATACGATGAAAAATTACAGTTGTGGAACGATTTGAGTCAAGAGATACTAAATTCCTAACATGATTACAGTTATATATTATTAGACTTTATTTACAGGTATTAGGCATTATTTCCAGATCTTATAGAACGCTTTATCAATTTCTTCATTAAACTTTTGTTTACCCTCATCAGTCATATTCTCCCCATACTGACCAAAATTATCCGTAAACAATTTGTCAATAACAAATCTGATCTTTGTACATTGATCTACGTTATAGCAATCATCGTAGTACAACTTTTTCAATGCGTTATTCTGGATCTCGATACAGGAAGTGTTATTCTTGATTTCTTGTGAGCAGTGGTTGGTCAGTGTAAATGTCCATCCTCTAAAACATTCTATAACTTTTTGTTGCAACTCGGCGCAATTAATAGATGTGACTTTCTTAGGAGTTTCTCTACGTTTATATTTATCAAACTCATACGAATATTCATTATCCTTCTGGTATTTATGTAGGATTTCATTGACTCTCTTCTGTTGTGGTGGAACATCGAAAATCGTTTCGTGCTTCAAATCTGGGTTGTTTTCTTTAAAAAAGTCTCTAAGACTCTCCGGGAGCTCTTTAGCAATTTCGGATGTATCCTTACCATTATTCGAAGTAAACGGCCACATTAATTTATTACTAGTTATGTTATACTTACTATACAAATTGAACTATTAGAACGCTTTATATCATATTATCGGTATGTGCACACTCAAGATGCCGATTCCATCTCTTGATATCAATTCATGTCCTATCCAAGATACCTTCGAAAACCTTTCCAAGTTCTCCTTCTATGACATTTTGTAAGCGTCTTCTGTGGTTTTTGCGCTTTTCACTTTCAATTTTGCCTTGTGAATCAGAAGCAAGCTCCTCACGAGATAATTTCATTCGTAACGGATCCAACTTGGATATAATTAAGATCCTTAATCTTGATGCAATTGGCGATAGACGTACTATCTGAGTATTGTTGAGTTTCTCTACTGTATTGGATGCTTCCATCGAAAATCCATCAATTAAAAAACTTATGTGCAAATCCAACACTTGGAAGAATGTAAAGTAATCAAGCAATTGAAGCTCCAACGTACCAAAGTCATCTGTATCTTCAAATAACCTGTAATGCGCAACATAGTCTTCCATATCATCCATTAATTTGATTAAATAATCTTGCTGGCCGAACAAGCCTGACCTGTTATTAATCGAGTACCATACGAGATCAAAAACCTTCGATAATTCATTGATTAACTGGAAAAAAGAGTACAGTTCTGTAGTGTCAGCTTGGTTTTTGATGAACTTTCGTTGAATTGCCAATAATTGCTCGTCCACGTAGTTGATTAACTTGCTTTGCTGGTACGTTGCTATTTTGTTATGGTTTGTAGTTTTTTCGAATTCTGCTTGCAATAGTTCATATTGTTTATCAAACGAGCTTGTCAACATTTGAAGCTCGTATGATTGCCCATCATCATAATCATCATTGTCACTTTTCACTATCACGTCATCTTTTTTGGCGTTGTCATCATCATCGACGTCATTTTGATCAGTTTCCTCGTCATATAAGTCTGGGTTGAGATCCAAGTTCGCTATAGTGCCAGATGGTAATTCACCTTCTGGTATAACGTTCACTTCTTCATTAGCTGCCGGATGTAATGGTGTAGGTGGTGAATCCATTTTCCTCCGATTCGGCTTATCCTCATTAAAAAATGGTCCACGATTTTCTCAGATAAGGATCACAATCACAATTAGATAAAACATGATACATATTTTATACTAGTCTTTTTAACAAAAAGTGGTACATTTCTTTAATAAAATATCCTTGAAGTGGTATATAATAAAGTGCATCGATTCTAATAAGATGCCAGTTAGTGAAACAAATAAACTACAGGATCCTAAATCTATAACTAGAGATAATGATAGTGATGATAATAATTCGATCTCTGAGTTTAATTTTACATGCCTGATAAACGAAAACTTCACTACAGTGCAGAGAAAACAAGAGATATATCAATACTCCGATGAGCTATTAAATGAAAGGAAAAATGATAGCACAAAGAATAAAGGTATTGAATTTGACTACTTTAGACCTAGATTTGACTCGTATAATAAGTTGCCGGTGATAGCAAATTCATATCTTAAGCCCAATACGACATTCATAGGTGAGCAGCAGTCCGGAAAGGCTAAATATCATATAAAGGTGGAGTTTAAAACTGTTGACTGGGTAAATTCTATAATAACGGGGTTTTTGCAAATATCGGGATTAACAGAACATCATCCCGAAATAACCACATTCTTCAAAGGTGAGATAATTAATAATCCTTTCAATAAATATAAATGGGAGACGGGATCTAAAAAACTGCCAAGTGATACGAGTATAAAAAGATATTCATTCGTAACAGAAAATGATCTGTGGGGATCGTTCCTCAAAAACGATTTGGAACATTGGAAGCAGTTGACAGATTCCAAGGGTCTAAACGACGTCGAATTGAAACAAAAGTTGCACAGAATACAAAATGATTATAACTATAACGACGAATGTATATATATGAGATGGAAAGAAGAGTTCTTATTACCCGATTCAAGAATTAAACAAATTAATGGTGCTTCATTCGAAGGGTTTTATTATATCGTATTAAATCTAACACACAATTCAAAATTGCCCGGTTCAATAAGTGGTTTGTACTATCACAAAGACTCAGAAAAGTTCCAATCATTGAGTCTCCGGTGTGTTGAGGACAATGGCATCTCTAATAAATTTGATTTTGTTTGAATTCTTTTGCATATCTACTACTCTTATTTAAGTATATAATTAATGTACCAATCAGGAGTTACTTTCTATATATAATTATTGCACTTTCTTGGATTGCTTGTCTCTGTTTGCATAAATTTGAGCTGTAAATGGCTCTTCAAAATATAAAGCAATTTTGTACATGACAAAGACAAATCCTGCAATAGCAATACCTGTTGGTTTACCGTACCATAATGCTGTACCCAAGAAACATAACGTCGAACCATTATACATAGGATTGTCATTTATGTTGAATGGGAACCCTGTAACACGTTCCTTCATCAAGATTCCAAAATAATCTCCGAGATATGTGCCTGTAACACCCAACATGTACATAGATGATAAAACTAAGACATTTCCGAATCCAAAAGTACCAATTGCTAAAGCTTTGACAACATTGGACTTCAAAAGAGGTCCGTAAGTTGGTTGATTGAGCAATGCCTGGTGGTATACATTATCCCTATAAATTCCTAAACTGAAAATAGTGAATGCTAATAAATAACATCCAACTTTAGCTGATCCGGTTATTTTTGTAAGGAAATGAGTTTTGTATTCGGTCCTTGCAACAATGTTCCAGAAGATAGGATTAAAGGCAATGCATGCAATTGCGTACTTAATTTCACAATTGACCACAATGTAATCATTGAAATTTTCAACTAAATATTTCAAATCACTAACGTTCATTTCTAATATTCGATTTCCTTTATCAATTCCCAATAAGAATAGCTTATGGGTTTTCCGTCATATTTAAATAGTACTCTATATGCCCAAAATTATAGGATTGATCCCTTCAGATTTGCATGTGAAGATTGCTCTGATTATATAATACCGATTTGGATTTTGCAGCTTATCTTAATACAACATATAGTAAGACTAATCTTTTAATTCAAACAGCCCGACCTTATGGTCGTAGTCATGGGATATAGCTTCGTATATATTCTATAAATTTATAATGGAAACTTTTAATTTTAAGTCAACATGTTTAATTAGACCAACTTTGCAAGACACCTTATAACATGCAACAAAAGCACCAGATCAACTCTTTAATGAGAAGCCTAAACCTTCACGTTTAGTTTAAACCCAACAATGGAATATCTACTTAAATACCAGAAGAAGGTCCCGACAACAGAGCAAACGCATACAAAAATAGCAAACTTATTATAATTGTGGATACTGCCGTCCCCAATAATAACTGCAGCAATTGGGATACCGAACAAATTTCCTATACTGACAAAAAAGTTCAACAAACCGTATCTTTCCCCAAATTCCACTACCAAACTGATTTGAGCTAAGCAAATAGGAACCATAGATAAAATCAGACCCAGGAAAAACCCTCCCAATGCTGCGAATGCATACAAAACTTTCAAATTATACCCGAAAGGTATCCATAATGCAAAGATAGATATATTAAATCCTAAAAGCATTAAGATATTCATATTAAATTTTCCAAAGATATCTGATCCATACCCTGGTATAAATCTTCCTAAAATACCGGTGGCATTCCATACGGTTAACAATATGTAAGACGTTGATTCCGAGACATTCTGTGCAATTGCATAGGTAGCAAAATAAGTAATAACCATCACTAATGCAAGCTCGGCGAAAAATGCGCCCACGATAAGAAGTGTGTACCTAGTATCTTTCAAATGCTTGAAGCTCAAGACTTTTGCTTCTTCCCTCATCTTTTTCCATTTTGACAATGATTCAAGTCTTTCGGTCGATGAAGAAGGTTCGCTTGGCTCTTTTCTCTTCACTCTTTCTTTAATTAAAACAATTCCGATTATCATACAACCAAGGCAGATACATCCTAAGATAATAAGGGCTATCGTGAACCCATAATTCGGATATAAAAATCTTAACAATAATGGAAATACTAATCCACCGAGGGAGCCTGCACTTGTTGATATGCCTTGAATCATGCCAATTTTTTTATTGGAAAACCAATGATTCATTACACCAATAGAAGGGGTAATCGATAACCCATTTGAAATACCGACAGCAATAAAACTCAAAATAAATTGATAAACCAGCTTACTGTAGGCTGCACCAAACAAGTCCGCAACTAATAGTACTGCTGATATAACCATCAATTCTAGAGGTCCCCTCTTGTCAAATGTACTCCCAGTGAAAAGTCCCACTCCGTACGCAAGACAAAGGTAGATAGAGAAAATCCACGAAACGTTAATAGCACTAAGATCTGACAACTGGTGTTCAGACACATAGGTCTGGATTGCTCCAATAGAATTAATAAGACCTAAATTCGTCAAAATTGTGAAGAATGAGCCAATCATCACCGAATAAGCCTTAAACCCACCGTCAGGGGGGCGATCTTCATTATCATCCGAACGTACAGTCCCTTCCGCAGAAGTCTCTTCGTCCTCGCCTCCTGTGTATGTATGTTGCACAATTGTATCATTCAACCCATTTATTCCTCTTCTGGTTATAGCATCAATATTTCCATGTTTACCATTGCCATTCATGTTAGCATCCTGTGCCTCTCTAATACGCCTCGTCCCAAGATCTGAAAGCTCAATTTCACTTGAAATTTGAGAGGACATTGGTATATTCATCAAGAAGTATGTATCAGTGGTAATATCTACGTATAAATAGCAATTGTTTCCCAAAAAAAGGTATTTGTAATAGATTTCGGAAGAATTTATCTCAATTAATTGATAGCGCGCTATCTTTTTTCAATGGGAAAACTATTCATGTTATCAATGATATCTTATCTACCACCAAGTGACTATTGTAATAAGCATATTAAGCAAGCATCAAGGGTATAGCTCAATACATTTTAGCGGACATTTAACTCCATCTCTATGATATCTACTTGGGACTATCGCAGCCTGTTCATATGCACAGCTGCAACCATGCCATAAATGTCACAAAATTAAAATTATCTAGGAAGACGATTTTCCTTCTATAAGACACTCGTAGCAGGCTTGTGTCTTAGAACTAGGCACTAGGCACTAGCATTTCTGTAGTCTATACTCTACTATAAACTAAATAAAATAATTATTTTTCTACATGTAATTTTGAATTTATCACACAATTGTGCAATTTTGACAAAATGTTACCTAAACTTGATCCAAGACATTATCTACTGATATGAAGTGAAGTATCAATGTGTGAAATTTGTGTAATGAGGACCCGGAGCTTATCCTCTAAATCCAACAATTTGTATATCCTTTTCCCCGTTCTCTTCCCCCTTATCATAGAAATTCTATATTAGAGCAAAATTCGGTAGAAAGGATGTAATTAAAGTTTCATATGTTACGACTCTCCCTGCTTCTATGAAACTAATAATCATTTGTTCCTTAATCGATGTATGCTTTGGCGGTTACTTACCCCAGAAAGGAGATTATTCTCCGACTATATTTTCTTGCACTTGCATATCTTCGTCTATTAAGAATTTTTCGCGTGGGGGATGTCACCCGCACGATATTCTCGACTCAAGGTAGCATTTCTATCTATTGCATCTTGTTTGATTGCTTGATTGAAAAAAAGGTGGCTTGTGTAGTCAAGTTAGAGTTGGGTTATACCCACATATACATCGACTACTCGCTAAGCACCCTGATACATACATTTTTTTTCCTGTATTAACTATTCCTCAAGTGGGTGAAAACCCTTTCGCAAAGTATTTTTGGGGCTATTAAAAAATGCCAAATTAAATTTTATAAGCACTTGCCAAGACGAAAGTAATTCAAATCTTATTGTTTAAATTTTTATCGAATGCATAGCTCAATTGTTTATTTCTTTGCGAGAAGCGTGAATGATTAACTTTGCGGAGTTGTTCGCCGATGTGGTGTGGTGCAAACTTGAAAGACTTGGCATATGTAAAATGCGAATCGACTAATTAAGCTTTGTCTACAACATGTCAAGCAATTTCAAGATGCATACAACTCTCTTATTTTCTGTACTCCACAACAAAATAGGCGGCTATCTGGGATTCCATAACCTGGCCTACAGATAACGACGTCTGATTGGTACATGTGTAATTCACATTGAAACCTGGCGAAATTTACTATGATAGTAAGATAGATTCTCAGTGCCCCATGCTACCCCACAGATACACACCACTATTGCCGCAAACTTCCAGTTCAAAAAAAAAATTACTTAAGGAAGATAAGATGTCCATCTAGAACAGAAGATTTGTAGAATGCGACCTAGATCTATAAGGAAATGGCCGATACTATTAAATACATTAAAGAGGATGGAAAGCCTGATTTATCCAGAGCTTCCATCGTAGACTACTTCAAAACCAGGGCTTCAACCTTATTTGACCTCCCTATGAACAGGGATGACACTCCAGTATGGAAAAGATTGAATCCGGTTCCTGGTTTGAGTGAAATGACATGGACTAATTGGAGTTTCTATGGGTTGGGTTTTTTTGCATGGGTTGTTGATTCTATGGATTTCTTCTGTGTATCTGCATCTGCTTCAGAAATGGCTCATACGTTGGGTGTTGACATTACCGAAATAACCTGGGGTGTTACTTTGGTATTAATGTTGAGATCTGTTGGTGCAGTCATTTTTGGTATTTTATCTGATCGCTATGGTAGAAAATGGCCTTTTATTGCTTGTTGTTTACTTTTCGTTGTTTTGGAAATCGGTACTGGGTTTGTTCAAACTTATCAACAATTCTTGGGTGTAAGGGCCATCTTTGGTATAGCTATGGGTGGTATGTATGGTAATGCTGCTGCTACTGCTTTAGAAGACCAGCCAGAAAAGGCTAGATCAATTTTGTCCGGTTTATTTTTACCTGGATATAACTTCGGTTACTTATTAGCCGTTGTCTTCTTCAGAGCTTTTGAAGGTACATATAAAGGTGACCAAGGTTGGAGAGCGTTATTCTGGTTTTCGGCTGGATTACCACTCATCTTGATTTGTTGGAGATTATGCCACGGTGAATCTGCAGCTTTTACTAAGTTAAAAGAGAAGCGTAGATTAGAAGCTAATAAGGATTTAGAGCATAACAGCTCAGTTAAGAAATTGAAGACACAAGTACGCCTGGTTTTCAGAACTGAATGGCTTATGTTTATTTATTTAGTTATTTTGATGTCCGGTTACAACTTCATGTCACACGGATCCCAAGATTTATATCCAACCTTATTGGTAAAGCAACATAATGTTGGACCAGATAAAAAGACGGTTCTTATGGTGGTTGTTAATTTAGGTGCAATGGCTGGTGGTCTTTTCTTCGGTCAAATGACAGAATTATTGGGAAGAAGATTAACTATAATTATGTGCTGCATAATGGGAGGTGCTTTTATTTATCCATCGTTCTTCTCTAACAATTTGGATACTATGACAGGGGGTTACTTCTTCCTCTGTTTTGCAACAATGGGGGCATGGGGTGTAGCACCATTACATCTTATGGAATTAGTCAATAAAGATAATCGTGTGTTCTTGAGTGGTATAGTATATCAATTAGGTAATCTTGCCAGTTCTGCTTCTTCTACTATCGAGGCACAGATCGGAACCAGATTCCCATTAGATAAGAATGATCCTACATCAGATGCATACGACTATGGTAAGGTCATGGGTATCTTCTGTGCTGCCGTTTATGCCTTTATGATTGTTGCTATTTTCTTCGGCCCAGAAAGGTTCCATAGAGCATTGATATCACCAGATGATGAAATTGAGGAAGTGCAAGATGTGGACGATAATTCAAGCATCAACCTGCTGTTCAAGCAAAAGCCTGAAGTTATTCATAAGGATACACTGGTATTTATAGATGTTTCAAAGGTAAACTAGATACTTTTTGTGCACTGGTTTGTTACAGTAGTACTAGTTGAGTTTTATGATATACTTTTCCTTCATATATATATATATATAGTCTAACCATTAGAAAGTATATGTTTTTAATTCAAGTCTTATCATGAGGTTATTATTGTAGCTTAGCTTTCAACTTTCCATTAATAAATGTTTTTTGACTTTGATTTTTGTCTTGGAAAACTAACATTTTTTAGTCTATTAAAATTGACATATGACTAGTTCTGCTCCTTCAACTATCGAGGCACAGATGGTAACCATATTCCCTGTAGAGGAATGTGATCCTACGTCAAATTTATATCACTATGGTGAATTTAAGTGCATCTTTTGTGGCTCAGCTTATTCTTTGATTATCATCGTTTTGTAGGCACTGAAAAATGCAATAGAATTACTTGCACCGAATGACAAATTAGAGATGGAAATAAGAAGGAAGCTTATTCAAGCGTATATTCCCAGAAAAGTATGAATTAACACACAATAATTAATCCAGAGTTTTCTTTGTGCAATGGTTAGGGCAAACGAAATAATTGTTCTGCCATACGTACTAGTTTGACGTGATTTTATAACAGTGCAAAAATCGCATAATTGCAACATTTTTTGATTCTTCTATATATCGCCCAATTAGGAAGTAAGCGATACCAAGTTTATTCAATTCAACTTAAATGAAGTAAAAACTGTAAGATATCTCCCAAAACTGACATTCTGGATAAATTGAGGAGCATTATTCATATAATGGTCTTAAAATGGAAGAAAAAGCAGTTATTATGGGGTATATTCAATGTATTTGAATTTTCCGTGAGTCATGAATCTAATTTTCGACTTGCGCTATAAATTTGGTTGAATTTTTCAGTCCCAATTATATTTATTCCTCTTTCTAATCAATCATAAAAATATATTAAAATGGTTAAGTAAGTAATTGATAAGGTGAAAGATTGAGCTTAGTGGACATACTAACCTGTGCAGACAAATTCTTTTATTAGGATCCGGTTTCGTTGCTAAACCAACCGTTGACATTTTGTCTAAGACTCCAGATTTCAAGGTTACAGTTGCTTGCCGTACCTTATCTAAGGCTAAGGAATTGGCTGGTGACGTTGCTGATGCAATCTCATTAGACGTTACTGATGAAAAGAGCCTTGATGCTGAAGTCGCCAAGGTCGACTTAGTTATTTCTTTAATTCCATACACTTTCCATGTTAACGTTGTCAAGTCTGCAATTAAGAACAAGAAGCACGTTGTCACTACTTCTTACATCAACCCTCAATTGAGAGAATTAGAACAACAAATTAAGGATGCCGGTATCACAGTTATGAATGAAATTGGTTTAGATCCAGGTATCGATCACTTGTATGCGGTGAAGACTATTGAAGAAGTTCACCAAAAGAACGGTAAGATTAAGTCATTCTTAAGTTACTGTGGTGGTTTGCCAGCTCCAGAAAATTCCGACAATCCTTTGGGTTACAAATTCTCTTGGTCCTCTAGAGGTGTCTTATTAGCCTTGAGAAATTTCGCTAAATATTGGAAAGATGGTAAGGTCGTCGATGTTAAGTCTGAAGATTTAATGGCTACTGCCAAGCCATACTTTATCTACCCAGGTTTTGCCTTCGTTTGTTACCCAAACAGAGATTCTACCACTTACAAGGAATTATATAACATTCCAGAAGCTGAAACTGTTATCAGAGGTACCTTAAGATTCCAAGGTTTCCCTGAATTCGTTAAGGTTTTAGTAGACCTTGGATTCTTAAAGGATGATGAATCTCCTATTTTCAGCAAGCCAAGTGCCTGGAAGGATGCTTTAGCTGCTTTAATTGGTGCTAAATCTTCTGAAGAAAAGGATTTAGTTGCTAAGATCTCTGAAGTCGGTACTTTCAAGAGCGAAGAAGACAAAGAACGTATTTTGTCTGGTTTGAAATGGTTAGGATTATTCTCTGACAAACAAAACACACCAAGAGGTAACCCATTAGATACCTTATGTGCTACTTTAGAAGAAAAGATGCAATATGAAAAGGGAGAAAGAGATTTGGTTGTCTTACAACACAAGTTCGGTATTGAATGGGCCAATGGTGAAACCGAAGTTAGAACTTCTACTCTTGTTGACTACGGTAACCCAGATGGCTACTCTTCGATGGCTAAGTTAGTTGGTGTCCCATGTGCAGTTGCTACCCAACAAATTTTAGATGGTACCTTAAGTATCAAGGGTTTATTAGCCCCAATGTCCTCTGACATTAACGACCCAATTATGAAGACCTTAAAGGATGACTATGGTATTTATTTAGTTGAAAAGACTGTTGGTTAAGCTTTAAAAGTATATATTAACTATACAAGTATTTAGCTTTAATCATATTCTTCGTCACTTTCATCGTATCCAATTGTATACTCTTCAATCAATTCACTAATCTTTTCAATTAGTTCAAACTTTTCTTCAATAACCTCATTTTCCCGACTTCTTTTAATTACCTCTCTATATAATTTCAAATCATTTTTAAGCGTATTACTAGAGCTTAACTCAGAGTACACTGATTTTTCCTCCATAATATTTGGAAATGTATCATTACCAAGGATATCATTAATCTTATTGTTCTTATAAATATTTATTGGAAAGTTTTCCTTCTTATTCAAAGATTCAACGAGACTATCATCATTTGGTACAATATAAGACTTTGCAAAATATTTAGAGTTATTGGTAACTGATAAGCTCAAATCAATTGAGTCTGACTTATCTTTAATTTTTATGTTATCCACCAAATTATACAAGCTTGCCCTATCTATATCAACCATTCCAAAATTATTACTAGTTTGTTTAATCCTGTGTATTTTTATTTCATTGACAATGTTCCTCTTACCAAAACCTCTTAGTAATTCATCTTCAATAACACTCATCTTAACTGGTGATTTTATTTGATTATTTAAACCCCAAATTGAATTTAAAAATATTGCTTGGATACTAGAATTGTGCCACTCACTTGTTTCATCGTATCCACTTCCCAAACAGTCCGAAGAAGGATTTAGATTGATCGGGAAAAACAAGGTCGAATTGAATGATAATTCTATTATAGTATTAATTCTTGAATACAATTGATTCAATTTCGGATTCAAATTATGATTTATGAGTCCATGTACCCATATATTGTACTTGCTATTTATGCCATTATTGAAGAATTCGTCTTTCAAATCGACCAATAATTCATTGGTAAACCCACCCCATGCACTGTCTACTTCACTTATCAAATTCACCCCTTGTATTAGATCACATTTCTCTAAAATATTTCTAAAATTTTCAAGGCTGTCCTCAGAATATTGGTGATATTCTTCTTTACCCTTGTTAAAAGTATCAAATTTTAAATTTGGAAAACTTCTATTTATCCCGAAATCATTTGGTTGATATTCCCAGTTATTCAATTGATTTAGCGATCTAGGACTGTATATCAATTTATTATAATCTGTCCAGTATTTTGTATTATTTACATTCAACGTGTTTGATTTATTCATACCTTTATCTAATGCCTTCTGATATTCATTCTTATCCATTCTTGCACCAGTTTTAATGATTTCATATTGTCCTTCAATATTATCTCTCGATTCATAATATTCATACTTGCCCAAAGCACCATATCCTCTTGTCAAATCGTAGTTAAGACTACGAGGTGAATAATTTACTGTGCCATTTGGGTTTTTAGAAGTTGATAAGAAGACAGAATTGTCAAATTCCACAGTTGCAGTTTTGCTATACGGAAGATGAGCTTCTTGGTTATTGTACAAATGGGTCAGGAGATGGTTTGCCTTTTGCGATAATGACAAATTAATCACTTCACTCATTCTATATCGTCCTAGTCAAAATGAATGCTTTCCATAGGTGTAAGTAGCACTGAAAAATTTCTGTATATTCAATTTTATCACGTGTACACAATCGCTGTAATTTTTTTATATTTAACTGTTGACGTGTTTAAAGATCTACCAGATTTGTTACTTCATCAGCCAGAATGAAGCTTCTCACACTTCTAGGATGGATAATACTATTGTCTGTTACATTTGTGTATGGTAAAGATTACTACGGTATACTAGAATTATCAAAAGATGCTGATGATAAACAAATTAAACTGTCTTATAGACAATTGAGTAAGAAGTACCATCCAGATAAAAATCCATCGCCTGAAGCGCATGAAAAATTCATAGAAATAGGTGAAGCTTATGAAGTGTTGTCTGACCCAGATAAAAGAGCTAAATACGATAAGTTTGGCGATCCCAATGGACCACAACAGGATGATATGGACTTTGGAGATATTTTCAACCAGTTCTTTGGTGGGGGCTTTGGTGGAGGAGGTGGTAGACAAAGAGGAAAGAGACGAGGCGACAATACCAAGGCGAACATGCATCTCTCGTTATACGACTTTTACAATGGTAAAGATGTGGATTTCGATGTGGACATGTTAAATATTTGTAATGCGTGTGAAGGAACCGGGTCTGAAGATAAGTCAAAGCATCAATGTGACCGGTGTAACGGGAGCGGTTTCCTCAAAATGCAAAGACAATTGGCTCCAGGTATGATCCAGACCTTCAACACTCATTGCGACAAATGTAACGGTAAGGGGACTACTATTAAACATCATTGTAAAGAATGTGGTGGCAAGGGAACTGTAAGAGTATCGAGACATTATAATGTTTATGTTCTGCCGGGTGTTCCTCGAGACTCCAGCCAAGTTTTGGAGGGTGAAGGAGATCAGAATCCTGATTGGATCCCGGGCGACCTTATCTTAACTTTCCGTGAAGAGTTTGTGTCAAGCTGGGGTTACAGACGGATCGGTAACAATCTCTACAGAACGGAAGTGCTCATTCTCAAAGAGGCAGCACACGGTGGGTGGAAGCGTCATATTCCGTTTTTTGACTCCATTGACCACGAAATCACTATTGAGCGTGCTAAGGGAGCTGTTGTTCTCAACGGTGAAGTCGAAATCATCCCCCATAAGGGTATGCCAGTCGCAGGAGAAGACGACCATTTTGGCGATTTGTTCATCGATTATAAAGTCATCATACCCGAAGCTTCAGCCCATTCCAAGGATGAATTGTAGGTCAAATTGCGTCCGAATAGAGTATTATACACATAAATATTTCATCTTTCCATCGTATATAGCTTCATGTATAAACTGCACTACCGATAGATTCGTGCACCCCCATCGGCCTCGTGTAGCGTAAATCCACTAAGAATATCTTACCCCAGATGGTGGACTTCATGTGCAGTCCTAGTCTACTTTTCATTCACATATACTATCTGTTGGTTTCGATGTACCCTCGGAATGTATTCCCCTTGCAACTACAATAAACCTAATGCTAGAGTTATGTGCACAGCACTCTCGTTATCGCAATAAATTGTCGCTACCTAGCCGCAAATTGTCTTCCTGCTAATCTTGGCTCATACGACTTTATTAGTTGCTTCGCGCAATCCCCCCGGTGCTCCGACTTCCACGCCTTATCTCATCAGCCACTCATCACCGCCTTCCGCAATTCCGTAGTTTCATGTTGTTGCCGGAAACCCGCCTAGGGTCTGATATCTCTTCCTATGTTCCTTCTATTCGTCATATCCACTATCCTTTCGTCCTACTCCCTATCTAAACTCACTTGGCTTCTGTTTGTTAGTTCGGTCTTTCGCTCGTTATTCTTGTCTCGTAATTTGACCTGCATTCTCCTCTATGCCTCTAGACACATCCAATTTCGGGCCAATGTGGTCTTCCGGTGGAGTTCAGTAATGTGGGTTGTGCATTAGCCACTAGATTCTGCATCTAATGCTGCGTTTTACCTACTCAACAACCAAAACTACTGTGGTTCTGAAACTTTATTATGTAATTCTCCAATTTGCTGTGTGGCTAATGTGGGGCCAAGTTTGCAGCAAGGTCCCATTCTTATGTAATCCTCCATTTAATTACGTTCGCTTTCTTATGTAATCCTTCACCAGCAGTCGTATTTTTAAGCTTCTTGCAAAGCTTAGCAAAGGCGGCCTAAGCTCCACCTTTTGGAGTAGAAAAAAAGTTTAAAAGTTGAACAAATCCTTTAAGAAATTTTTCATACAAACTGAGTGGCACTATAGATAGTTTTTATTGGAGACAAAAAGGAAAGTAAGTGTCCGATTTGGGAGATTTATAATAGAAAAAACAGAAATATCATATTGGCATGTACAAAACTATAAGTACGACTAGTTTGGATAACGTAAAGTTCACACTCAGGTCAGATTCCATAGAGTCATTCTCATTGATAAATGACTTAGGGATAGACAACAAGGATTCGGAAACCGTATCAGGGGACGAAGAATATGAATCGAAAATATACAATGCACAGGCAGTGACAGTAGGGGAAATGAAAGCGAAGTTACCGGGGATGCAGAAGACGAAGTCTATGGAGGAATTTTTCGTGGTCGAAGAATTTTTTGCCAATAGTTTGATGAACTTGAGAGAATTTTTCGCCATAAGTAACGGGAGGCTCGTTAGCCCGATTGCGGTGCATACGTTAGGACAAATGAGTTTGTCACAACAAAACGAGTGCATATTTATGGTAAAGGACATATTGGAACGTGTCAACAGTTTACAAGCATTAATCAGCACTTTTAATGATAATTTATCTGCTAATTATGCCAAAATTAAGTCCCATCTCCGCCTATCTATCTTGCTGAATGTCAAGAACTTTCGCATACTCGAGAATTGCAGGGCAATGATGCTGGCACTCTGCGACATGAAGAAATTGTTTGAGGAGTTGAACTTCCACAGTGTGCATAATTTACTCGACGAAATAAATGATATGGTGTTTGATTTTAATAGTCACATAGAGAACTTTGCCGGTAGTGCTTCCGGGGATTCGAAAAACACTCAAATTTCAAATGGTACAAACATCAACTACTCGACATTAATGAAATACATATACCAGATCGAATCTACATTAAGTAAACAGTCACCATTTATAAATAACGAATGTGCATATTTTAAAAGCATTATAAACGAAGTCAAAATTGGATTTTTTGACTTTTTCCAACAATTCACAAAGCTAATGAATGAAGATTACGACTGCGACACTGTGTTTCGCTACGAAATACTACTGTTTGATGACCATTTAAAAACCCAGTATATAACGTGCCTGCTGGATTAGCTTTTAACATATTTGCATTTTAATGAAATTTACGTTCACTATTTTATTTTGTAGTACTCAGTATTAGTATATACTTGCGCTTAACCCCAGTCATAATAAAAAAAGGGCTGCAAATCAAATTTCTGGCGCAGAATCCTAGGGTTTGGTACTTCTAGCTGAGTGTAATGTGTACTGCTCTATTCATTTTTCTTAGAATCAGTTACTGGCTTTCTGTTTAAAAGTCCCTGTCCTATTTTAAAGAAAATCAATAACACACCTGCAATAAAGACCAAATTTGTAACGTGATTAATTTTATTAATCAGTGTATTACCACGAGGTATATTAATATTCAACTGATTTTCAGGAGACAGAAGATGATAGAAGACAGTATTATCGGTAAAGAACCTTTCATAGTTTCCTCCAAATTCTAATCTGTTATTAAAAGGGCTACTTTCTAACAAATATGAGTCTTTCACGTCACACCCATAAAATATCAATGGATCATTGATGTTAGCTTCCCTTGTGCTACTTTCATTGCTTGGCAATTGATATCTCGAGTGTAGCGGTAAGCTTATCTGTTGATGATTTTCAATTTCCATTAATATCTCAGAACCCCATTCACTGATTTTATACTCCGGTAATTCTAAATCCGTATTTCCAAAGTTAACGTAAGATGTAAACTCTTTAGGTAATTGGTATTTGTCAACAAATACTGATTTATTCAAATCTAGGTAGTAGTATAGTTTACATTGAATCAAATCATCGTCCCTTGGCTCTTGAGAATTAATTTTTGTAATTAAGAATGGGTGCATTCCATTCTCTTCCACTTGTGAAGTATAGGTCCCTATTGACTGTCTTTGTCTCTTTTTGACATGGAAAAGCGTTTTTTGTAAATACTCTTCGTTTTTTTCATTGTCGCCATTGAATATAGCTCGCAACCCCGATAACACGATATCATCTTCAGTACTAATGTCCTTTTCAATGAGGAATAGTCCTATTTCTTTATTAATTTTTTGCTTCTTAGTAATGGTAGCATTAGCAAGACTTTTCCCATTTAGTTTAAGTATAACCCTTTCCCCATCATACACGTATTCGACATTCGGCAGCGCCTCTAAATTTACATTGAACTCGTGTTCAGTTAAGTCTTTAACATACCCAATAAATTTGTCCGAATCAATACTAGGAGCATGATAGAACAAGGTATCCAATGAATTAATCCACCCATCTCTTGGAATATCAAATAATTTGCTCATTATTTCATTCAATTCATCAAAAAATTCTTCTCGATTAAATCCTCCATCTTCAACTTTAGGTTTGCAATAGATATTAAGCCCAGGATGATATTTGTTAAAGAGGATCAGTTGGCTATGAAATTGATTTAACTGTATTCTGAGCTTATCAATGTGCTTAAATTTTGGTGGTTGAAGAATAAACTTGTCTTCACAATGATAGTCAATTGACGATAATTGTAAATGCGACGAATCAACCGCTTCAATGACTCCATCGTTGGATTCGCCTGGATTAAATATCGTAGTTCTCTGTCTAATCATTGGGTTCGCTTATATGATGAAGCAGAAATAAGTAATCTGTATTTTCATATCTATTCAAAAAGTTCATACAGGTCGGAAGTTGAGTTAACAATAGATCAAAACCAGAGATTTACGAAATTGATATCATAACTAAGAAAACTATCTCTAAATGACGACAATAACTAACTAATGGTATGTATTGTATATAAATGAAATTATTTAATGTTCTATGTGGTTTTCCAAATTTTAGAAGAATAATGTTTGGCGAATGCCAAAGGATCATTGATTTTCCCATTCTTAGGAATTTCTAATTGGGACGCAAATGAAGATATAGGCAAAACCAATACATCACTAACAAGCTTTGGGATTGTCAAATCATGGAATTCTTGCCATGTGATCTTTTGATAAATTGAACTTTGTATATAGTTATTGAAATAGTTCATGATCACATCGGTCCAAATTCCACTACCAGTCCACTTTAATATTTTCAATGTCTTCTGATTGGAACTACCGGTCAATTTCAAGTCATTAGGGATTTCTTCTTCTTTCAATTTCAATTTTAATGTTTTCTCGGTAATCTGGCTTATAATCTCTCTCAAAATAGGATGTCCTGGTTTAGCTTGCATTATGAATTGACCGAATTGCAATCTACGTGCCAACTCTTGTCTCCACTTATTCAGATTCGAATCTGTTTCAACACTGATAATCATTCCAAGTTCCAGAGGTGCCACATTTTCTGGAATCCAATTAGGAACTGGTTGCAATGGATATGTATCAATGTCCGCGTACACTCCACCCTTGGCGAAGAGAATTAAATAACGGAAAAAGTCCATTCTTAAAATGATTTCTGGCATTAATTCATACGCCTTAATGACCTCTGGAACCGAACTGTATAAATGCTTAATCACAGTATGAGCAGTATCATCATTAAAAATTTCATGAACGAAGCCAGGATTTTTGTAGGCCCACTGCTGTTCTCCTTCCTTGTATTTCGTGCCAAAATTCTCATCATTTAAGCCATGTTTCCAGGTTTGCCATATATATGCTGGAAATCTCGTGTCTGGTTCATATGGATATAAGAATATCAATTTATCTCTTAATGAAAGATTAGGGTTTTGATTTTTCAACACTCTAATCTGATTAACAAGGTTTTCGTTCATTTTTTCCAAATGGATTAATCTCTCATCTTGCTTAGCAATCAACTTCTTGTTAAGCTTCTCCAACTTACTCAAAAACTCGTCTTGGGTCTTTTCATTCTCGTTATAAATCAATTTAGAGATCCCTAGAATATTTTCATTGGGTATGTTTTGAAGCACTTTCAGGAAATTCTCACTCGATTTAGGTAAAGTTAATAACTTTGTGAGTATTAATAGTATGACTATTACTATTATACTTATCACAATAGGTCTTTTACGCTTATTAAAATTCATGACTTACAAAGTACTATTAGCTGTTCTTTTGTTTTGAAGTTCCAAAAAAATTCTCATAATGCGAGATCAAAAAAGTATAGAAAACGCCATACTTGACATCGCTCATCAAGAAGAAGCGTGAATCAATACTAGAGAAATGGTTGAACTATATGGAGGTGCTGTCACTACAACTTTACCCGTTGGTATAGTCGATGTCTCAGATATGAGACAAGTACCTGATAATCAAGAGGTATTTATAATAGAAGAAGGAGACAAGGATATATCAATAATATTTGATTTATTAGAGCAAGTAGATGCCCAAGATATCAATACAGCATTGAAGATGCATATTGATGATATGTTAGAAACCAACCAATTTACTATGATCGAAGAAATTGCTCTGAAATTCTTAGATACTAAAATACATACATGTTATGTGAATTCCAATAATTCAATTCATTTAATAAGCTTAATAAGATTAAGCAAAGTTGAAACCGATATAGTTATTTCGATGCATGTTGCTTCATCAGACATAAATTTTGTAAAGGATAAGTATTATGGTGTATTCAAAGCTGCTGGACAAAATTATAATATAAAGAACTGGGACTTGTTTAATTAAATGAAATTTTCACTCTGTTACAATCACAACATATATTGTATATAGGGGTTGAATAAACTACATTAATGTCGTATTATTACATGTGTGGATTCTTTCATGGATCAATCATAGCCATAAAACTTATATCCAAAACATCGCAAAATAAACACTGCTTGAAATAATAAATTTGCAGGGCATACCTGCCAGAAAGCCTTTTGGGAATCTGAATCATGGTTCCAAGGCTTTCATCCTATATTTTTCAAACTAAATTTTATCAACTACAATGCACAATTGATCAAAATCTATCATTTATTAAATCATTGTGTATGGTGCATGCGCTCAATTAGACCACAACGCATTATATGAGTCGCCGTACCTTCTCATACTATTAGAGTTATTATCTTACTACTAACCCATTTGAATTAATATCATTATTTTACAGGCTGGTTTGGTTGGATAATATAGTGCCAAACAAATCTACCTTATATTTTGACAATAGCTTCGTCCCTATAATTGCATTCAACATGGTATTTATTGAAATATACTCTTCGGTAGCAATATAGTACCCGTACTCGATTGAATTAACTGCAACTGTTCTAAGAACATGTAAGATGCAAAAAAGTAATATCGAAAGAAGTATCGATATGATTGTGTTTAATACAATGGTTTCTTCTTTTGATAAGACGGGAATTGGTGTTGAATAAACGTAAAATTGGTATGCTGCTTTAAGCCTATTGGTGATCATCTGTATCTAATTAACCATAAATCAATCATGCCAGTAAAGAGGTTGCATGAGAGGGTTCTCGGTATATATATTACAAGTCCGCCGTTTATCCCGCACTCATATGCGAGAAAAAAATCGGTACTTTCGGCATTTATTCCTTATATCTGGCATGAGAAATGCATTGTGATCATCAAAAGATCTGTTATGGAACATCTGGATCGGGATGTAGCTTATTATGAGAGATGCGTGATTTATTTGTTATGAAAAATTCCCAAGAATTTGTGATGCTCCTGTAATTGCATTTTCGAATTTGCTATTAGCGTATGCTAGAATCAAGGTATAAGCTTCTTACAACCGTATTACGAGAAGCTTATTCCTTTGTAAATCTCGTATTTACGTCTTCTGGTATCTATCTTTTCTTTAGTGTATAATAAAAATTTTCTGTGATTTATTGATCAGACTTTATACTCTATGAATATGGCAAATGCAAACAAGATTTACTAGGTCTTTACAAGAAGAAACTGTCTCTGGAACTTCACATGGAGCATGTGAATGAAAAGGCCAGAATATTCCAGTTTGTAATATTCTTGAAGTCTTGCTGCAAAAGCAATACGTACAATACGGCAAACTAACAAGATAGCTTAGAGATAATCGTAGCTATCTTCTCTTCTATAATAGTGTTATTAATAGTATTCTTAAATTTCTTTAAGTAGCTGACAATGCGAGACACCTTTAGATCTAAGTTTGGGATATAAAAACTCAAAATAATATTATTATATCCAATTAAATGGTCGACTATTTCGGAAGTTGGATTGATCAATTGAATTTTCTGCTCTGTATTATTTAGTAGATCAATGCTGTTCAGCAGAAGATCCTTATCATTTTCAATTATATTGATTATATATCCCATAGCAAACAAGGATGCGTTTGTTATGTTGTCATCCATTTTATTATTAATTATATTGTCATAATTATGGTTGATGAGCTTAAGCAAGGGCTCTATATGCGATTTGAAGTATTGGTTTCCGTTAGTACTCACTAGCACTAAAGTTTTCATTATGGACATTTCATTAGCTTCAACCTTGAATTTCTCTATATTATAAATAGCTTTGTTTATATTCTCCTCGATTTCATGGATATTGTACAATGGATACCTTTGATAATAATTTTCAAAATATTTCATGTTTGGTTGGTCCGAGGATTTGATAATTTCAAATATCTTGCCATTGTATATTCTATCTTGCTCAACTAATAATTCTGTAATATCTGACTTGCTTGTGTGCTCTATGAAATGAATTAAATTATCCCTCGTTACATTCAGAATATTCAAAATGGGTATTTCAAAAGAAAAGGATCCAAACAATAGTTCGATGACATGGTTATCTACTTGATCTATAACCTTATTATTAGGTATTTGACTGAGGAACCAAATAAGATTCTGCTGGATCAAGTATATTATTAGCTCTCTCCCATTCCCCGGTGGTAAATTACTTACCTTAGATAAAAGTTTATTTAGCCGTCTTGTAATTTGAGTACAATTTCTTATTAAGAATTCCTTATGGAAGTTGCTTAAATCAATCAATGAATTTATTAGTATTTGGTTACTGTTTTCCATTTCTTCACCTCCATTGAAAATAAGTCCTTCCAATAAATATTCAAGCTCTTCTTTATCGGAATTCTTCTTACCTAAATTTCGTAAATCGTTTATATTAACAGTGTCTTCACATGAATCTTGATAATCATAATAATTACTGATCATTTCTTTATTTAATATTTGATGTTCTTCTGACGGTTCGCCCTCTTCTTGTTCTAATAAATAGCTTCTCTGTTCACCATAGGTCTTGTGCTTCAGAGAAATACTGCTCAATCTGGACTTAAGCGTAACAGGCTTCGCTATAGCTTCTACCTCTTGGTTTAAAGACTTATATATACCGTCTAAATCAATACTATTGATTACCAGTCCGATTTCTTCGTGTTTCTCTTGTTTCATCTCATTTCTTTCTGGAAAAGCTTCCAATTTTTCATGTCTCAAATCAGAGCTTTCTATATTTTCAAACAAATCATCCCATGCGTTTTTCTCATTTGGTGTAGACTTTGGAGTCTTCCCAGGCGACGAGCCATAACTTCTAGGCGTTGTAACCGCTTTTTTTGGAGATGAAGACGGCAGAATTAGTTCTAATATTTTCTTTTGCGGTTGTGCTTTCTTTCTTGGAGATCCTAGATGCAAATCATTTCCCGTGTTGGGACTGTTCATGAGCGAGTCGATTACCTTTGAATATCGTTTCGGAGACTTGGTTAAATGATCTTCCACTAACGCGTCATCTATCTTTTTAGGTGACTTCCTGGGTGATTTCCTAGGCGACCTCCTAACCCTTTTATCTATACTAGCAGAAGGTAGCAATTCACCTTCCATAGGCCTTTTTATTGTAGTTTCCTGCATCAATTGTGATAGCCTGCTTCCACTCTCTGGGGTCTCTATAGTGTTTTCTTCTTCATCACTCGAGAATATCAGCACCTCCAGGGGAAATTTAACCCACTTCCTTTTTTTATTGGTCTTCCCATATACGACCATTCCACAATGCTAGGTATGATTCTGTTGCAGATCCTAGTCTTAGATGTTCTCTGATCAACCTATCAAAATACTCACGTGATCAACGCTGTTATTGTTGATTCAAAATTTAAAGATATCAACACTTTGTCAACTAACGAAATAATATAGACATTTCCAGCACAATAACTATGTCATTAGAAAAAAAGATTCGGAATTTCTTGCAAGGTCCAAGAAAGGGGGAAACTTTTGAATTAAAGAATGGATTGGTTTCCCAATACAGGGGTGAGCGAAAGGATGCTATTCAACGTGTAATCCAAGCCATGACAGTTGGTAAAGATGTTTCAGCATTATTTCCTGACGTGTTAAAAAACATAGCAACATACGACTTAGAGCAGAAGAAATTGGTCTATTTGTACCTTATGAATTACGCAAAGACCCACCCTGAGTTATGTATATTAGCTGTGAATACATTTGTTCAGGACACGGAAGATCCAAATCCCTTAATCAGAGCATTAGCTATACGTACTATGGGATGCATTAGAGTGGCCAAGATGGTTGATTATATGGAAATTCCGTTACTGAGGACATTAAAGGATGATAATCCATATGTGAGAAAGACTGCGGCTATATGTGTAGCGAAACTCTTTGACTTGAATTCGGAAATGTGTATTGAATTTGGCTTTTTAAATGAGTTGACCAAGTTGATCAAAGATCCCAATCCAATGGTTGTCGCTAATGCCTTGAATGCATTATTCGAAATAAAAGATATGAATACCGATCCAGATTTAGAAATCATCGAAGTTAACAAGGGAATGGTTAGTAATTTGTTGATGTGCTTGAATGAATGCACGGAATGGGGTAGAATAACTATATTAACAACCTTGAATGATTATAAATCGGAGTCATCAGATGAGGCAAATCATATTATTGAAAGAATTATACCACAATTACAACATGTCAATCCTTCAGTCGTATTATCCTCGATCAAGGCGATTATCAACCAATTGGACTCGATTTCAGTAACTGCTCAAAGGGCTTCGATTTTGAAAAAGTTGTCTGCTCCTTTGGTATCATTAGTTTCGTCCTCAATCCCTGAAGCGCAATATGTTGGTTTGAAAAACATTAGGATTATCTTAGAAAAATATCCACAGATTTTATCTAAAGAGCTTCGTGTATTCTTCATTAAGTATTCTGACCCATTATACTTAAAATTAGAGAAGTTGGAAATTATGGTGAGATTAGCCAACGATAGTAACAGTACTTTATTATTAGGAGAATTAAAAGAATACGCCATGGAATTTGAAAGTTCTTTGGTGGCAAAAGCAATCAGATCAATTGGAACAGTTGCAATTAAGTTGGCAGGCTGTGTTATCAAATCTGTTAACTTGATATGTAACTTGATTGACCAAAGAGGAGGAGAACTAATTATCAATGAATCAATTATTGTTTTGACAAATATCTTGAGACGTTATCCAGGTAAAAATGATTTGATTACCTTAATTGTTCCAATCATTTCAAATCACACATCAGAATTAAACAAGAGCGAAGCGTTATCGGGGTACATCTGGTTATTAGGTGAATATCCAAAATATTTTTCACAATTGAAACAAAATTTACTGGATTTAATCGAGGGGTTTTTAGACTATGAATCTTTGTTACAACTAAATATTTTGACGACGATTGTTAAAATTAACTTGTCAATTGAAAACCAGACGTATTCTAATTATTTGCAAAAGGTTTTAGAAATGGCTACTAAAGACTGTGAGAATGCAGATGTTCGTGACAAAGCATACTTATACTGGCGTTTGTTGTCATCTTCATCAAAGGAATCTCAAAAACAGATCGTTTTAACTAAATTACCACCAATTAAAACTACTATTGCCTCATTCAACCCAGTTGTCTTAGAGGCTTTGGTGAAGGAATTATCCACTCTAGCATCGGTGTATCACAAACCTTCATTTACTTTTATTGATCCTAACTTGTATACACCTTTAACTACTGACCCAGCATCAAGCAGAAGATCTAAATCGCTGAATAAAGGTGAAAATATTGAAGATTTGACTAATTTAGCGAAGCAAGAAATTATCAATAATTCTAAGAATGAAAACTTACTTGATTTTGATGATGATGATACTGATGTTAAACCTGATAACAGTTCTAGTAATGGCTCCTCGTCATTACTTGATGAACTAAATGATTTGTTTTCAGCGCCTGCTATGCCTTCGCAAACACAATCCTCACAGCCAATACATTCTTCAACAAATGATATACTAGACCTATTCAAGACGCCAGCGCCACAAGGCACTCAACAAAATCAAAACTTGGCACAGGGAATTGATAATTTAAGTATCAATAATAATTCTTCGTCATCTAGTAATCAAAATAAGGTAAACAATGATCTTTTAGATCTCTTTTAATGCTACAGTCCTATATAATCATTTTGTTCATTATTTATACATAGGTAATATATAAATATATATCTATACGTTTTGGTCCAAGAGCCTTTGTATTATGCTATTTTTGATACTCTCTTTGTCCTCTGCTGAGTCTTCTTCGCTCTTAACATCCTCCTGATCGTCATGGTAGTTGGCATCAACTAGTTTCAAGATTTTAGCTTTAATATCCTCGCTAGTTTTATCAATTTCGTTAATTTCATTTCGCTTCATGTCAATTTGTTTTCTTAGTAGCATTATTAAACTCTCTCTGGATTGATGGGGTCTGTATGTATTTAATATATGATTAATGTTTATTAGAATTAATTTCAAATCTTCAATTTTATAATGAAACTGTTGAGGGTCAATGGACACCACCCCGATCAATTCCAAAAAGTTTAATAATAATGAATCCATTAGCTTGTGTAATTCGACAATCTTAGTGTTTGAAGTAATCAATTCATCGTCATCTTTGTATAGTTGGGTCCATCCCAGTTCTTTTAAACCCGGTAATTTATCTTCAAATGACCACAAATTACCAAATCCTCTATAATGGTCTGAATCAGGTTGTTTGGGTGGCACTAAAAATTTCAACTCACCCGGTGGTTTATTATCTTCGTATTCGTTTGCCTGTTCTAGATCCGTCTTATCTAGTTGCATATCATCTTGGCCTTTATTCTTCCATGTTTCTAATTTACTTAAGTTTTCGTCTGTAAAATATTTAAAGTAAGGGGGTGGTGGTGGATACAAAGAAGATATTATATCTTCATTAGTACTAGTCATATCTTTATGATCGATTTCAATAAGAAGCTGGTATATAAAACTTCCATACCTCTTTATTTATTGTTAGTAAGAATCGCACTTCAAAAATTCGCTACCTCTTTGGTTAAATCTAACTATTAATTCCTATCCTTTTTTATAATCTTCATACAAATATAACCTAAGCATGAGTGACGATCATATGGAAATTGATAGTCGTAAGTAATTATTGGAATATATACAGTTAAAAACAAAATACTAACAATTTTCAATAAATAGATCTTGAAAATGAACAACAAATTGATTCGAAATCAAAATCTTCAAAGCAGAAATTTGAAGTAAAGAAATGGACCGCTGTTGCCTTCTGGTCTTGGGGTATGTATAATATAAAACACTGGTATCATAGATATTTATTTATATTTCGAACTCATATTAACTAAATTTAGATATAATTGTGGAGACTTGTGCAATTTGCAGAAATCATTTAATGGAACCATGTATAGAGTGTCAACCGAACACATTGAATAATTCAAATGAAGAGTGTATTGCAGCTTGGGGAATGTGCAACCATGCTTTCCATATGCATTGTATCGCTAGGTGGTTGAAATCTAGAAATGTATGTCCATTAGATAACAGGGAATGGAGTTATCAAAAATTTGGTAATTAGCCAATTGCTTTTATATTGTATACTATCTAATTATGAATCGATTTCACTATAAATTTATTCTTGCTTGTAGCTATTGACCTATTTACTGTTCGCTCCAGTATCTCCAACATCTTTGAAATGATCCTAAAACCTCCAATGTTAAGCAATTACTCGTTAAATCATTAATACTGTCTGATACGTTTTCATCATCTATGCTTCCAATTAACTCTACAAAGAAGACATATTGCCATTGCTTTAAATGTGAAGGTCTAGAGTTAATTGAAGTTAAATTAATGTTATACCTTCTGAATGTGTCCAACACCGCACATAATGCCCCAGGATCATCATGATCCAAGGTAAAAATGATCGAGGTGACGTATGTCTCTGGATGTGAAGAACCCTCTGGTGGTGTGTGCGATTTAATTTCATCATATCCTAACACCAAAAACCTTGTAGTATTGTTGGATGAATTTTCGACATTTTCAAAGAGTATTGGTAGTTTGTATAAATCTGCACTAATCTTAGACGATATGCATGCACTAGTACCTGACTTATCATTATACACAATTTCTGCTGCCTTAGAGGTTGAATCGGCATCTAGTCTTGTAATCTTTTTGGTAATATGCTTTGCTAAAAATTTGGTTACTTGGCCCCATACTTGAGGATGTGAATATATCGTAGTTATGTCATCTAAGGACTTAGCATTGGACAAAAAGTTATGATGAATTGATACAAATTGTTCGCCAACAATTCTAAACTTCGGAACTATATGTTGGTGCTCTTGGATATTTTCGTCCTGGCTTGACGGTACGAACCAATCTCTAAGTAAATCATAAGTATATACGACTTGTCCATTAGTTGAGTTCTCAAACGGGACTACTGCATAATCAACTTCTTTTGAATCAAGTACTTCAAAACAGTCAGATATGGCTGCTTGAGAATATATTTCAACGTCTGACTCAGTGCCAAACTGTTGGATTAATGCCTTAACTGTTAGTTCGATCCTAAAGATTATTAATCTGATTAATCTTACTTACTTGATGGGTATAAGTACCTTCTGGGCCTAGGAATGCTACTTTCAATGTCATTATGACCCTATCACTTATTATAATTGGTGATATCTGATTAGATCTATTCATTTCCGAAGAAAAATTAAATACGACTCATAGTGCGGAATACCAAGAAACTACATCTTTCCAAGTAGGAATGGTGGGCATAATACTGATATATTATAAGCAAATTACATAGTTAATACATCATGATTATAGTCATTCATTAGTGAGCCTATACTTGTGAATATATACATATTTTTGACTACGACTCTAGCGTACAGTCTGATGAAGATGAACTAAAGGAATTCCTTAGCCTTTCTTCTGAAAGCATTACAATCTCTTAACCATTGCTTATAATCCTTCAACGAATAGATTCTTTCCCCGTAATAATCTGGAACTGGATTAGAAAAAGATTGCGAAGATGGATCTACCCTATGTTGTCTGATTTTTTGCAAGAAAATCTGGTCTTTTATTTTGAATTGGTTCATGGCCGCTTTGTTCTTCAAGCTGAATAAAGCAGTACCGATAAATGGGCCAAACAAGTATCCTACACCGCCTCCTAAGATAACAGCACCACCCATCACCATAAATGGATCTAATCCCATGATAGGCTTATCGACTTGTATTTCGATGTTTCCTAAGTATGTCAATGTTATGAATGCACCTCCCAAACTGGTAAACACTGACGAAGCCACATTAAGTCTATTATTCTGCTTTTTCAAGTTTAAGTACTCGACCCAATTCAACGACGATCCTCCAGTTGAATTAAAGCGGACCGATCTACCAATCGTTTTAATCAGCCTGTTGTAAATTCCAATATTCCTGAGCATAAGCATATTCTATATTAATTCCCTCTTTATACAAATATTGAACGAATTATTCAATATTAACCTATTTGATGGAACATAGTATGATCCTCTTTGCTCAGGATTTTTCATTGGGGTGGTTTTGTGTCATTATCGTCACCGAACACAAAAACGCGGAAAATTTGGTGAGGATTAATTAAAACTCAACCAAATCGAAACACTACATGTTTTTAGATCCAATCAATTAGATAGTTCGGCAATCTAAAGGCTATTTATTAAGTGGATTGCGCATATTGTTACAGGTGTATATAATAAACGCAAATTCAAACCATATCCCTAAGAGAATATATTAGTTCCTTCTTTTCTTTGCCAGTTATTGACCAGTAAAAGAAGCCGCCGACATGAGTGAAGGGCCAATATTAACGAACGGAAACATTATAAATAATGGTAATGGAATTGGTGGTGATATATCTACATCACATCAGCCCGTTTCGGTGTCGTTTCCTGAGACCAGAGACCAGTTAAGCACATTATTGCATAAGTATCAACAGTTGATGAAAACATCAAATGAAGCGAAGGAAAAGCACGACAATTTTGTCAGGTACCTTGAAAATAAGGAAAATGGCGTAGGCGACTTTAAAGGTCCGTCTAATGACGTGAGGCCTGTGTTCAAGGATCCCACTGAAGAAGAAAGGTTAGCAATTGAGAATGTTTTTTACAAGATTAGTGAGCAATACCAGCAGTTTGTAAAGAACGAAGAAGCGTTTTACGACTCTATAAAAGAACACAAATCTGAAGAATCTTTGGATTTAGAGTTGTTGGAGAAACAAATTGCAGGATTGCAATTCTTGTCGAAGGATTTGGACTTGCCAGAATCGTTGCAAGAGGATTACGAATCAGTGATAAATTCGGAAAGCGAGTCTGCTCGTAATAACGATACAGACAGGTTTATTGAAGCGTTTTTAAACTCCAAGTCAAACTTGAATGATTTCATGAAAAGGGCTGAATCTTTGGGCATCAAAGTTCCGCAACCCCTTGGCTCTATAAATCCAATGCATGCGCCTGTTGGTAATTATTATACCGAGCAAATGATCTCATCGAAGATATCAAATCGTATAAGGGAGCTTGAGAATTTGCCTGCGAACTTGGGTACTTTCAGAACTAATTCCTTAGAAAAACAGACCAATTACGATGATTTGAAAATAAAGGCCTTAATTGAGTTAAAGTCATTGCAACTTTTGGCAAAGCAAAAACAATTAAAGAAAAACTTGATTATTAGCCAAGCCACAAATTCACATTATGATAATCCAGATTTAAATAAAGTTCCATTGACATTACAAGCAAGAAGATCCATATATATCAGACCAAAAATCATTCAACCAAATCCACATTTGCTTGCTTCCCAATTAGAAGAAAAACGCAAATTGGAAGCTAATAGAATAAAGCACGCATTACACGTTGAAAAGGTTCAACAGATCTTGATTAACTCTGAGGAGTTTGTCAATAAGAAACTCAACCGCTTGAATAAAATTTCTTCCATTTCTAGAGCTATTAATCTGTTCCATTCAAACACAGAAAAGGATGAATCAAAGAAATTGGAAAAAACGGCTAAGCAACGTTTGCAAGCTTTGAAAGCAAATGATGAAGAGGCTTATATTAAATTATTGGATCAAACAAAGGATCACAGAATCACGCATTTGTTAAAGCAAACCAACACATTCTTGGACTCTTTAGCGCAAGCAGTTAAGGTTCAACAAGTTGAACAAGGGGCGGACGTCCCAGGAGAGAAGCGTGTTGAAGATGAAGTGGTTCCAGAGAAAGAAGATAATGTAGAGGAGTTACGAGAAAAGATTGATTACTATCAAGTTGCGCACAGAGTTAAAGAGGAGATTAAGCAACAGCCATCTATTCTTGTGGGAGGCACCTTGAAGGAATATCAAATAAAGGGTTTAGAATGGATGGTATCATTATACAACAATAAATTAAATGGTATTCTTGCAGATGAGATGGGTTTAGGTAAGACTATCCAATCTATATCTTTGATAACCTATTTAATTGAGAAGAAGCATGAAGATAAGTTTTTGGTTATTGTTCCATTGTCAACAATTACAAATTGGACTATGGAATTCGAAAAATGGGCTCCTTCTGTAGAAGTTATTATTTACAAGGGATCTCAACAACAACGTAAGTCCATGCAAGCGGAAGTCAGGTCTGGTCAATTTCAAGTTATTTTGACTACATATGAATACATTATAAGAGAAAGACCCTTGTTGTCTAAATTTTATTATTCTCATATGATTATTGATGAAGGTCACAGAATGAAGAATGCAACTTCTAAATTATCTATAACTTTGAAGAATTATTATAAAACAAAAAATAGATTAATTTTGACTGGTACACCGTTGCAAAATAATTTACCTGAATTGTGGGCATTATTAAATTTTGTTTTACCAAAAATTTTTAACTCTGTTAAATCTTTCGATGAATGGTTTAATACGCCCTTTGCTAATACTGGCTCGCAAGAAAAAATTGAATTAACTGAAGAAGAATCTTTGTTGGTCATTAGAAGATTGCATAAGGTTTTAAGACCATTCTTGTTGAGAAGATTGAAAAAAGATGTTGAGAAAGATTTACCTGACAAGGTTGAAAAAGTTCTTAAATGTAACTTGTCTGGCTTGCAATATGTCTTGTATCAACAAATGTTAAAACATAATGCTTTGTTTGTTGGTGTTGATGTAGGAGGAGCCAAATCTGGTATTAAAGGTTTAAACAATAAGATTATGCAATTGAGAAAGATTTGTAATCACCCTTTCGTTTTTGAAGAAGTTGAAACTGTGTTAAACTCCACTCGTTTGACTAATGATTTAATTTGGAGAGTTAGTGGTAAGTTTGAATTACTTGATAGGGTTTTACCTAAATTTAAAGCTTCGGGCCATAGAGTATTAATTTTCTTCCAAATGACCCAAGTTATGAATATTATGGAAGACTTCTTAAGATGGCGTGATATGAAGTATTTAAGACTTGATGGTGCTACAAAAGCCGAAGATAGACAGGATATGTTGAAGCTGTTCAATGCTCCTAATTCAGAGTATTTCTGTTTCCTCTTGTCCACTAGGGCTGGTGGTTTAGGTTTGAACTTACAAACAGCAGACACCGTTATTATCTTCGATACAGATTGGAATCCACATCAGGATTTACAAGCTCAAGATAGAGCGCATCGTATTGGTCAAAAGAATGAGGTCCGTATATTGAGATTGATTACCAATGATTCTGTCGAAGAAGTCATTTTGGAAAGAGCGCATCAGAAATTAGAGATTGATGGTAAAGTTATTCAAGCAGGTAAGTTCGATAATAAATCGACTGCGGAGGAGCAAGAAGCTTTCTTAAAAAGATTGTTAGAAGCTGAAGCTAGTAAGAATGAAGAAGAAAATGATTCTCTAGATGATGAAGAGTTGAATGAAGTGTTGGCTCGTTCAGAAGAAGAGAAGGTATTGTTTGCTCAAATTGATAGCGAAAGAATGATCAGTGAAAAGCTTGCATCTAGACAAGGTGGCCCTAAAACAAGATTAATAGAAGAAGGAGAGCTACCAACTGTTTTCACTCAGGATGTGTCACACCATTTCGAGAAAGATACTAAAGAATTAAGTCGTATGAGAGACAAGAAAAAGGTTAAGTATGACGATGGTTTAACCGAAGAACAATGGTTGATGGCTATGGACAATGATGACGATACGGTCGAAGATGCAATTAGACGTAAGGAGGCTAGAGTTGCAAGAAGAAGAAAGAATAGAGCAGGATCTGCTGCAATAAGTGATGAAGAAGATGATGATGATATAGCGGATGGTGACCTTGACGAGGAGGACTCAAGACCAAGAAAGAGATCACGTCGTTCTACCACGCCACAAGCCAATGGCTACACAGACAATGATGATGATATTTCAGAATTGGAAAGAGGCGATAATCCAAGTGAGTTAGTCGAAAAATGTACAAGCGTACTCGACGATCTTTGCGAATTAACTGCAGAATCTGATGGCCACAATATTTCGGAAATTTTCATGACATTGCCTTCAAGAAAATTATATCCAGATTACTACCAGATAATCAAACAACCAACATCAATTAATCAAATCAAGAAAAACGTAAAACAAGAGAAATTCGAGTCTTACGAATCGTTTATGGATAACTTGCAATTGATGTGTACAAATGCAAAGACATACAATGAAGAAGGTTCTTGGGTTTACGAAGACGCTACAACCGTTGAAAATTTCCTTAGGACTAAAATTTGAATGTAATATAGTTTAACCTCTAATTTATTAATAGTTTCTTAAAATTATAATTAAAAAGTACTACCTATTGTGTAAGGATCGCATAACATATAATTGTCTTATTGTTACAAGGGCCAATCATAGAAACTCCATTCAGTATTAGCAAAGTTCAGTAGCGCGAATTACATGCACGTCTAGGTTGCAAGTTGCACTCTTATAGAGCTCCGAATAACTGTCACAGCTTATAAGGCCCTTCTACAATGAGTAATATATTTAGAAACTTGAGGTCTGTAGAAAGTATGTATTTGTAATATAACGAAAAACTGAAGCTTTTGAGGCGTGTTATTGGCAAACAAAGTAATTTTTAGTGTGGGCGATATTTCCGGGTGATGATATTAATAATGACACCCATTCTAGGTCATAGCTTCCGTGCGTGGAACATGGCATATAAATTCATAAAGTTCTCCACTATCAGGGATAGAATTTTAATCGAATTTTAATAACTAATTGAATTACGTCAATTGATATTTCATATCTAAATATTTAATCAAACTAGGCTTAATCTATCAAAATGTCCACTGCTGCATTTAAAAGACAAAGCGTTCCACTTTCAAGAGTCTTCCAGAGTTATGGAAAGAATACGACCCAATCCAAATACGGAGCTTACCTTATGGCTGCATTGATTGGGTCTGGTATTTTGGCTACTTCTTATTTCAACAATAATGGAAATGGCAAAACACCATCAAACAATTACAAGAAATTATTAGCTGGTTCTGGTATTGTTAATACTGCAGCCCTTCCAAGGGTAAGTCGATCAAGGACTATCAAGACCTTTATAATGAAATAGCCGAGAAAGTCAGAGATCAAGATGATGCAGATGATGGGGCTGGTCGTTACGGGTTACTTACTCGTCTCGCATGGCATACAAGTGGTACTTACGATAAAAAGGATAATACCGGGGGGTCATATGGTGGTACCATGATCTACAAACCTGAATTGACCGATGGTGAAAACTCAGGATTGAACCATGGAAGAGACTTCTTGAAAGAGTTCAAAGATAAGTATCCTTGGTTGAGTTATGGTGATTTATGGACCTTAGGTGGAGTCGTTGCTGTCCAAGAGTGTGGAGGTCCAAAGATTAAATGGAGACCTGGTCGTCAAGATATAAGTGACAAGGAAAGAGTTCCAGAAAATGGTAGATTACCAGATGCTTCGAGGGATGCTGATTATGTCAAAGGTATCTTTGGAAGAATGGGCTTCAATGAACGTGAAACTGTGTGTTTAATTGGTGCACATTGCTTAGGTAAATGTCACAAGGAAAACACAAACTACGACGGACCTTGGGGACCTTCCTTCAACATGTTTACGAATGACTTCTTTGTCAGATTATTGCAAAACTGGCACGTCAAAAAATGGGATGGTAAAAAACAATATGAAGACGATGAAACTAACTCCTTTATGATGTTACCAACCGATATGGCCTTGAAAGAAGATTCTAACTTCCTCAAGTACGTCAAAATGTATGCCGAAGACGAAAAGTTATTCTTCACTGACTTTGCCAAAAATTTCAGTACTTTACTTGAGTTGGGTGTTACATTCCCTGATTCTATTAAGCCAACTGAATTCAAAACATTAGATGAACAAGACAAATAAGTTATATGTAATTTCTAAGTCTCTATCAATAATATAGTACATTTACTTAATCAATAATTGTCTACTAAAGCCCTATTGTAACTCTCTCCGCGTATTTTTGGGTACGAAGTGTGTATATTTCAACCCGTTGAAATTTTGAGAATTCGCAAAAAACTTTCAGTCAATATTCGTAAATACACGACCTGAAAATTTTTCAGATTCCTCGTAAGACGACTGGACTTTCCAATGGAGTATATATATTTCACTGAAAAGTTTTTTAGTGAAAAATTTCTTATTTCTTTATCATCATCACCACTAGCAAAAATGAAGTACATTCAAACTGATCAAATCTTAGATATCCCAGAAGGTGTCAACGTTCAAATCAAGGCCAGAAGCATCACTGTTACTGGACCAAGAGGTACTTTAAAGAAGGACTTAAAGCATATTGATGTTACCTTCAACAAGGTCAACAACCGTGCCATCAAGATCACTGTCCACAACGGTGAAAGAAAGCACGTTGCTGCTTTAAGAACTGTCAAGTCCTTAATCTCTAACTTGATCACTGGTGTTACCAAGGGTTACAAGTACAAGATGAGATACGTCTATGCGCATTTCCCAATTAACGTTAACGTTGTTGAAATTGATGGTCAATCTTACATTGAAATCAGAAATTTCTTAGGTGAAAAGAGAGTCAGACAAATCAAGATCTTTGATGGTGTTACTGTTGAACAATCTACTACTCAAAAGGATGAATTGGTCTTATCCGGTAACTCTTTAGAAGATGTTTCTCAAAACGCTGCTGATGTCCAACAAGTCTGTCGTGTTAGAAACAAGGATATCCGTAAGTTCTTGGATGGTATCTATGTTTCCGAACGTGGTGTTATCGACGAAGAAGCATAAATTAATATGTTAATTTAGTTACATTTCTGTATTAATACATCCTCTTTGTTTATATTTTCATTTTGTTTGAGGTTTCCAGGGTATATAGTTCAATGTGGTTTTTCAATTGGGTTAACCCTGTCTCATGTGAATTGTTATAGAGCTCAAAGCAATAAAGAGCCACCAACGATTCACTGTAGAAGCGAGATTCGGGTTATTGCACGCGATTTTTCATGGCATTTTATGGTGCTTCGTGATTTATTTTGCAATAACTTGAAACGTAGTGACATGCTTATGCTGTTAATGATGACCCCGTGAGTTTTGTTGAAGGAGGGCCTTCCCATGCCAATTGCAGGCATCAGGAGGCCTTCCTTTGCCTTTGGCCTAATTTATGGTTATGAGCATTGCGTTCGTTTTATTAATAGTTCTAAATGGTGCAGTTTGTTGCCGAATATGTAGTCCGCCATCGACCTTATAATTTACATTCCCTAATACCTGTTCAACTACTAGCTCTGTGTTCCTTCTACATAACTCCCTAGGACAGTCTATTAGAAGTTTGTGGCATTCATTTCTCTGTAGAGCTCTGAGATGCAATTGCAGCCAGCCCCGGAGATGCACGACAAGCTCCAGGGGCCATTCGTTAGAACCGGGGCAAAACGGTATCATATTGTACTCTAAATCTCTCATATACTTCTGTTCTCTAAATATCGACGTAGTTCTAATCTCAGAGTCATATCCATAGTAGTCCACTATGAAAAATGGCCATATCTAGTGGAAAAAAATACTGGCTAGAACTCCGAGGGCAGGGCAGCGCCGGAAAATATGGGATCGGTTAACGGCAAAACTGAAAATCATTTTATTATTACACCAATACCGTCCTGAAGTGCGATCGCATTTTATGTCTTTCAGAATTACACAGGTTGCTCCTGGTATCCTTGATGAACGCCCTAATGAAACTGTAATGATCATCTCTTCGCGGACTTGAGCCGATTATCGATGTAGCAACTATGCTCGTAGTTTCTAAACTATAATCCTAAACCTAAGTCTTCTGCCGAGTCCTATACTACGTTTAACGGCTACATACCGGATGCTCATACATCGTTCTCTCTACTACCATCGTGCATCGATTCATCAAAACTGGAGAATGACCGGAGAACAAATTTGTCCCCGGAGGTGTCGGGGCCTCTCGGTATTTTTTTTTTCCAACGAAACTGCGCGGACAAATTAAAAGGCTTCATTAGGCCAGGTTTTGAAAACTATTCGTACTCCTTCTTTGTATAATTAAATGATCTATAAACTAAATAAATATTAGTTTTAGATAGTTTTTGGATATATTGAAAGTAATAATCTATTAACAATGCTTAGGGCTTTTAGAAGCGCAATTCCTCGCGCTCAATTAATGAAAGCTCAAGTAAAACCTTTTGTTCGTTTATTTGCTACTGGTCAAGACTCGTTTTTATTGAGCAACAATGCCAATTATATTGATGAAATGTACGCTTCTTGGAAACAGGATCCATCCAGCGTGCACATTTCGTGGAATGCTTACTTCAAGAATATTGAATCTAACAACGTTCCTCCATCAAAGGCGTTTACCGCTCCACCAACCATCATCCCTACCGTGGCGGGAGGTGCCGCCGGGTTCATTCCAGGATCATCACCAACTGATGAGGATGTCGTTACTCACTTGAAAGTTCAATTATTGGTCCGTGCATACCAAGTTAGAGGTCATCAAAAGGCCAAAATTGATCCTTTGGGAATCTCTTTCGGTGACACCGACTCTGTTCCAAAGGAATTAACCTTGGAACACTACGGTTTCACTGAGGCCGATATGGACAAGCAAATCACATTAGGACCTGGTATTTTACCTAGATTTGCCGAAGGGGGTAAGAAATCGTTAACCTTGAGGGAAATCATCACTAACTGTGAAAGATTATACTGTCAATCATACGGTGTTGAATACATCCACATCCCATCTAAGGAACAATGTGACTGGTTGAGAGAAAGAATTGAAATTCCTGAGCCATACAAATATTCCCCAGACGAAAAGAGACAAATTTTAGATCGTTTGATCTGGTCTTGTTCTTTTGAATCATTCTTGGCTAGTAAATTTCCTAATGACAAAAGATTCGGTTTAGAAGGTGTAGAATCTCTTGTCCCAGGTATGAAGGCCGTAATTGATACCTCTGTTGAATTTGGTGTTGAAGATATTGTCATTGGTATGCCACACAGAGGTCGTTTGAATATGTTGTCTAATGTTGTTCGTAAGCCAAACGAATCTATTTTCTCTGAATTCACTGGTTCAAGAGAATTTGATGAAGGTTCTGGTGATGTCAAATACCATTTGGGTATGAACTATGCTAGACCAACTACATCTGGTAAGCATGTTAACTTATCTCTCGTTGCCAATCCATCTCATTTAGAATCTGAAGATGGTGTTGTTTTAGGTAAAACTAGAGCTATTCAACAATACAAGAATGATATTGGTGAATACAAAAAGGCTATGTCCATTTTATTGCATGGTGATGCTGCTTTCTCTGGTCAAGGTGTTGTCTATGAAACTATGGGTCTTGCTAACTTACCAGCTTACTCAACTGGTGGTACTATTCATATTATCGTTAACAACCAAATTGGTTTCACTACTGATCCAAGATTTGCTAGATCCACTTTATACCCATCTGATATTGCCAAGGCTATCAATGCCCCAATTTTCCATGTCAATGCTGATGATGTTGAGGCAAATATCTTTATTTTCAACTTAGCCGCTGAATGGAGAGCTACCTTCCACACTGATGTTATTATTGATGTTGTTGGTTACCGTAAACACGGTCATAATGAGACTGATCAACCAGCTTTCACACAGCCATTGATGTACCAAAAAATTGCTGAAAAGAACCCTGTTATTGATTACTACACCAAGCAATTAATCGAAGAAGGTACTTTCACTAAGGAAGATATTGATGAACATAAGAAATGGGTTTGGAATCTCTTAGACGAATCGTTCTCTAAGTCGAAGGAATACCAATCAACTTCAAGAGAATGGTTAACCACCGCTTGGGAAGATTTCAAGTCTCCAAAGGAATTAGCTACCGAAGTCTTACCTCATTTGCCAACCGCTGTTGAAGAAGATACCTTAAAGAAAATCGGTTCTGCTATTTCTGAAGCTCCAGAAGGCTTTGAAGTTCACCGTAACTTGAAACGTATTTTGAATGCCAGAAAGAAGTCTGTCGAAACTGGTGAAGGTATTGACTGGTCGACTGGTGAAGCTTTGGCCTACGGTTCTTTAGCCTTAGAGGGTTATCATGTTAGAGTTTCTGGTCAAGATGTTGAAAGAGGTACTTTCTCTCAACGTCATGCTGTTTTACATGACCAATCTTCCGAACAAACTTACACTCCATTAAACAACTTATCTGAAGATCAAGGTGCATTCGTTATCTGTAACTCTTCGTTATCTGAATACGGTGTCATGAGTTTTGAATATGGTTACTCGTTAACCTCTCCAGATGCCTTGGTTCAATGGGAAGCTCAATTTGGTGATTTCGCTAATACTGCTCAAGTCATCGTTGATCAATTCATTTCTGCTGCTGAATCTAAATGGAAGCAACGTTCTGGTTTAGTCCTTTCGTTACCACACGGTTATGATGGTCAAGGTCCTGAGCATTCGTCTGGTAGAATTGAAAGATACTTACAATTATGTAATGAAGATCAAAGATATTTCCCATCTCCTGAATTATTAGAAAGACAACATCAAGATGCCAACATGCAAGTTGCTTACCCAACTACACCAGCTAATCTTTTCCACTTGTTACGTCGTCAAATGCATAGACAATTCAGAAAGCCATTGGTCTTATTCTTCTCTAAACAATTATTACGTCACCCATTAGCTAAATCGGAATTATCTGAATTTACTGGTGAATCTCACTTCCAATGGATCATTGAAGATGCTGAATTAGGTAAGGGTATTAATGCAAAGGAAGATATAAAACGTGTTGTTCTCTGTTCTGGTCAAGTCTACACTGCTTTACACAAGAAACGTGCTGATATTGAAGATAAGTCTACTGCCTTCATCAAGATTGAACAATTACACCCATTCCCATTCGCTCAATTACGTGATGCTTTAGACAGCTACCCTGCATTGGAAGACTTAGTCTGGTGTCAAGAAGAACCATTGAACATGGGATCATACTCTTATTCTGCTCCACGTATTTCAACTGTCTTAGAAAATACTGAGAAGCATAAGGATTTGTCTTTACGTTATGCCGGTCGTGATCCATCAGCTTCTGTTGCTGCTGGTACTAAGGCTATGCATAATGCCGAAGAACAAGAATTCTTGAACGAAGTTTTCCAAAACTAAGCTGGTAATACTTCAGTTAAATTATGCATGATAACTCTTATTCTTAAGTTTTGTCTTTGATATATATTGAAAAGTGGATATTTACAAATAAATTATTGATTGCTTTAAAACATAATAATAATAAAGTTTCTATTAAAACTAAGCTGTAATCAGTACATATCCGTAGATCCCTATTTGTAGAAACTGCGCACATTTGCCCCACAAATCAATTGCAAATTTTGCAATCAAATCTCGGTTAAATAAATAAGCGGTACCCCGTGTTAAGTACTTATCCGGGACCATAAAGTATGGAATATATAAATTGTGTTTTAATTCTCTGATCAAAGTAATATGATAAATAATTTTAATAAGTATAAGTATTACTATAATGACAGTTGTTGAAAGTTCAATTCCAAAGACCAAAGTTATTCTTGATTTCGTTATTGTCGGTGCCGGTTTGGGGGGTGTTACCGCAGCCATTTGCTTGAGGTTAGCAGGACATAATGTTAAGTTATTAGAGCAAGCACCTCAATTGGGAGAGATTGGAGCTGGTATACAGATACCGCCTCCATCAGTAAAAATTATTAAAGAAATTGGTTGCTTGGATAATCTTTTAAAGCATTCTATGGTTCCAGAGAATTTCAAGATCTTCCACTGGAAAGAAGGTAAACAGATCTCAGAACAAAACTTGGTTCCATACACTAAAGAACACTATAATTCAATGTACTTGCATGTCCACAGAGCAGACTACCACAGAGTTTTGGTAGAAAGAGCAAAAGAAGTCGGTGTTGTAATGATCTTAGATACCCACATCAACGATGTTAATTTCGACACTAACACTGTTACTGCAGCAAATGGTAAAACGTACACTGGTGATGTCATTATTGGATATGATGGTATTAAATCAAAATTAAGATCAGCTGTTTTAGGGCGTGAAGATTTACCTTATGATACTGGTGATTTAGCATACAGAGCCTTGGTTAAGGTTAGTGACATGAAAAAACATTCAGAACTAGCTCCATTTTATGAAACAGCTAATATTAACTTTTGGTGGGGACCAGATAAGCATATTGTGGTATACTTATTGCAAGGTGGAAAGACCTGTAATGTTGTAATCTTATCCCCAGATACCTTACCAAAAGATGTAGCCGTTCAGCATGCTGATAAGGAAGAAATCACTGCTATTTTTGAAGACTGGGATCCAAGGTTGAAGACTTTGTTCGGTTTGATTCAAGAGACTGGTAAGTGGAGATTACAAAACTCGAGAGAATTGCCAGTATGGGTACCTAAAAAAGGTAACATCATCATTTTAGGAGATGCTTCTCATGCAACTTTACCATACTTAGCTTCTGGTGCTTCTCAAGCTTTAGAAGATGCTGCTGTTTTGTCAGGTTTGTTTAGCAGAATCGAAGATAAGTCACAAATTCGTGATTTATTAGCCGTCTGTGAATCATTAAGAAAATGGAGAACAACTCAAGTTGTTCAGGGCTCTACTCAATGTAGAAACATTTTCCATTTACCTGAGGGACCAGAAAGAGTTGAAAGAGACAAAAAGCTTGCTATTAATCCTCCTGAAATTGGATGTCCAAATAGGTGGGCTGATCCAAAGTTCCAAGAGTTCTTGTGGGGTTACGAAGCATTTGCTGAAGCTGAGAGAGGTTGGAATGAATATAAACAAGGCAAATTCCCTAAATATACCTTTGAAGGATTATACGAAAACTCTAATTATTAAGACTACATTTACATAAGAAATATATCTGAAACTTTCTGAATTTAAAATAATTAGTTAATCCATTCTTGTAGAATAGTACATTATAATATGAAAGAATAATTATTGCTATTGGCCAATATTTGGCAAATTAATCATATTATGTACTTATTCCTAAGCTACATATATAGCATATATATACTTCAGCTCTCGCACTTTTTCATTTGATAATGCTTTATAACAACATCTTTCAATAGTGCTTTTGGAGCAGGTTTGTTTGTAAACATCTCAAATTGGGCCAATACCTGAGCATAAAGATAATTCAATCCGTTTATCCCAACCCATCCCTTGCTACTGAATTGACTAGTGTTCTTCAAAAGAGGCGTTACTAATGGATCGTAACCTGTTTCTAATACAACCCCACCAGATGGGCTTTTAAACCATTCCAGCGACAATTCAAAATTGGTTAGCTTGCCTGTGAGAGGATCTGAGCTCGGAACGCATGAAATAACAACAGATGGGTAATCAAAATTGTCTGGAATTTTTGCATTCAAATATTCATCATCATTCAATAAATTAATTTCAAAATAATTTAAATCATCATTGGAACTAGTTTCCCCTATAGATAAAGCTATAGATGAACGAATAGGAGATAAACTGTTATAGTAGTTTGCAAGCAGCTGGGCTTTTTCATAAGTCCGATTATAAAGAAGAATCTTTTGATATCCTAATTGTATTAGCGCATAAATTGCTGCTCTACTCATACCACCTGCTCCAATTACAAGTGCCGTTTTATTTTTGCTAATAGCATTGATTGGCGAGATATTATCCTGTAATGTTAATTTCACACCCAACCAGTCAGTATTTTCGCCTCTGATATTTATTATCTTGTTCGGATTTTCAATCGACCTTTCAGCAATAATTGTGTTTAATGCGCCTATTATTTTGACATGGTTTGACATTGTATCAACATACTTTAAGGCTTCCATCTTGAAAGGCATGATAATAGCAGTTCCTCCAAACGTGGGAGAGTTGACTAAATTTGTCAAGTTAGGTATCAATGAAGAACATTCAAATATCTTGAAACAATGGGGCAATCCAAGTGCCCTATAAGCAGAGTTATGCATTTCGGGAGATAAAGATTTCGTCACATTTATACCCATAACATAAAAGTCTAAAGATGGAGTAATAAAGGACGAATTTAATGCTCTCTGTATATCAAATGATGACAAACTTGAACCTCCGTCTGATTCTAGATCAGATGATGTAATTAGCCCCTTCTTGATTGAAACAGGAGTTAAAGTCTTGTTCATAAGCTTAGAAAGTTTTCCTAGTTTCCCTGTGTTAAAAGCAATAACCTCCATATCCAAGTTTGGATACATTAATCTCAAATTCTGTTTAAAAAACATAACCTTAAAATTATCAGATAGTTCATTTGCAGGCGAAGTGAGCCTTAAAAATTTAATTCCTATAGTTTTGGCTAATTCGACAACTTTAATTGCTCCATACTGTGATATCCAAAAATTTGGATCATCAGAAGAAAATGATCCAATTATTTCTGTTTGGCCACTAATAATTACCAATTCCTTCAAGATTGAAATTATGTCTTCAAATTTGGATTCATTGGATATAAAATTATCTTTATCATTGAAGCACATCGACAAATCTACTATAAGATAGTCTAATCCGGTTTTAATTCCTGAGTACAAAATGTTGAAATAAAAACTTCTCAAGTCCCCTCTGATTTGATCATAGTCGTTACCAGACGAAATGGAATACTCATCAATGAATAAGTTCAATTGAGATAAACTATTGGATATGCTCAATATTATTGGAATGGAACAATAAGTATAACGCCTTACTTGTGCGACAAATTCATCTATCTTCACGTTCGATGCAGATATGTTTAGTTTAATAACTTGAATCAAATCGAACTGAATCTCAATTGCGTCTGAGCCATAAATCGTTTCGTGTAGGCTATCTAAAAATCCTTCATTTATGCTATTTGGAAAGCTGATTTGCAAGCAACTAGTAAACCTTTCTAGGAAGTTCATTTTCAAATGCAAATTTCCAGAAATTGTTGCCGCAGAGTATGATCCTTTAAGTATGAAGTTTAAAAATCTTATGAACTCTTTTTCAATGGGTTTTAAAAGAAGATAACTATTACTATCATTATTGGAATAAGTATTATTACTACCAATTGAAATTAAATTTTCCTTTATAAACAGCAAATCTGAATTCAAATTAAAAAAATTATATTTGGCAATCGCTCTATACTTTAAAAATTTCAGCTGAATTAATTTGACCCCTTTATCATAAGATCCATTGAAATTAAGATAATTCAAAATACGTGACTCTTCCGTTTCAACATTTATAATATATGGGTATTCCTTATGTGCTAAATAGTTCATTAACAAATGGGAGTCAATAACTGTGGAAGGTAACACAACTATCAGATTACTGTTTTCATGTTCTTTCAAGGCACTCAAAACTAACTTAAATTGTAATTCTCTGTATTCTTCTACAGTCACCGTTTCAAGAAATCGGGCCTCAGGCATACCAGTATATTCCAGGACACATTTTTCAACATCCACGTACTTATACTTTAAAGCGGCCAGCGCCATTAAAGCTAAACTTGATTTTCCAACTCCTCTTAACCCTATTATAATCAATGTATAGAATTTGTTGTCTGTCGACGATTTTGAGGTTGTTCCAGTTGAGTTTGATGATGGTGATCTTGAAAATGGAATGCTCTCCATGTCATCGGATTTTGAAGAAGACAGGTTTTCAACGTGCATATTTTGAAAAGTCTTTATATTATAGCCGGTAGAAACTGTTCAATAGGTTTCCATCCTATTTGACTAAAGGAAGAACTTAATACTCTTAGTAGAATTGTTCATAGAATATTTATATATTCGGTTAATTTAATATCCGCATGTCGTATCTACCCCAAGTTACGACATTAGTAAACCTCTCTTTATTTAAGATGACAAAGCCATACACACCTCTAAAGCAGCAGGGCCAATATGAGACCCTACTTATGGTACAGAGATAAAGATAGTTTGAACTTGGGTGGAGTTTGCCGCTATACTATAACATATACCCTGATTGATCCAAATAAAAAGGAAATATATTACCGCCTTAAAAATATTGAAAGAGCATCCATTCGAGCAATTCATTTACTAAATGGACCCTTTATTTTATATTGTCACGTAATACCACATAATTATGACCATCTTAAAGAATTCAATCCGAGTGATTCTGAAGACAACAAGGAGGTCATATTTGAAAATGAAATAAAGCCAGGCCAAACTTTTAATGTAAAGCTTAAATTAAATGAGAATTCATATGTGAAAGATTCGGAAGATGGATACCCCATATACCTGTGGTCCATAGATGTTATTTCACAGATTATTATAACGACTAAAACTGTTATAATGTATGATTTTATGATTGGTGATGATTTCAAAGCTATGAAAAGAATAAACCATGGTCCGTTTCCGAGCTCTTTGACCTCTGTAGGTAATAAGGATTTTAGCTATAGAGATAGCGAAGCGACCTTGGGGGTATCAGTGAATCCAAAATTGAACGTAAAGAAGCAAAACACTAAGGATTTGTGGACAAATGAGCCCAAATATCCAGAAATGCCTGTGCATTTAATAATACTTACTCACGGTATTTTCTCGAATGTAACAGCAGACATGCTACACTTGAAGGATTCATTAGAATCTAGTGTCACAGAAAATATTCTTGTTAGAGGGTATGAAGGAAATGCTGGTAAGAGCGAAAAAGGAATCAAAAAATTAGGAATACGATTGTCGAAATATGTAACTCATTTGATTGAAGACTTGAATGATTCAGGAATTCAAATAGCTAAGATTTCATTTATCGGTCATTCACTAGGGGGTTTGGTTCAATTATATGCTATTAAGGAAATACTATTGACTAGAGGAGAGGATTATTTCATGAATAAAAATATAAAACCACAAAATTTAATATGCATGGCTAGTCCTTTGTTAGGCATTTTAAGTGAAATGAATATTTTGATATCATGGTTTCTAGATTTAGGAACATTAGGCAAAACTGGTCGAGATTTAACCTTGCTGAAAAAAATTCCAAACTTTAAGCAACTTGCAAATAAGCACGATATGCATAAAAGAGATACATTTAAGCCACTACTAGAAATGTTGCCAGATGACCCCTTGCAAGATTTTCTAAGTAAATTTGAAAATTTAACGCTCTACGCTAATGCTATAAATGATGGTATAGTTCCGCTAAGAACGAGCGGCTTGTTGTATCTTGATTATGAAGCATTGGGTGATGTCGGAAGGTTGCAGCATGACAAGAATAAGAAGCTAGAGAGCTATGATCATGATGATACCCGGCTGATTGAAACCAACACCACCAAAGAATCTGTCGGTGAGATCCCTGCTGATAAAACAGAAAAATCTGATTCTACTAAACAAAAGAGAAACAAAAATGAAACTTACAGGCAATTATTATCATTAAATTTAAGTACAAATAGACACAATAAGCATCTGGTTAAGAAGGGACCAAATAGGAAGCAAAGAAATATATTAAGGATTAATGCAAAAGGAAGTGATTTGGTCGATTACAACAGTGAAACTGATGATTCCGTTGCTGCGAGTCTAAATAATGAAACATCTTTTAAATCTGGAGTAAGAAGAGCAAACGACACCCTTCAATCAGAATCAGATGAAAGGGTTGAATTGAACTTACCGCCGAAAGCTTCTTCTCTTGAATCTGCTTTAAGTACAATGTTTTGTCCTACACCATCCAGCAACTATATACTCAAACCGGGCTCTAGAAACCCTGTAATTTTTCATGACAAATACTACCATTTTGAAGGTTTGCCCATCGGACCAGAACAAGAACATGAAAGATCTAAATCTTCCAGATTGGGAAAGGTTTTATTTAATTATAATGAATGGAAACTAGATAAGCAAGTAAAGATTGCCAAGAAATATCACACTCCAAAGTTGAACTGGAGAAAGATTTTAGTCAATCTACCACCTGATGCTCATAATAATATAATTGTAAGGAGAAAGTTTTCGAATGGATATGGTTGGGGGGTCATTGATCACTTGTGCAAAGAATTATTCGATACTGACATACAGCATCTCGATAACGTGGGTTCTATCGATCCAAAAATGAAAGCTAAAATCTGAATCATATATGGATCAGTACTTGGCACGCGGGAATTCCAATATAATACAGCTAATTAACTCATGAGGAAACAACCTATACATAATCATTTAGAGATCTAATTTATTTTTGATCTTTTCGCATTAATTAGTCAAATAATCCATGATGTTTACTATACTTATACTACGATAATCTGTAACATATATATATTTAATCAAGATGTTCCTTGCTGTACTTGGTTCTTAAAAATTTGTAAATTGCAGTCAATTTAAACTTTCTAATGAAGATAATCTCAACTAAGAATCTTGGACACCAGCATAGTAAGTAGCCTAAAAACGTAGCCATTCTTCCCCTGTAAATATTTAATGGCCCGTTTATTCTCAGTTTTTCAAAATCAGAGACTACTCTTTTAGCATAGGTTTCTGAACTGATTGGATGGTTTCTCTTGGCCATCTGTTGCCTTTCAACAAGAGTTTCTTTCATACCAGGTACATTATAAAGAGAACTCTCTGGTAGCTGTCTCTTATCCTCAATGTTCGTCCTAACCCCACCAGTAACTATATTAATAACTTTAACATTGAATGGCTTCATTTCAATTCTTAAAGTGGCAGCATATTGGTGGATAGCAGCCTTAGAAGACGAATATGTACAAGATAACGGGAAAGGTAAAATTCCACTAACTGAACCAGTAAACCCAATCGTACCTTGTGCATTAATAACCAATGGTCCTAATTCCCTCACTAATCTCATAGGTCCAAATACATTCACCTCATAACACTGTTTAAACCATTCATCAGTGACGTCTAAAGCAGGAAAAGTACATGACTGACCAGCATTGTTGTACAATATATCAAGATATCCTCCTGTCTTTTCAGTAATAAATTTTTTCGCCTCTTTAACACTCTCTTCCGATGAAACATCTAACTCAAAGATAACAACTCCATATTCTTTGGCTAATGGTTCCATAGGTTTCAATCTTCTAGCACCAGCAAACACCTGATATCCTCGTTTAGCAAATTCAATTGCTGTGGAGTATCCGATTCCTGATGAAGCACCTGTTACAAGTACTGATTTTTGACGATCTGGCATTTTATATTATAAGTTATATTTATATTTGCTTCTAAATATCCAATTTTATTGATAATTGGAAGTAGTTTATAAATTAAAATGTGTGATCACACCGAGGTTTTGCTACATCTCCAATAATCGCGTTGAATGTGATTTTCGTGAGCTGCAATTTTATTCATTACGACTGAGTGGACATGCTTACTGTAATTTATTCTAGAAATAATGCTTCTATTCTGTTCAGTTCCGTAATTCATCTTTTCCATTATATAATGAATCGAGTATCGTTATTTAGATCAAAAAAGTGCAACAAGACACTACTGAATATGATTATTTTTAAGCATCAATATACTTTATCAAGCATATTTCTGACATATATTTAATATTTGCAGCAGGTTATTAAATTTTTAGATTTATATCATAAACTGATGATATGACACCAATTCATTTCTAAGCAATTATTCTTGCAACACATTTTAGCGACTTTTTTTTTATTTATATGTCTTTTTCTTAATGAATAACCATGACATGTACTACTAAAAATAGTTCTTGTGACGATGATATTACATCGGCTCCCAATACTTCCAATGTTTCTCGTAATGATATCTCAACTATAGGAGTTGAAAGCTTTTCAACAACCATAACCGATCCTTCTATTAACACTTCAAATGATTTTAAATTCACAAATCGTACACCTGGTACTTTATTTAACCATTCAAGACAAAATTTAAATTTGATTAGTTATAAAAGTTCAGAGAAATATCGTATGAATCAAAATTATGTGCTGGAGGATACTTCAATGAAGCATGATGATGGCGTGTTGCATAAGAAAGAATTGAATAATATCAATAGTAATCTCACAGAAATAAGTGGTTTAAGTAAAGATGGTAGTAATAGTTGTCTTAGAATAAGAGAAGAAATGTTGCAAGATGAAAGGGATAAAAACATCACTATTTCTACTTGCAACCCTAGTGTCTCAACGTCTCTAGTTAAAGTTGGACCACCAGATACCTCTTGTTCTACAAACAATACTAAACTGGGTATCTCTAAATCATATTTCATACTTGTTAATGAATTGGAAAATAAGTGTAACGAGTTAGAGGCTAAACTAATAAACCAAAATAACGAAATTAGTATGAAAAACACTGAATTATCTATGAACAAAAATAAATTGCGAAATGTTGCAAAAATGACTGAAAACTTGAAAACCTCGATGCATATACTACAAGAAAATTTGGATTTGGTGCAGAATGAAAAAAAGCAATACTCTAAAACGTTTAGAATCTTGCGGGACGAAAACATAAGTATAAAGAATAGAATACGTTCGCTTAAAGATGAGATAAATGAATCAATAAAAAAGATTGATCTATATAAATCAAAGTACAATAAATTCAAATTCAGACTTGAAAGTCAAAATCTCAAAATCATCAGCTTGAACAGCACAGTAGATGAATTGTCAGGTAACTTATCAGAAGAAAAGTTGAAAACTTCCTCTTTGGTTCAGGAGATAAGTCAAATTAATCAGAACCACAGTGAGAACATGATTCTGTTGCAGAACCATTTGCAAAATATGTTGTCAGATAAACTCAACAGTTCTTTGCCTTCCTTAATTAAAAATGAGAATAGCTTGTTACAAGAAGCACTCTCAAATATTAGTAAAGATGTTCAGGAAAAGTTGAACATTAGTTACTGTCAGATGAAAAATGATTTTACAAAATGTAACGATTTTAATCACACAAAATATGAAAATAACTTCCATACGTTATCTTCACAATTATCTTCCATAAATGATAATATTTCTGGAAAACTAGGTCCACTTGTTAAGCAAATCGAGAATCGAGGCCAAGTCTTTTTTTCTAATTTGAAGGATGATATTTTGATACCAAATTTCGCAGCCATTTTAAACAAGAGTGATACACACTTCACTAAGATTGAAAGCAACTTGAATGATGTCAATACAGCTATATATCAGCAAGTGTCCATAGAAAAGGACTATGAAGAAAAAGTTTTTAAAATAGAACTGCATTTAAGCGAAGTGACCAATTCTAGAGAAGAATATATGGATAAGTATCAAAAGTTACAGACTGAAAAAGCTAAACTTGATAAGACTATATCTATTCTTGAAAGGAAAAGCTTTGAATCTTCACAGAAATTGGCACATGCAAACGAATCATTAACATTAGTTCAACGTAGTTTGGAAGATGCAAGATCTGAAATACAGAATCTAAAGCTGCAATCTCAAGTGGAAAAGGATGCCTACTCTAAAAGTTACGAGTCTCAAATTCAGTCTTATAAACAACTAAGTTCAATTACTATGGATGAGAAAACAAGAATGAAGAATGAAGCTAATTGTTTATTGATGAAGGTTGCAGAATTAGAAAAGTACAAATTAGATTTTGACAAAGTTCTGAATAAAAATCATTCCCTTCTACTTGAAATAGAGCAATCTACTAATGACTTGAGAAAATCTCATGAAGATAAGCAATTGCTTGAGAATGAAATGCTTATCCAACACTCCAAATTTATTGAAAAATAAATTACCTTAGTAAAGAATTAGCTACATTGAAAGGTGCCCTGGAGAAATTAGAAGAGTATAAGATCAAGCTTAAGGATAAAGAAGAAACATTGACAATAGAGAAGCAAGGTAAATCGGTTGAAAAGGCTAAATCTTTGTCACTCGAAAATAAAGTCAGTGAATTAGAAAAAAATATCAAAGAAATTACAAAGAAAAGAAAGATAGAAGAAACCAAATTTAATAATAGTTCCATTGCTTTGAAAAGTATGTACGAGGATGCTAAGAAAGAGCTACTAGCTGAAAAGCTTAAAATAAACAAGATGGAAGAAATTGGGAAAGAAAGAATTAAAGTAATTGATGATTTAAAACAAAAATACCAACAGAAACTGGAGATTTACGACGAAATGGTCGATGGAAATAAAAAGACATGCTTAAATCTAGGGAATTTCGAAAACAACTTGAAACAGTCAGAGAAAAAGTGTACATCTTTAAGGAAGGAAAATGATGAATTAAAATTTAAAATCAATGAGTTACAATCTCAACTTCTAAAAATCAATCAAAATAACACTTCATCTACTAAGAAAAGAAAAATCATTCATTCTGAAGAATTCCCCGTAGACGAATATTCATTCGACAACATAAATAGCTCAATACTGGAAACAAAAAGTAATAAACCTAATACTCGAAGGCAAAAACGAGCATAACAATATACCTAAGTTCACTCCCAATTTTGTCTAATTGCTTCATATATATCATAATTATTTAGTCAATTCATCAATTAATTTGTCGTTATAAAAATAATGCATGAATTTAACAGGTTTTGCTTGGTTAGGCCTTTCCACGTGTAGCACAGGAACATCATAACAGTATACATCAAACCATTTAGAATTTTCAGGCTTCATAATATCGATAGTTTCTAGCGATATTTCCTTATCTTTCAATGCATCATCTTTCAAAGTATCATGTAAAATATTTTTTGCGTTGGTGCAAAGCATGCAAGTTTCCTTGGTGAAAAACGTTAAAGAAGTCTTTAGGTTCCGTGATGTTGATGAAAGCCCTCTAGCATATGAGATAGTGAAAGGCCTAAAGCTTTTAGAAATGTGTAACATTCTTATCGAACAAGAATTGTCAATTTGATTTTTATTGTGCCCTAATTGTTTATGGTTTCTACAGTTAAAAATCGAAAAAAAAAAAAA